CCGAGGTACACCCGAGCCCTGTGTCTCCCCCACTTACTCTAATGATGAGTTTTGGCTGAGGAAGGTGAGGAGGGCTCATCCTTCTCTGTGATAATGAGCACCCCCTATTTATCTTTCTAACTACCTCCTCCACACACCATAGTGTTTGATCAGTACCAGCGGTGCACGGGGCATGAGTTGGAGCACACTGTCCGAAACCGTTTCCATGGGGATGCCCAGATGGCTCTGCTCAGCCTAGGTAAGGGCCTGCTCGGGACACGTGGGTAGGGGGCCCCCTGGAACTAGAGCTATCTCTCTCCATCGTTCCCTCTTTGCTTCCAGCCTCAGTGATCAGGAACACAGCGCTGTACTTTGCTGATAAACTTCATCAAGCCCTCCAGGTGAGAGGGACACCCCCTGGCCCTTCTCCTTGGGGACAAAAACTGGCAGAGACAGTTCCTGGGCAGAGAGAGGAAGTATCATGCTGCTGCTAATGTAACAATCTCATTTAGCTTTATAACAGTATAGCAGCTCTGTTCTCAGGTTTGCAAGCTGGCTTGTCAAGAGTAGAGGAGTAACAATGTTCACATCGATGTTTCTCTCTCTCTCTCTTCCTCTCTCTCCCTCCCACTCTAACTGAACAAAAAAAATGAAAAAATGTCCTCAGGTGAGGATAAAAAAAAAAGTTTAAAAAGAAAAAAGAGTAGAGGAGTGAGTTAAGTAATTGACCCTAAAGGACACTCAAGCTAAAATTTTGTCCTGATTAATGTCTAGGTGGCCAAATATAGATATGAGTTTGCTCTGGAAGACAGTGCCTTGCCCATTTTCAGTTCTTGCCAAGATGGTGATGGTGATAACACCAGGAAGAACAGTGACAAGAACCAGCATTTCTTAGGTGCTCGTTGTGCACCAGGGCCTATGCTGAACACATTGCACACATTTCAGTTAATTCCGGTTTTATAGATGAAAATATGAAGCACAGAGAGGTTAAGTACCTTGCCCAAGGACACACAGCTACTAAGTCATGTAACCTCCATACAAAACACATAATGGTCTTGTAGGACATTAAACTGCCACATTTCAACTCCTAATCTATATCATAAGTGTTGGTCTATACAGTCCCACCTTGTTTTTTGTTGGTTTTTGTTTTTTTTGTTTTTTTTTCCTCACCAGAGGACATTTTTCCATTTTTTTTTTGTTCAGGTACAGTGGGAGGGAGAGAGAGGAACAGAGAGAGAGAGAAACATCGATGTGAAAGGGACACATCGAGTGGCTGCCACCTGCACAACCCACCAGGGCCGGGGACAAACTGCAACTGAGGTACATGCCCTTAGCGGGAACCGAACCCGGGTCTCTCAGGACCACAGGCCGACCGACGCTCTAACCGCTGAGCCAAACTGGCCAGGGCTTGGTTTTTGTTTTTTGTTTTTTGTTTCTGGTATGTGCCCCTATTGGGAACCGAACCCGGAACTCTCTGGTCCACAGGCCAACGACGCTCCAACCACTGAGCCAAACTGGCCAGGGCAGTCCCACCTTGTTTTATTGGGCTTGTAGATATTGAGATTTTTACAAACTTAAGGTAAGACCTTCCACCTACAAACAGATTATAACTCACTAAAGGCTTAGAAGATGGTTAGCATTTTTAAGTGATAAAGTATATTAAAATTAAGGTATATACATTGTTTTATTAGACATAATGCTATTGCACACTTAATAGACTACAACATAGTGTAAACATATTTTTACTATGAACTGGGATACCAAAAAATATGTGTGAGTCGCTTTATTGCAATATTTGCTTTATTATGGTAATGTGGAACCAAACCCACAATACCTCCAAGGTATGCCTGTACTCTGAACTGTATCATAAGTGCACCCAGGACCACCTTTCTCCACACTGGGCAGACTTTGTTCCATATTATCCATAAATTGGTGACTTTGGTTTGAGTAATTAACAAGCAGAATCCAGTCCATTTTGCTCATTGAAGCCAGGTATCCTGTTAATACAACTGTCCCCCCAAATCCATAAATAAAAAAATCCTCTAAAATTTGAAGAATTTAAAAATAGTTACCATTTTGACAAATGAAGTAGCTTTTTGTATACAGGTTGAGAAACCATCATGCCTTGTTGACAGCTATTCGAAAGAGTATTCAAAACAAAACAAAAAATAAAGGCAGTGCATATAAGTACTAGTTTTATCATCTAGAGATTCCATTTGGGCAGTAGATTATTATTCTTACCCAATAAAGCATTTACTACTATAATGAGTCAACATTAAGATTCATTTGAAGAGTTGTGGTTGTCTCATTTGCATCGTAAAAACTTGCATCCCAGTAGTAAATAATTGTTATATATGTATTTTGATTACAGGACCCACACTCTTGAATATAATGCCAGATTTATCTTAGAAGTAGATGTCAATGCCCTGCAGTTTGGCTCAGCAGTTGGAGCATTGGCCTGTGAACCAGAGAGTCCCGGGTTCAGTTCCCGCTGAGGGCACGTACCAAAAAAAAAAAAAGTAAGAAGTAGATGTCAAAAAATAATATAGGCCTATTTTTTTCTGAAAAAAATCTTAAAAGCAGAAACTCCTAAAAATAGTTTGCCAATCAGATGCCAAGTACATTCTCAAGTATTAAGACTAGGTTTATGTTTAATATATGTTTGGTATGGAGGGTACTTGTAAACCAGTGGGAATATTCAGTTATTGAGTGACCCTTACCCCAATTCTACCACTTGGGAGTAACAAGAGTTGGAAAAAGGAAAGAATGGATATTGGGGAGCAATCGGCCATCTTTATCACAATGCAAAGCTGATGATACACGAAGTTAAAATAAAGTAGCCATTAGGCCCACTGACGATTAGGTAATAGGTCCAAATGAAAAATAGCCTCTTCTTTTTACTTCATCACTTTCTTTTGTTTCTTCATGGGAGCATATGCTCTGTGGGGATGCCATGAGTGTGGGCTGCAGGCATTTCTGGGGAGGATCGTGTGAGTCCGGTGACTGAACCAACTCTGCAAGGAGGAGATTAGGGAACGGCCACAGCACGGTGCCCGGCTCACGGCACAAAGGACTTTCGCAACCAGAAGTTTGTGTTTAGCAATCTCTCGTGACAACACATTATTTATACTCAATTGTAATCCCTGACTTGATTATGTTTTGTACCTCAATTATTTCTAAACTGAACCCTCTAGTACTTTAACCAAAAAGCAGGAGGCCCGGTGCAGGTATAGGAGAAAGACAGTGAAGCTGAACCCCACGGGTCCAACCTGGAGAAACTGGTGTGTACAGATGGGCAGTGAGAAGGCCCTGGTGGGTCCGGATCAGAACCAGAAGTCACTCGACTCTGTTCCCTATCAGAGCTCCATCGACTCGGCTTGGGGTTAGGGTGGTGTATCCTCCTTGGACATTTACTCACTAACTTGGAAGTTAGAAACAGTTTTCCTGGCTCTCATGCTGGACGTCTTTAGAGGCAGCAAGTCTCTTCTATTCTTTGAGTACCTGCCTTGGGAGCTGCCCACGACACTCTGAGCTGGTGGCAGGACCAGGAAAGACATGTGGAAGGATAGAGTACTCCAGCTCCCCCCAGAGACCGATCTTTCCTGCTGCATCACCTTCCATGAGGGTGGACAAAGAGCCTTTCCCCCAGATAATGTATCCATCTCTTATCCCTTGACTCTCCCCTCTCCTCCACTTTGTAGAATAATTGACCATGCCAGCCAATCCCTATTCTGTGAGAATCTTACTGCTACCCCTCCCCATTCTGTTTCTTCCCCTACTAGGAAACCGAGCCCAATTACCAAGTCCTGATACGCATCCTTATCTCTAGAAGTGAGGCTGACCTTCTAAGCATTCGAGCAGAGTTCAAAAAGAAATTTGGGAAGTCTCTCTACTCTTCCCTCCAGGTGAGAGCCTTACCCATCACTCCTCCCACTGCCCTGGAGAATTCACGAGTCTTTAGTTAATTTAGTGTAATATTCCAGGCACCAGACATGCTCTGGATCAGCACGGGTAGGGGACAGAGTGCCCGGCCATGGCGGTAGTAGATCTTTCTCACACTTAATTCTCTTGCCTGTAGGATGCAGTGAAAGGTGACTGCCAGCTAGCCCTACTAACCCTATGCAGGGCTGAAGACCTTTGAGACCACACCACACCCCGTCCCCACCTGACATTCAAGGAGCTGAGATTCCAGTTTGTTTGAGCCTGTAGACCAGCTGGGACTCCAAATAGGATAACCCCTCACTGAGCATCACGTGTTCTGGTTTCTGGTTGAGGCTGGAACTCAGAGTTTTCTTTTAAATCCCTTAATTTCCTTCATCTCAAAGTGGTATCTACCTGGGTCTCCTAGCTCCGTCCTGGGTGTGGGTTAATGGGATCTCCTGGACAGTTTCTGCCCTGCTCATTCTTCCCATACCCTGGGTAGAACATCTCACTGATACTGGTAGTCTTTTAGCTCATTTCATTCTTGTTTGTGTTCCCTGATTGAAGTTTGGGTGGAGCAGGACAAGGGGCTGGGAGGAGGCATTGAAGTTGAAGGTGCCTTTGATGTGCATTTGGTTATTCAACAGGAATCCTGTTTTGGGCTTTAGAGCAGCAGTTATCAACAACTCTACTCCCCTAGTGGTGCCCCCCCACCCCACCCCACCCCATTATTCTCTCTTCCCCAGGAAATCTGAGGCAAAATAAGTGAGAAACAGAAATGGTCAGAGGTAGCAAAGGACCATCTGTATAAACTAGGAGGCAGCCTGGGAAGTCTTGGGTTATCAAGGAACACCGCCCCTAAATTCATCTATCCAAAGCGGGGACTTGGAAACCCACCTCCAAATTAGAGGACTATATCCCAAAGAAGACCTATCAAAAACGGAGAAACAAAAACAAACAACAAAAAGCAGGCTTTGGTTCCCCCTGCTGGCTCTATTAGATATGGCAGGCAACCCCCTCACACCTCCACCCTCCCTCCCCTTTTGCATTCCTCAATTGGGTCAAACACTTAACCACTTAGCACCACTGCTACAGGGTAAGGCAAACAACAGATTTCAGGAGATAAGTTTTATTTTCAAACCCCTAGGAAGGCATTACAAATAATGAAGATAGAAACCCAAATCAAAACCTGAAACAAAGGGAGGCGGCCTGCAGGAGAGCCAGAAGGGCAAGAAGTTGGGGGGATGCATTCTAGACAGGGACCTCCCCTTGGAGCCTGAGTCTGTATATTAGTGTGACATTCTGGGAAAGGGGAGCTGGGAATCAGAAATCCTCACCACACCAGTCCCGCTGTTGCCCTGGGCGATTGGGAAGAAGAGAAGGCTGCAGCACGTGAGAGCAAGGATGTCACTAAGTCTGTCCTTGACATTTACTTCCTGCTCTGATCCCTAAGAGTCCGTAAATAAGTTACCCTGCATATCTCAGGGGTTGACCTGGGAGAGCAAGCAAAATAGCCATGGCCTCTGAAGGAAGAGGCAGGGCAGCCTGGCACTGGGCAGAGCTACAGGAGGACACAGTCGGACTCTTGCTTTGGCCTCCGCCGCCGCTCTCCGCCAGGGCGTCCAGATGGGGCTCCTCTCCCCTGTATGGGATTGAACAAGGGGTCATCCATTGCCTTGGAAGAGCACAAAGACAGAGATTCTAGATGGAAGTGGGGTCAGGATTGGGAGGGGCCGTGGGAGAGAAAGAGAGGAAGGAATCCAAGGGAGCAGGCCAGGCAAGAGAAGGCCCCCAAGGAGACAGTTGCAGGGATAACAATAACCACTGTCTGGACCAAGAGGAGGTGGGGAGGTGGGAACTTGGAGGACCAGCGAGCGCCCAGGGCAGGGTGCAGCGGGCTCACCTGTGGTGACAGGGCCCTTGCTGGCACAGGCTGGACCCCTTGTTGCTGCTGGTACTCTTCTTGCTGAAGTTGCTGGGCCAGCTCCAAGTCGCTAAGACCCAAGGTGCCTTGTGGCTGCTGCTGCTGCAGGGACAAGGCGATCAGGTAGTCCTAGAGAGAGGGGAAAGAACCAGAGTGGTGAGGTGGGCTGTGGCCTGGGAGATCGTCAGGTTGGGGTTAGGTTTCCAAATCCGTTTTTCTCATCCTTCAATTTTTCTAGTTCCTTCTCCTCCAGAGCAGATCACACAACCAAGTAATTTTCTGTGGTGCCAGAGAATACACACCCGTGGAGATGGCCCCAAGGCAACAGAGGAAAGGGGACAGGTGTCATGTGTTATAATCTCTAGATGATACGGTGCATGCAGCTGCGGATGGCAGAGGTCTCTGAAGCAAACATGCTCTCTGCACCCTTCCCCGAAGTCCCACACACCTGGTCCAGCTGCCGCTGCTTTTCTGGGGAGCTACTCCCACCTTCTGCTCCAGGCCCCTTGCCCAGGGAATGACTTAGGTGAAAGTCAGAGTCACAAAAGCAGCTGTCTCCATCCACATTGTGCAGGCTTTCCCACACCACTTGCTCCTCCTGTAGAAAGCCCTGGTCGGTGACCAGTAAGTACAAGTGACTCTGCAAGGAAGAGGACAAAGCCAGTTAGTGGGACAGGTGCTACAGAGGCTATTTGCCTGTGCACGACCATTCAAACCAACTGAAACATGTCAGTGTGTGGATCTTTTATGAGTGTGTGTGGCCGAGGGGAGAGGGAAGAGACATTTGAGTGGATGGTCAGCCAGGTGAAAGTATGGCAGTCACCATGGTCAAGAATGTGTCCTCAGAGCTGGGGTCCCACACAAGAGCTGGCTTCCTACCCTACTTCCCATTGTTCTCTAGGCTCGTTTGATGGCTGTGAGGGGAAATCCTTGGAGAACCAAAGATCTCTCCTTCTTCTACTCAATTCCTAGAGAGCTTAGACAACTTCTAACTTGGGAAGACTATACTATTATTCAAAAATGTCCTTCCTGGGAGAGGATTCTATTTTCCTGTCCCATTGACAGCAGATTTATTCCTATGGCTTGCTCCGGCCAGTGAGATGTTAGCAGAAGGGACACGGGTCACTTCCCAGCAGAAGCCCCAGCAGCCCATGTGTGGGTGTCCTGCCTACATTCCAGGTAAAGTCTGTTTCATCATCCTGAGACCCAGAGTGAAAATGATGTGGGACAGAACCACAGCCAGCCTGCAATGGACGTGCAGCATGAGTGAGAAATAAACCTTTGTTGTGGTAAATCGCAGGGATTTTAGGGGTCATTTGTTACCAGAGCTTAATCTACCCTGTCCTGACTGAAACACTGACCCGGAAGAAAAAGGCATGAGGAAATAAACAGCACTGCAACCCTCCCCCACCTCCAATGCCTCATCACCTTGTGCTTAGTCATGGTGCTAAAGTGGTTGTTTCGGAAGAAGACGCTCAATTCGCCCTCCTTGGCAGCGGTGGTCAGCTCGCACAGTCCGTGGTAGGTCAGCTGCGCTGCGGTGGTCTCCAGGAACTGCTCAGCAATAAGGCCTGCCAAAGGGCACAGGAAGCGGGGTGGGGCCTTGGCTTAAACCCAAAGTCCACAGAAGGAGGACCATCCAGAGTCCCTGTCAAAAGGCCTGAGGGTGGTCCCACCTTCTGAAATCTCTTCCCTGATGCCCGGCTGCATTCACTCATTCAACAGAGTTGCTCAGCAGCCACCTGTGCCAGGCACTGCACTAGGGGACACATCAGTGAACTACCAGTTCCCCAAACTCCCTCTCATGGTATTTACATTCTAGTGGGATATGGTGGGGGGAGAGAGACAATAAACAATAAGTGAAAGTAGCCATCATTCCTTCCACATAAGGTCCACAGAAGAGAAGGGTGGGATCACACCTTCGGTCACGAGGTTGGTGTCGCTGGAGTGCTTGCAGGTGATGATCTTCTCTACCAGCTGATTGTAACTCAGTTTCCCAACTGCACTCACAGCCTCAGGACTCTGCACGGGCAGTGGGGTGCGGTGGGGTGGTACAAAAAAAAAAAAAATTGAGATCTTTTTAGGAAGGAAATGAACCAAGCCCACAAGGACTGCAACACAATGACCAAAGGTTTCTGAAACTTTTGCCGTCTAAAGAACTGCATATGATTAGCTTGTATTTGAGTGTTACCCCCAAAAAGTTTTTCTGGTTTTTTTTTATCCTTAGCCGAGGACATTTTTCCATTTTTTTGTTCAGATAGAGTGGGAGGGAACGAGAGGAAGAGAGAGAGAGAGAAACATCGAGGTGAAAGGGACACATCGAGTGGCTGCCACCTGCACGACAAACCAGGGCCAGGGACAAACTGCAACCGAGGTATGTGCCCCTAGCAGGAACCAAACCCGGATCTCTCTGGACCGCAGGCCAACGCTCTAACCGCTGAGCAAAACCAGCCAGGGCCCCAAAAAAAGTTTAAAAAAGGAATTCTCCACTGGGTCCTGCCTTTAAACCCGATTCCCCTTCCAAGCCAATATAATCTTAACCCGACTTCCCTAACCCTCACCCCACAAAATGATGCTTCTCTGTCAGCTTGAGCTGAATACAAGTCTCATTTGGGCCCTCTCATCCTCACCTGTGGATCAACAAGCCAGCCATGGTACAGAGGTATCCCTAGTAGGTCAAAGATACTGCACTCGGGTGTATACTCAAAATCTGAGATGCCTGTGAATCGCACATTGACATCCAGACCTGTGGCCAGTTTGGGCAGTACACTCATTGCATCATCCACATTCTGCAGATAGAAAATAAAATGATGGATGTATTAAATCAACACACTGTATATCTTTATTGATTTTTTTTAGAGAGAAAGAGAGAGGAAGGGAGAGGGAGAGAGAGAAACATTGATATGAGAGCAAAACATCAATTGGCTGCCTTCTGCTTGCCCTCTACTGGGGATGAAATCTGCAACCAGGCATGTGCCCTGACTGGCAAGCAAACTGGTAAACCCTTCAGTTTATGGGACCAATGCCCAACCAACTGAGCCACACCTGCCAGGGCAACACATTATATATTTTAAACTTACATGGTGTTATATGTCAATTATACCTCAGTGAAGCTGGTGGGGAGGTGGAGATGATAGTCTAGTCCCCCCATTCTACTCTTACCCACAAAAGTAAAAAATTAATCTTGTTGCTTTTTTTTCTCTGGTTCTCTTACAAGCCATTCCATTCCTCCCTTGCCTCAACCCTTCTTTATCTTAAATAAATGAACATACTTTCTAGGACAGAGATTTGTCCTCTTCTTCCTGTAGAAATATATCATAGTTCAAGGAACCCTCTTGAGAAGCAGCAGAAAGGCTTCTCCTAATAGCCTGGGTGTCCCCTTACAAGCCTGCAAACCCCTTTGTCCGCAGACCGTTTGCTCACCTGCTGAAAATTAAGCTGAAGTCCCTCTGACTTCTCCTGGGGCTTGATGGACAGGAGGCAGTCCCCTACAAGACAGGATTCCTAATCAGTCTACCCCACCAATTGTCCCCAAAGCTGCTTCCTCTTTTCCTGGAGAATGAATAGGGGGAATGTCACAGAATCACAGATTTTCAGAGCTGGAAAGGGCCTTAGAATCTAATCCTGACCTTTCATTTCCCACGGGAAGAAATCAGCTCACAAAGGTGAAGGCCCGCCCAAGGTCATAAGTGAAAGCTAAGGGCAAAATTGGGGTTACAACTCAGGAATCCTGACACCTCGACTTTTGCGTTTCATGCCCCAGCCTTGCATAGATGCCCCAGAGACCTTCACCCTCCCTGACTCATCAGAGCCCCAAATGGGAAGTCCCTCAATATGCTGGATTCTGGATGAGTGGATAGTGCTTGTAATTCTGTGTAACTCCTGTTCAAGGCCCAGTCACTCACCAAGATGGGCCATGAGCTCATCTGATGTGATCACTTCCTTCTGAGGGGGCAGCTTCACCTGGAGGCAGAGGGATGGGGAAAGGGTCAGCCACGTGTGTGCTTTCCTTCACGGAGCACTGAGGGGAAACCCATGGAGACGGGGAGAGGGCAAGGGGAGTCCAGTGGTAGGGTGTGGTGGGAAAAGAAGGCTTACAGCGTGAGCAAGGGAGTGAATGCGACACATGCAAGGCATTGCCATTTGCTAAAGCGGAAGACGCAGGACGACAGAGGACTGTTTTTTTGTTGGTTTGTTTTTATCCTCACCAGAGGACATTTTTCCATTTTTTGTTCAGATAGAGTGGGGGGAGAGAGAGGTAGAAAGAGAGAAACATCGACGTGAAAGGGACACATCAAGTGGCTGCCACCCGCACGACCCAACCAGGGTCGGAGACAAACCGCAACTGAGGTACATGCCCTTAGCGGGAAACGAACCCGGGTCTCTCTGGACCGCAGGCCGATGCTCTAACCACTGAGCCAAACCGGCCAGGACAGAGGACTGTTTTTTAATGCTTGTTTTTATGAACATCTTATCTCATTTGTTCAAGCTGGAGAAATAGGGGGAATAATCTGGAAAGTTTTGACTGATTTGTGAAAATCGGGATGATCAAGGAGGTGGGTCAGGGAAGAGCCCTCTCCCCAGTATTTTCTGAGCCGCATCCAAACTCTCTCTTACCTTCCACTGAAGAAAGAGGATGTTCATGATGGCGAGCAGAGGGCAAGGGCCATTAGTGCTCTGGGTGATAATGGGTGTCCGTTCTCCCTTCCAGGGGATCCACTTTACACAGTAGAAATCGAGTTCGAGCTGTTGGGCCCTGGGGGACTGGGGAAGCTCCTGGGGCCTGGAGCACGCCCCTAATGTCTCTGCCTCAGGCCCTGTCCCATGGTCTGGCCCTGGCTGGTTTAAACTAGTGTCAGGTGAAGGGGACTCGAGATTATCCTGGTCCTGGACTGGCAGTGACCTTTGATCTGCTGGCTCCTGTTCTCCAGCTACCCCATCAGCATCTCTGGCCGCCTCATCAGCATTACTGGCTGCCCCAGTGGCATCTCTGGCCGCCTCATCAACATTTCTGGCTGCCCCAGTAGCATCTCTGGCCACCTCATCAGCATCATTGGCTGCCCCAGTAGCATCTCTGGCCACCCCATCAACATCTCCGACATCCTTGTCCTGGGGATGCTCATTTGGTACTGATGGGACCTCGTGGTTTTCAGGGCTGACTGCTTCTGCAGTCCTGGCCTTGCCAGAGACTGGACACTCAAGTTGATGGTGTTCCATGGCCAGAAGAGATCAACTGAGAGGCACCAAAAGACTTTACAGTCCTCCGGGAGTTGCCTAATCTAGGCTTGATGTGCAAAACAGAGACTAATCCAGTGAGAGGAAAATCATTGGCGCTAGAAAGCAAATGGGCTCAGAAAAATCTTAGAAGACGAATGTGCTGTGGAAGGCTGGACAGTGTCTGCAGTCCCTCCTGGCTATGGGAAGCAGTGTCTTTGTGAGCTTCGGTAAACAGAAGAGCAGCCCCAGGCTGAGGTCTTTCGCCTCTAACTTGCTGTGACTGCACAGGGCTCTCAGGTCTGGGAGGGGCGAGTCCAGTGGGATGATTGAAGACATTGGGTGGTGTCAGCTTCCCTGGAACAGATGAGGACAAGGACTGCAGAAAAGAAAGAGAAAAGGAGAATACAAGGAGAAAGACAGAAGGGAAAGAAATGTTAAAACTACATTAATGGTTATTAACACAGTGATCTTTAGCCGGCCCTGTAAATGGCATCACTTCGGTAGCCCCCACCCTAGCTAGGACTGAGGTAATTCCTCTGCCCTACACCAAACCCCACTCCTCGGCTGTTCGTGGATCATCCTGAGCACACACAGTCTGCTTGTATCCTTGGGACTACCTTCTCTCTGCCTCCTCCCAGGGGAAGACAGGTGAACAGTCACATAGTGCTTGGGGTGAAGAGTAGAGATGCAGAGTCAGTATCACGCCCCTAGAGACAAACACTGTTGAGAAAGAAGTCCTTCTCCTTCAAGGACTCGACTGAACTTTACACAATCTCAAACCACAACAAAAAGGTCTTGGGAGGGGCTTCCTATAGGCCAGAGAGGGAAATGCAAGCTTTAGGGACTTTAATCAGAGACTGTGCTGATAAGTAATTTCAGATTAGGAGCACAAAAAAACACTCCCCCGAACACATTTTTCCAGTAAGTTTCTCTGGACAGCTGGAGTTGAGATACCAACTTCTCAGTTCCTCTTTGCTCCCCAAGATGCCTTAACCCAGAGATACTCTCTTACCACTATTTATATGGAATATAAAAATGTTGATTATCAATTTACATTAAAAATACTCCCTCTAGCCCTGGCCAGTTTGGCTCAGCGGTTATAGCGTCGGCCTTTGGTCCAGAGAGACATGGGTTCGGTTCCCCCTAGAAGCACGTACCTCGGTTGCAGTTTGTCCCTGGCCCTGGTTGGTCATGCGGGTGGCAGCCACTCAATGTTACCCTTCCACGTCGATGTTTCTCTCTTTCTCTTCCTCTCTCTCCCTCCCACTCTATCTAAACAAAAAATGGAAGAAAGTCCTCGGGTGAGGATAAAAAAGAAATAACTCCCTCCAGCCCTGGCTGGTTTGGCTCAGCAGTTGGAGCGTTGGCCTGAGGACCAGAGTTTGGGTTCGGTTGCCGCTAGGGGCACGTACCCAAAAGAAAAACAAAGCAAAACAAAAACAAACTCCCTCTAGCCCAGCCGGTGTGGCTCAGTGGATTGAGCATCATCCCATGAACTGAGAGGTCCTGGTTCGATTCCCAGTCAGGGGATAAATCTGGGGTTGTGAGCTGGATCCCCAGTGGGGGGGGGGGGTGAGAGACAGCTGATCGATGTTTCTAGCTCTCTCTCCCTTCCTCTCTCTCTGAAAATTCAATAAAAAAATATGTGTGTGTTACCCTGGCCGGTTTGGCTCAGCGGTTAGAGTGTCGGCCTGCGGTCCGGAGAGACCTGGGTTCGGTTCCCGATAAGGGCACATACTTTGGTTGCAGTTTGTCCCCGGCCCTGGTTGATCACGCGGGTGGCAGCCACTTGATGTGTCCCTTTCACGTCGATGTTTCTCTCTCTCTCTCTCTCTCCCTCCCACTCTATCTGTACAAAAGATGGAAAAATGTCCTTGGGTGAGGATAAAAAATATATATATATATATATATATGTGTGTGTGTGTATGTGTGTTTTTTAAAATACTCCCTCTATATTCATTTATGTGTGGGTATGCTTTGTTCCCGTCTAGGTCATTTTAGATGTGAACACTGGACCTGTTTAACCTGCTCTCTATCAGCACTAAGCATCAAGTTCAGCAGGGATAGGCATTTAATTAATGCTGTGAATACTAAACAATAAAAAGCCACAAACCCTGCCCTCTAGAAAACATGCTCCCCTCACCCCTGACTCAGGATAAGAAAAGGTGAGAAATTAAACATGCCCTGGCTGGGTAGCTTGGTTGGCTAGAGCGTCATCCCAGTGCACCAAGATTATGGGTTCAATCCTCTGTCAGGGCACATACAAGAATCAACTAATGATTTCAAAAATAAGTGGAACCACAAATCGACTTCTCTCTCTCTCTCTCCCTTCTTCTTGCTCCCTAACTTTTAAAATCAATCCATAAATTTTTTAAAAATTAAACTTTCAGAAATTTTGTCTTTTCTCCAGCTTCTTCCTAACTTGAGACTATGCTTCCTTCTTGTAATCCTGCAGAAATTTAGGGTAAGGGTAAGGGTAAGGCCTGAGAGATGAAGGTGAGGAACATAAAAGTTAACAAAATAAGCCTAGTCACCCAAATTGATCATCTTCCTGATTCAAACATAATTCATGCTAGCTGTATCTCATTTGTATGGTTTTTTTTTCTAATCCTCACCTGAGGATATTTTTCTATTTATCTTCAAAACGAGTGGGAGGGGGAGAGAGAGAGAAACATGGAGATGTGAGAGAGAGAGACATCGATTGGCTGCTGCCTGCACAACCGCGACCAGGGCCCGGGGCCGAACCGCAACCGAGGTACATGCCCTTGGCTGGAATCGAACCGACACTCTACCGCTGAGCCAAACTGGCCAGGGCTCATTTGTATGCTGTTAATTTGGAATCAGAGTAGCAAAAATTGCCTATAGGCATGCCACTTTGTTTTTCTCTCTCTCCTTTCCTCCCTTCCCAAATGACACTTAGGATGAGCCTGGGAAGCAGGAACCAGAGACTGGGAAAGTTAAAAAGCTTGGAGAAAAGCTTTCTTATCTTTTCTGTCCAAAGCTAGAAATGATCAATAATTAAGTGGGGGTGGGGAAGCTAGTTGGCTAGGAGGATGAGCCAAACGAAACCAGGTGCTGGACACTGGAGGGAGCCAGGGTCTCAGAAAAAGTGGGCAAAGCTAAGTGGGCTGAGTCTTAAGAGACGGGGGCAGGAAATGGAATGAAGGGTTTCTACTCTACAAGGTGCACACCTGGTGGGGTGAGCATGGAGTATGTCAGAGCAGGAGAGGATGAGGGGAGGGTACTCAGACAAATCGGGATTCCATTCTTTTCTCCATTCAAATTCTATATACACTCTCCAGCAGGAATTACCTCTGACTGTGGGTGAGGGAGTTAAAATAGTCCTGGCCCCTCCTTAGTAGTGGTAGGTAGTAAGTAGCCAAAAGTTGAAAGAATCTCATAAAATGGGTAAAGAGCTTCAATAAGACACCCACCCACTCCCATCCCAGGAACTTTCTTCTCCCTGCATGTCCCTTACTGTGCACTCCAACATCCTTCTCAGTCTGACCCAAATCTTCAAGCAACTAATGGTTTAAAATTTCCCCTCAGAATAAGTCAGCCACCACCACAGTACTTGCTCGCAATGGAGAGGGTTTCATTAAAAGAAAAAAAATTAAGGAACCAAGGAGCATCCCTTTATATACTCCCCCTGCCTTACTCCCCTCACAATCCAAACCTGTAAAGACTAAAGGTGGAAGGACAGTCAGTGTCACCTCCCCAGAGCTGGGGAGGAAAAAGAGAACTGGGAGTAGAAGAGGAGGTGAAGGAACCGGATAAACAAAGTTTTTACCTTAAAGAAGGTTGTTCCAGGACTGAGAAGAGGGTTCAGCTCTTGCAATTCGATGGGGGCGCTGCCACAGTCCCAGCTGCCTTCCAGCTGTCAACGCCGGAGCTTACACAGGTTTATGAGCGAGTGGCCATCCTGGCTGGGTCCCGGCCACTTCCGGACTCACGCCCAGGATCTGGGGCGCGGAGGAGGGCGAGCGCAGGCAGGGGCGCAGGCAGGGGCGCAGCCCAGGTGCTCCCAGGGGGCTCAGAGCGCGTCTTCAGAATTCCCGAGTTGCTGAGTCTAGGGCGTGCGAACCAGGCCCTGACTCCAAGCTGGTTTTCAAAGGAAGTTTGAGGTTTTTCTTTTTTTCTTCTTTCCTTCTCTCTTTTCTTCCCATCGGGACAAAGAAAAATTAGTCAAGGACAGGCTCCCTAGAGGAGGAGGAGCCTACCTAGCACAGGAGAATTTCCATCGGGGCTTTCTGACCTAGTCAGCAGCTTGGTGATCAGCAGCGAGGGAGAGAGAACAAGGAGAGAAAAACAACAGACCCTTTCTCTTCCCTCCGCCTGGCGCTGGAAGGGACGGAGCGCTTGTGCCTCTCTGGTGAGAATAGGGAAGAGCAAGTGCCCTTGCTGAGTGGGGAGGAGTAGGGCTGGACAGCAGCAGCGTGTTGGGTTTGAGCTTTCTCCCTGAGTAAGGCAGTTCTTGCTCTGGATTCACAGAAGCAGGGCCAAAGAGCAAGATATTTGCATGTTCAGTCATTTAAAATTTAAAAATCCTGCTCCTTTCCAAGTCCTCACTCTATCACTTTTTTAAACTAGAAACGAAATTGATCGGGCTTTGCCCCTGGAAGTGCAGAATAAGGTGTGGAAGAAAGCCCAGGCTCTGGGAAGAAGAGTGCAGCAGGGAGAGAATCAGCTGAGCAAGCAGGAGATCCAATATCCCTGGGCGCCGATCCTTGTTCCCACCACAGGCCTCAATTTACACCAGTCACCTCCTCTCAGTTCCTAGCTTGGGGAGCAGGAAAAGCTGGTGTCAACCTGGGGAAAGCATATAAAGGGATGGGTTAATAAAGGAGGGAGCCCTGGCCAGTTTTGCTCAATGGCTAGAGCATCAGACTGAAGGGTCATGGGTTCAACTCCAGTCAGGGGCAGGTACCTGAGTTGCAGGGTCCATCCCTGGCCCCCTGATCAGGATCCTGGGAGAGGCAACCAATCAATGTGTCTCTCTCCCACTGATGTTTCTCTCTCTCTCTCTCCTTCCCTCCCTTCCAGTCTCTCTAAAAATCAATGGGAAAATATGCTCAGGTGAGGATTAACAAACAAATAAATACATAAAGGAGAGAACATTTAATGATGTTAATACATTTATTTGAAGCACTTTACTCTACGGTGGGGCTGGAAGGTGCCAGTTAAAGGAGGTTGGAACCCAACTCTACGTTCTGAAGGTCTCTCCAAACTCTTATAGGGTTGCCATAAGATGAAACTTTAAGCAACTCTGGAGGCTGAAAGGGCAGTTGAAACAACTAGGGAGGCAGGGAGCAAAGAATACAGACGTTCAGGAAAAGAACGAGGAGACATTTCCGAGGCTGTATTAAAAACAGGCCAGAGTTGTAAAGAAAGAACAGGAGTTGGCAAGAGATTGTAGGTATTAAGAAGAGGGTCCAAAGATTATTCTAATGTTTTTATAAGATGGACAATCACAAAGTTGGTGACAACAGGTCAGTTTGCTAAAGGAAGAGAATTAGAAAAAGGAAGGAAAAAGCTGTTTTGCGTTGAGTAATTTAAGATGTCAACCAGAGGAGGCTCGGTGTAATATACGGAAAGATGCTATACTTAGCCTGTCTCGAAAGGGAAAGTTCAGATGTCACGAAGATAGGTTACTGTGACACATATACATTGTGTATTAAATGAGTGCTCTCAGAAAATTCTCCTTCCCCCAATTCTTGGGGCTCTTTCGGAGCTTCGGGACTACATTTCCCAAGATGCCCTGCGCCACGCCCCACTTGGCGCTTCTGGAAAGGTGTCCGGTGAGACTCTGTGCGCAGAACTCCGCCTCCGCTGCTGGGGGCGGGGCGACGTCGTACTCCGGGAGCGTCGGATTACGCACTTCCTCCCCGGGTCGTGCTCAGCTGTCCGGGAGGCTAATTCGAGTCCCGCCTCCTGACTCACTCCACGTTCCTGAGAACGGGGCGGGGCGCATTCGCCGAGTAACTGCTCCACTGCGAGGGGTGGTGGCGCACGTTGGGCTTCACCATGGAGGAATACCTGCAGGGTTGTCGTGCTGCTCTGCAGGTAACGGACCCCTGTCTGTGATCGTAAGGAATGGAGCTTGGGGTCCAGGAAGGACGAAGATGTGGGATCTGAGGAGGGTCTGTGTGGAAAGAACGCGGAATTGTGGGCAACGAGAACCTAGTCTTGAGAGTGGGAATGTTGCTCAGGCTCCCGGTTTTTGGCTCCCTGCATTTAGGATCTGCCCGAGAGCGGGGAGGAGGAATAGCGGGTCTGGGTCCTCTCTGCTCGCTGTCGCCTTTGGGTCAGTTGGTCAAAAGGTCCAGGGCTGTGCCGCCGCCAGGGGCACAGATGTATTTGCTCCGCGAGATGTATTTGTCCCTTTAACGCCACCGATCTTTCAGTTCTACTGTCACAAGGCCTCCTTGGCCCACTGGCCTCCAGGTGAACCCCGGCGGTCCGAGGGGACCTGTGCTTGTGGCTGAGCCTCTGAATGGCGGTTTCTGCCTGGTGCGCCTGACTCGTGCTAGGTTAGAGGTGGTCGTGGTGTTTTCCTTTAAATCTATTTTTAAGATAAACATACACAGTGCACCACTGTTGACCCCTAACCTGCATTTCTTTGCCTCCAGTTTTCTTCCTCGGCCTTAAGGCACACGGATTACATTAAAAACAAAACAAAACAAAACAAAAAACCCACCTGGAAGATAAGCACAAAGTGTGTTTGGGACCAAAACTATAAGCATGACTCTTGAATGCTTTGTGGCTTATTTTGGTACTCTCTGAGCCAGTTGGAATCTCCCAGCCGAGCAGCATTAGGCTGCTATCCCCAGTTAGCAGCAAAAGCTGGCCAGAGAGAGGCTCCAGGAGGCCACCTGGCCCCCCTACTTCAAGCTACACTGCCCCCTAAAAGTCACCTAATTCCACCTGCAGACTCAGCTGCTGGCATAAATGAACGTCCTTACCTGAGAATAGGGGTGAAGTTAAATTTTAACAACAATTACTTGCAAAATACAAATTTTGGGAAAGTTGTTTTAATGCATAAGGCAAATTGGAATTAATTCATTTTGGTTACTTTAAATTTCCACCACAGGGAACTTATTAAAGGACAAACGTGGAGTCTTGGCACCATTCCAAATGCTAAGCAGTTGGATTGCCACCCCCACCCTCAGCCAGCAGTAACCCAAATGACTGGTCTCTTTCCTCACAAAGTAGCATTTCATTGCATGCATCCTATAGCATCTACCCTTCAGAGCACCTCTACCCCTTTCAGGTTAACAGTATATCTTCTGTAGTAGTATGAAGTTGAAAATACTGGATTTTTCTAATATTGCTGGTATCCTGACTTCTTTGCCTGCATTCATCCCTCAAGGAGCAAGATATAGATCTTAATTTTTCCTAACTTGTGAACTTGTGAAGGTGAGGTTGTATTTTAGAGCTCTCATCATCACACAGCTTAGCCAGGGCCAGGAGAAATGAGAAAATTGGACTCTAGGAATGTTAGTGGGTGAACTGGTAGCAGGACATACAGGTGGACACCAATAATTTAGATTGCTTTTAATTATAGACGTTGTCAATGTAGATGGTGAGCATTTTGTTTTTTTGGGTTTTTTTGGTGGTACATGCTCCTAGTGGGAACCAAACCCGGGACTCTCTGGTCCGCAGGTCGTCGCTCTGCCACTGAGCCAAACTAGCCAGGGCGTGAGCATTTTTAAATACAAAATGGTTATGAAGTGAAAAAGGTTCTTTTTCTTCCCCCCATCAAATCCCCCAGAGGCCACACTTGTTTCTTGTGTAAAGAAGGTATGAGTTAACCCTGGGTAGTGGCTCAGTTGGTTGGAACATTGTCCCATAAACCAAAAGGTGGCGGTTTTGATTCCTGGTCCAGGCACATACCCAAGTTTCTGGTTTGACCCCAGGTCAGGGTGCATGTGGGAGGCAGCCAATCAATGTTTCTCTCTCACGTTGATGTTTCTATCTCTCTCTCTTTCTCTCTCTCTAAAAATATCAATAAAAACATATTTTAAAAAATAATAAAGAGCCCAGCCAGTGTGGCTCAGTGGTCGGATGTCAGCCCATGCACCAGGAGGTCCCTGGGTCAGTTCCCAGTCAGGGCACATGCCCAGGTTGTGGGCCCATCTCCGGTGTGGGGGCACGCAGGAGGTGGCCAATTGATGTCTGATGTTTCTCTCTCTCTCTCCCTCTCCTGTCCTCACTCTCTCTAAAATCAATATAGAAAAAAAATTTTTTTAAATAAAGAAAGAATGAAATCCTGACTCATCCCAAGCGGGGAAAAAAATGTTGCTTCAGTGTGGGGCTGCATTCGGATAATTTGTGTTGTCTATATTTCTCAGGCATGAAGCAGGAACCAGGCGTGGCTGGCTTTCCTCCAAAATTTACAGTCCTGGCATCAGTATTAGTCCTATTTTTTCCGCTGGAAGTGCTTCTCTATCTCTGGCTCCTTGTCTCCCCGCCCCCCCCCCCCTAACCATTTTGTAGAATAGGCATCAGACCATATTTAGCTTCAGAAGGGAAGTAGTTTGCTTTGCCAGCCCTGGAACCTGTCCCCTCTCCCACAAAGAATGTCAGGATACAGTCATTTCAGTAGTGGGTTGTTGTTTGTTTTTAAGGAAAAAAGTTTATATTTATTTGTGGCTCTCAGATTGTATTTCTTCCATTGGCAGCTTAGGTTTCCTTATGCTCTAAGTATAGCTGTATTTGCTCTGAACTCTTCCCCCATGGTCAGAAAACAGGCTGTTTGGCTTGTGCTTTCAGCTGGTGGGGGTGGGGTAAGGGTAAAGAATTGTGCACATTTTTCCTAAATGAGGAGAATGTTGCTTTATTTTTTCTTTTATTGATTTTAGAGAGAGAGGAAGTGAGACGGGGAGAGAGATAGAAACACATCTATGTGTTTGGCTGCCTCCTGCATGCCTCCCACCAGGGATCGGACCCATAACCTGGGCATGTGTCCCAACCAGAAATCGAACTGGTTACCTCTTGGTGCATGGGTCTACGCTCAACCACTGAGCCACACTGGCTGGACCGAATGTTGCTTTATAAATTGGGCAGCCATACACTACTTTGCCCAGGACAGTCTTAGTTTATTCTGACATAATCATTAATTGTAACCCTTTTTCCTTCTCAAAAAGTATCCTGGTTTGAACAACAAAGTATACGATTACCTACTTGTAAGCTATGTCAAGGATTTGGGATATGTGTCCACAAAAAGGTAGTGAGCTCCTTAAGGTAGAAGTTAAGTTCCATATGAGGGCCACCAATATTGGCAGTGGGAGGTTTAGAGGAAGAGAATTGCTCTGGGAAGGTCATGGAGAAAGGCTTCACAGAGAGAGGGGGCTTTCAATAGGGCCTAATGGGACAGGGAGGAGCAACGAAGGAGAAGATGGAAGGGAACTCATCTTGACTACAACAGAGTAGGCACTTACATGCGGTCTCTCTTTTTTTTGTTGTTTATCCTCACCCGAGGACATTTTTCCATATTTGTTCAGATAGAGTGGGAGGGAGGGAAAAAGAGAGAGAAACATCGATGTGAAAGGTACACATCGAGTGGTTGCCACCTGCATGACCCAGCCAGGGCCGGGGACAAACTGCAACTGAGGTACGTGCCCTTAGTGGGAACCCGGGTCTCTCTGGACCGCGGGCCAACGCTCTAACTGCTGAGCCAAACCGGCCAGGGCTCTTTTTTTTTTTTTTTTAACAGGCTTTATTTTTATTTTTTTTAAAATTGATTTGAGCGCGAGAGAGAAACATTGATGTGAGAAACATCAATTGGTTGCTTCCCACACATACCCCGACCAGGGATCGAACCCACAACCTGGGTATGTGCCCCGACCAGGGATCGAACCCACAACCTGGGTATGTGCCCTGACCAGGAATCAAACCAGTGACCTTTCAGTGCATAGGATAATGCTCAACCAACTGATCAGGGCTGCGCAGTCTTATTTAATCCTCATAACAACTTCATGAAATTGATTGCATTATTACCTTCATTTTTATTTATTTTATTTTTTTAATCCTCACCCAAAGACATTTTTGCATTTATCTTCAGATAGAGCGGGAGGGAGAGTGGGAGGAAGAGAGAGAGAGAAACATTGATGTGAGAGAGACACATTGAGTGGTTGCCACCCACACGACCCTGCAACCGAGGTATGTGCCCTTAGCGGAAACCGAACCCGGATCTCTCTGGTCCATGGGCTGACGTTCTAACCACTGAGCCAAACCGGCCAGGGCTATTACCTTCATTTTTAAAATGAAAAACAAGGCTTAGAGAGGCCAGGGTCCCACAACAAGTAAGAAGCAGAGCTGGGGGTCTAACCCCAGTCTGTGTTCTTTTTAAATGGAAGCTCTGCTGCTTTCAGCCAGAGCAAATAGTGCAAAGGGCAGAGTTGGGAATGTGCACATTGTTTTTCTGGGTGGCGAACAGACCAGTCAGGCTTGGGAAATGGTGGGTGCTGATGGGAAAGGAACGCCACCACCCTTCTTGGTCACTCCTTTTCCAAGATTAGCTAAAAGTTCCAGAGTATCCCTTTGGTATTAGTTCCTTTTGGTTGCTGTCTGAGCTTGGCTGAGCGCAGGGAGTTGGTTATTCGCCTTCCTCTGGAAATCATTTCTCCTCACCTCAGAGCCATGAAGTTGTATTTAGTCCCTCCTTTCTGGTTTGCTGCTTAGCCCTCTGTTGATGTTGAGGATCTGACTGACCCTGATTCCTCTGCCACTGACATGAAGCAGCACTAATGTGAGTTTTGCAAAGGGCCTCTTCATGCCCAGCAATAGGTCTCTCCCCTTTACTTTGCCTTTTTTTTGTTTCTCCTAGAGAAAGAAAGGTGGATGTGAAAGGGAAATATCATTCGGTTGCCTCCCATACACCCCAACCGGGGATCAAACCTGCACCCTAGGTATGTGCCCTGACCAGGAATTGAACCCACAGCCTTTGGTATACAGAATGACATTCTAACTGACAGAGCCACCTGGCCAGGGCCACCTTGCTCTGCCTTTTCTCTGTTCCTTTTACTTTTTTGCTCCTGAGTCAGGGCCATATGGCCGCTTGTGTTTATATAGTTCCCTCTAGAGAACATTGTGCCCCCCTTTCTGGTTCAGTGAGCTAGTTATCTGTGCAGTCACTTATCTCAAGTGCTTTGTTGTCACTTTGGTCCACCGCCATCTGGGCAGTTCTTGGTGTCCAGGAAACAGAGGGGCCTTCTCTGGTATCAGGAGGAGGAATTTTGCAATTCAGAGAAGTTACTCTAGCACTGGGGTCTTGAGTAGAGAATTTTCATATTGTGTTGGGAAAGAGTTTAATATTGAAAAGAATCTCCCTTGCTGTTCAGTATGAGTGGGTCTTGGCTGCCACCACCCTGCTGAATTAGGCTCAGAGAAATGGGTGCAGGGGATAACCTCAGGGCAAACTTTCCCCAGAGGCCCTTTGCCCAAAATCTTGAGAGATAACCCCTGCCTTTTGTATTTCTCTCTAGGGGTGGGAACAAGAGGTAGGAAAGAGGGTGGTTTAAAAACAAAAATCTAGTTAGTTATGAGGTAAGCCAATTTATACCACCAGAAGTCTTCCAAAATTGCCCCTTTCTGGGGGATAGGGGGAAATAACAGCCAATACAGGGAAGGTGATTCTAGGTCCCCCTAGATTCTCTTTTTTCCTAAAATTAATTACTTAATAACTGTTCCTTGTTAATATTTTGCTCCTCTGAATTCCTGTCCCACTTTTCTAAATTCTTCCAACTAGCAAATCTTTCCTGATTGAAGAAGCCAGAATGTTTGGATTTTCGCCTTTCTATAACCTAATAGTTCCTACCCGGGGGTGATATTTGCTCCCCAGGGAATATTTGGCAAGGCTGGAGACATTTTTGATTGTCATGACTTGGGGTGCTATAGGCATCCAGTGGGTAGAATCCAGGGGTGCTGCCAAACGACCTACAGAGGACAGCCCCCAGAACAAAGAATTACCCAGTCCTAAATGCCAGTAGTGCTGAAATTAAGAAACTCTGCTATAACTAGTCTGTCTCATTTGTTCTCTGATCCCTTCATCCTTCAGAAGCAGGCTGAAAGAGAAGTTCAAAAGCAAACTAGTAAGAGAGAATTTTTGTGTCATAAGCTGAACCATAGACTTTATGGTCTCATTCCACTTGGCTGAATGCTTATACCTATAATGAAATCACAATTCTTAAAGCACCTACCTCTTCAGGTTGTTGTGAGGATTAAATGATTAGTTTGTGTACATAAAACTGTTAGAACAGTGTATGGCACACTCTAAATGTTTCAGAGCTAAACCAAACCCCAGTCTCTACTATTGTGGGCACTGTGGGTTTTAATGTATTTAAAACTGATAGCTAGGGAGCTGCAAGGGAACAAGGTTAATAATAACCCTCCCTCCTCAGTTCTTTTCAGCAGCTGGACTTTTCAAAGCATTAAAAATAAAAGTTCCAGCAGCAGCAACTGTGGTTGCTTTAAGCTAAACCTGGGAAAGTGTCTGTTTCTCGGGTTGAGAGTATCTAGTTATCATGGAGGCTCCTTGGTGGTGGGGGTGGGGGTGGGTTATGGACAACTAGGTAATTAATGGACTAGATCTTACATTTTGAAGTGTAAGGATTCTTTTCTTTGTTTTGAAAATGGGGAAAAAATAAACCATAGCTTGAATATATCAGCTTACCTTCGACTCAAGTGCCCAAAGCAACATCAGAAATCAGAGAATTATTTACTGCTGTTTTTCTGTAAATTAACATTCAAGGAGCCCAGCTGGTGTGGCTCAGTGGTTGAACGTTGACCTATGCACCAAGAGGTCGCTGGTTCTATTTCTAGTCAGGGCACATGCAGGGTTGCAGGCTCGATCCCTGGTAGGGGGCGTGCAAGAGGCAGCCAATTGATGTTGATGCTTCTCTTTCTCATCAATGTTTTTATCTCTCTCTCCCTCTCCCTTCCTCTTTCTCTAAAGAATCAATAAAAATGCGCCCTGGCCTTTTCGGCTCAGCGGTTAGAGTGTTGGCCTGCAGTCCAGAAAGACCCGGGTTTGGTGTTCGGTTCCCACTAAGGGCACGTACCTTGGTTGCAGTTGGTCCCCATCCCTGGTTGGGTCGTGCGGGAGGCAGCCACTCACTGTGTCCCTTTCACGTCGATGTTTCTCTCTCTCTCTCTCTCTCTCTCTCTCTCTCTCTCTCTCTCTTCCCCCCTCTCCCTCCCTCCCTCCCTCCCTCTCACTCTATCTGAACGAAAAATGTCCTTGGATGAGGATAAAAAAATAAAAATAGAAATAAAAAGAATCAATAAAAATGTTTTAAAAATACCCAGCCAGTGTGGCTCAGTGGTTGAGTGTTGACCCATGCAACAAGAAGTCGCCAGTTCAATTCCTGGTCAGGGCACATGCTCACATTGTGGGCCAAATCCTCAGTGGGGGGCATGCAGGGGGCAGCCAATTGATGTTCTCTTTCATCGATGTTTCTATCTCTCCCTCTCCCTTCCTGTCTCTCTAAAAAAATCAATAAAGAAAACAAAATATTTTTAAAAATTAACATTCAAGGAGATAGTGTAGCAAAGAGAAAAGAGCACTTTCACACTAACCGGATCTGTGTGGAATGCTCAAATCTTTGCCAAAACACAGATAACCTCTCAGCTAATGTCCTCATCCATGAAATGAGGACCCATAGATTAACCTGTCTACCTTAGTGAGAACCAGGGAGTGGATGTGTGTGAAGCCCCACATAGTATAAGGTAAATGGAAATACAGAGATGCTTCTGCTAGTTTCCCATTCTCCTTCTAGGAGTCCCGGCCACTACATGTTGTGCTGGGAAATGAAGCCTGTGACTTGGACTCCATGGTGTCCCCTCTCGCCTTGGCTTTTTACCTGGCAAAGGTGAGTACTTAGGAACAGAATCTCTTAGAATGAAAAGATATGGATTCAAGATTCAGCTCTGCTGCTTAACACCATCTAGTCTTGGGTAAGTTAAATCCCTTAATGTTTCCGAGTATCATGTCACCATCTATAAAGCCTGAAGTAATTTACAGTGTTGCTGTAAGGATCAAATGTGTAAACCAGGAGCATTTGAGATCTTGCTTCCTGATAATTGTCATCAGTTTGGTTTACATAAACTCATAAAAATTCAGAAAGAAAAAGAATATGTAAACCATAAAGCAATATTCAAACAGTTTATTATTTGATCTAGTGTGTATTCCTCATGTCCAAGTCAGCTCTTGAAGACTGATAATCTCTCCTCTGCAGCATCTAGAACTAGGTCTTTTCCATGAGTTATCTTGTTGACTTTCATGCTATTGCTAAGAATGAGAGAGGACAAGAGTTGTCCTTTTATTTTTATCAACTAGGTAATTTTGGCTTTGAGAAGGGCAGTAACTCATCTAAGATCATGTCTCCTTTGGTCCTAGTAGTCTTATTTTTTTTCTGTCTGTTCCAAAACATTGCCATACCTTCTTTTCACTGTCCTCTCCAGACGACTGAGGCTGAAGATGTCTTTGTGCCAGTTTTAAATATAAAACGTTCTGAGCTACCTCTACGAGGTGACAACGTCTTCCTTCTTCAGAAGGTTCACATTCCAGAGTCCCTCTTGATTTTCCGGGACGAGATTGACCTCCACGCAATGCACCAGGCTGGCCAACTCACCCTAATCCTTGTTGACCATCATGTATTACCCAAGTAAGTGAAAGGAAGTTAAGTTCATACTTATCACATGCCATGTTAGGCTCTGATGAATAAGATATAAAGAGAGGAATAACTTTGGCTTTCAGGAGTCTCACAGGCTAATTGTAATTGATGGCTCATATCAGATATAGAAAATATTGTTACTTCTCCAGTTTTGCAAATAGAAACTTGGAGAGTTCAAACTAAATGATAACTCAGAAATCATTGAAATCTGCCTTTGGTATCTTTATTTTTTCTATTTATCTTCAGATACAGTGGGAGGGAGAGAAAGGGCACATCAGCTGGTTGCCTCCTGCACGACCCTGACCAAGGCCAGGTACAAACTGCAACCAAAGTACATGCCCTTGCCTGGAATCAAACCTGCAACTCATTGGTCCATGGGCCGACACTCTACCACTGAGCCAAACCAGCTAGGGCTAGTATCATTTTTTTTTTTTTTTTTTAAGATTTTGTGGTAGATATGTTATAATAGGAACTTTTTTTTTTTATCCTCACCCGAGGACATTTTTCCATTTTTTGTTCAGGTAGAGTGGGAGGGAGAGAGAGGAACAGAGAGAGAGAGAAACATCGATGTGAAAGGGACACATCGAGTGGCTGCCACCCGCGCAACCGACCAGGGCCGGGGACAAACTGCAACCGAGGTATGCGCCCTTAGCGGGAACCGAACCCGGGTCTCTCAGGACCGCAGGCCGACGCTCTAACCGCTGAGCCAAACCGGCCAGGGCATAGGAACTTTTTTTTTATCCTCATGCGGGGACATTTTTCCATTTTTTGTTCAGGTAGAGTGGGAGGGAGAGAGAGGAACAGAGAGAGAGAGAGAGAAACATCGACCTGAAAGGGACACAGCAAGTGGCTGCCACCCGCACAACCAACCAGGGCCAGGGACAAACTGCAACCGAGGTACATGCCCTTAGCGGGAACCAAACCCGGGTCTCTCGGGACCGCAAGACGATGCTATAACCGCTGAGCCAAACAGCCAGGGCTATAACAGAAACTTTTGAATAATGGTTGCAACTTTTTAATTTTTAAAAAGTGAGCAAAATTATTTCCTACATAAGACAATATCTCATTAGTGTCTGCTTAACAAAGGCACACTCCTATAATAATTCCATCCCTAATTTGGGACCGGAACAAACTGCCAAGAAAGCAACATAAGTAAGTCTGTCTGGCTTCTGCTAATATTAAAATGTATGTTTTTCCCGCCCTGGCCGGTTTGGTTCAGCGGTTGGAGCGTCGGCCTGCGGTCCTGAGAGACCCGGGTTCGGTTCCCGCTAAGGGCACGTACTTCGGTTGCAGTTTGTCCCCGGCCCTGGTCGGTTGTGCGGGTGGCAGCCACTCGATGTGTTCCTTTCACATCGATGTTTCTCTCTCTCTCTGTTCCTCTCTCTCCCTCCCACTCTACCTGAACAAAAAATGGAAAAATGTCCTCGGGTGAGGATAAAAAAAAAAAAAATTTAAAAAAAAAAAAAAAAAAAAAATGTATGTTTTTCCCTTGAGCACACTGGCTATAGCAGGACATTGACAGAGGGTCACCCAACGGCATTGATCCAGCCATACATTCACTCATTAATAAACTTCTGTTTAGAGGATGAAGGTGAGACAGAGCCCCTGTGTTCAAGAAGTTTTCAGTCAGGCTGGTTTGGTTCAGCGGTTAGAGCATCGGCCTGCAGTCCAGAGAGACCCGGGTTTGGTTCCAGTTAAGGGCACGTATCTTGGTTGCAGTTTGTCCCCAGCTCTGGTTGGGTCGTGCGGGTGGCAGTTACTCGATGTGTCCCTTTCACGTCAATGTTTCTCTGTCTCTCTCTTCCTCTCCCTCTCACTCTATCTGAACAAAAAATGAAAAATGTCCTCGGTGAGGATACTGGAGAGGAGTAGAGGGTGTCAGGAAAGGTTTCCTAACAGAGTTGACCCTTGATCTCAGTCTTTGTATTTAATCCTCACCCAAAGATATTTTTACATTTATCTTCAGACAAAGTGGGAGGGAGGGGGGAGAGAGAGAGAGAGAGAGAGAGAGAAACATCAATGTGAGAGAGACACATTGATTGGTTGCCACCCGCATGACCCCGGGGCTGGGGATGAACTGCAACGGAGGTACATGCCCTTGGCCGGAATTGTACCCGGGACTCTTTGGTCCACGAGCCGATACTCTAACCACTGAACCAAACCGGCCAGGGCTTGATCTCAGCCTTGAAAGAGGACTAGGTGTTTGCTCCGGGAATGGGAAGGTAAGGTAGTTAGGAAAAGCATCCAGACAGTGATTAATATAAGCAAAAGCAGACAGGCATGAAATAGTGTGGTGAGTTGGGGAACTGTAATTTGTTTTGTATGGCTGGAGCATAAAATAAGAGTGAGGCCCTGGCCAGTTTGGCTTAATGGTTAGAGTATTGGCCCTCGAACCAAAGGGTTTCAAGTTTGATTCCTGGTCAGGGGCATGCCCAGCCCTGGTTGGGTTGTGTGTGGGGCAACCAATTGAAGTGTCTCTCTCACATCGATGTTTCTCCCTCTCTCTCTCTCCCCCTCCCTCATACTCTCTCTAAAAATCAATGGAAAAATATCCTTGGTTGAGGATTAACAAAAATAAAATAGGACTGAGAAGTAAGACATGGAAAAAGAAAAGACTAGAGAGGTAGGCAGGGTCCAGGTCATAGAGACCTTGCAGGCCTGCCAAAGAGATTAGACTGTATATTAGTGCAGTGGGGAATTCTTGTTAATTATATTTACTTCAGTTCCTAACAATCAAATTTGCATTTTTCAAATGATCATTCAGGTAGCATTGTGGAGGACAGCTTAGGAAGGCCCAAGACTGGAAACAGGTGTTTGGTTAAGAAACTACTGGAACAGTCCAGGTGAGAGATATTGAGGGCCTAGAAGAAGGCAGTAGCAGAGGGCTGAAAAAGAGGGAATAAATAGAAATTGAGATAGAAGCTACGGGATCTGGTGACCTGCATGGAATTTCGGTATGAAGTGAATTGAGGGAACAGGAGAGCTTTATACTTTGCCAAAGTCACTTATACACTATTTAATCATGACTTCAGTTACAACATTAAAGAAAATAATTGAAAGGAGTGCGGCAGATGTAGAAGTGACCAAAAGTCTAAGTTTACCTAAGATGTTTGCATTTTCCTTCATGAGTGAGGTGGAAATTGGTTAGAAGCAGCTGGAGTGCTCCTACCTACCTTTTTCCCCCTCTTTTCCCCACACAGAAGTGATGCAGCCCTAGAGGACGCAGTAGCAGAGGTGCTCGACCATCGGCCCATGGAGCAGAAGCAATCCCCTCCCTGCCCTCCCTGCCATGTTTCAGTTGAGCTGGTGGGATCCTGCGCTACCCTAGTGACTGAGAGAATCCTGCAGGGGGCACCAGAGATCTTGGACAGGCAAACTGCAGCCCTTTTGCATGGTGAGGGTGGCTTGGTTGGGACTGACTCATTACTCCCTCTATTCCTATCCCAGAGAAGGGACTGTGGAAAAGTCTGGATTCTTCCAACTTGACCATACCCTCTCAGAGCCATTCAGCCTATACTGAAGGCTAGGATTCTTTCAGGAGCCAATTAGGCATTAAAAGGCATCAAACCAGCCAGTGTAGCTCAGTGGTTGAGCATTGTTGACCCATGCACCAAGAGGTTGCCTGTTTGATTCCCCATCAGGACACATGCCCAGGTTCTGGGCCCTATCTTCAGTGGAGGGCATGCAGGAGGTGGCCAATCGATGTTTCTATCACTCTCTCCCTCTCACTTTGTCTCTCTAAAATCAATAAAGAAAAAAAATTTTTTAGCCTTGGCCAGTTTGGCTCAGCAGTTGGAGCGTCGGCCTGTGGACCAGAGAGTCCAGGGTTCGGTTCCCACTAGGGGCACGTACCAAACAAAAAAAAGAAAAAAAAATGTTTTTTTAAAAAGGCTGTGGGATACTTTGTTATTTAAGGGTCTGTGAGATACATTGTTGGAGAAAACAGAAAGGAAACGGGGACAACAGACCTAGCAGCTCCCTCAGCAGCACTGTATAATGAAGAGAAGAGTAGCCAAAGAGCTGGAAACAGATTCCAGTATCATTTCTGCCCAGGAAGTCATTATATGACCTTGAAAAAATCTCTTAACCTTTCTTATTTTCATTTGTTTAAAAAAAGAGAGAGTTGGACTAAGCTGTCATAACTGATAAGATTCTTTACTGGAATTTGGCCTATAGAAGAGAGGTCATCTTTCTCTAACTAGGTTTCAAAATCTCTAAAGATTGAGATGCTCAGGCCTTCTTTCTATCTTTTCCCCATTTTCCTGCCAGCATTTTAGTTTGGATTTTGGAGGTCTTACTCAGGACATAGTTCTAGTTTCTTGTTTTGTTTTTAGTGAGTTTGTATACAATCTGCTTTGTATTATATCCATTTGGTTGGAGGGTTATGTGTATTTCAGTGGTCGTGAATGGAGGGCCACAAGATATGAGTTCTGCTATCTTCCTTTTCCACAGGAACAATCATCGTGGACTGTGTCAACATGGACCTTAAAATGGGAAAAGCAACCCTTAAGGACAACAAATATGTGGAAAAACTGGAGGCCCTCTTCCCAGATTTGCCCAAGAGAAATGACATCTTTGATTCTCTACAAAAGGCAAAATTTGATGTTTCAGGTATGAAATGTTAAACCAGCTTCTCTCCCTCTCACATGAGAAAACAGGTAGGTGATCCTTGTTCATTATATTCTTGAGCACCATCAAAACAATTTCAGAGCCTGGGTAATTATTTAAGCTTTGGAGAGAAACAGGGTAGCGTGTGAGTCTGATCAGGAACTAATCAATCATTTACTGAATTGTTCTATCCAGGCTCTTGGGGAAGATGAGGAATATACTAGGAGTATCAGAGGTTTCCAGTCTAATCAGAGAATATAGACATATAAATAAAATATGCTGAGGGATTGCTAAATTATCAAGTGAGATCTAGAAAATTGCTTAGGGAAACAGAAGAAACAGGGTGAATATACCAAGGATGAAGGAAGAAAACAAAAAAACTTCCATAATTTTCCACCCAACTACCTCCTGATAAAAAAATAATAATAATAAGTACCTTAGAAAATTAAAACAGCACAGAAAAGGGAAAAATCAAAGGTAAAATCCTGTCTTCTTCCTTTTACCCTTCTCTCCAAAGTCCTTTGCTCTAAAGGTAACTGTTGTCACCCAGTAATTTAAAGTAATTTTTATTATATAATTACATTTTCAGTTATCAGCCCTGTTTATTGCCCCAAAGAGAGGCTGTTTTCCCTCTTCCTTGACCCATCTTGGTGTTTTCACCTTCCTGGTTTGGGGACCCTGGGCTATTTTTTTTTAACCCCTAGTCTCACATCTACTTTCTAGGTTTGACCACTGAGCAGATGCTGAGAAAGGACCAGAAGACCATCTTCAGACAAGGCATCAAGGTGACCATTAGTGCGATATATATGGATTTGGAGGTAAGAGCAAGATGTAGGTGTGAGTGGAAAGAGAAAACCTTCAGTTATGTAGGTAACCTTGCCCCTCACTTCTGGCTCTCCTCCAAAATATATCTTGTACCTATCTGTTTCTCCTGCTCTATTTTTTTTATTTTTTATCCTCACCCGAGGACATTTTTGCATTTATCCTCAGAGCGGGAGGGAGAGATGGAAGAAGAGAGAGAGAGAAACATTGACGTGAGAGAGACACATCAAGTGGTTGCCACCCACACGACCCCAATCAGGGCCGGGGACAAACCACAACTGAGGTGCGTGCCCCCTGCAGAAACCAAATGCGGGCCTCTGGTCCATGGGCTGATGGTCTAACTGCTGAGCCAAATTGACCAGGGCTCTATTTTAACACAGTTCATTGCTTCTTACTGTACTGCTATTAATAGCCCCCCCCCCCAGTTTCCCAACCTCCAATTTGTACCCCTAAAAACCATTTTCCCCACAGCAGCCAGAGTGATGATGTTAATACATAACTTTGATCATGTCACCCCTTCCTTTACTGCCTTTTCATTGCACTTTTAATAAAATGTAAAGGGCCTACTGTGGTTTATAGGGCCTGCCTTGTCTTTTTCTCTGGATCTTACTCCCTCCAGCCCTACTCTTGCAGCCATACTGATTTTCTTTTTGTTCCCTAGAACCATTAGGTTCATCCCCAACTCGGGGCTTTTGTACTTGCTTTTCCCTTTGCATAGCTGGCTCCTTCATGTCGTTCAGGTCCGAGCTCGGATGTCTCCTCTTTTAAGAGGTTTTTCCTGACCATCCTAACTGAAATAATATCCTCTCTGCTCAAAAATCTCTAACAGTTATCTTATTGTGTTTTCTTCATAGTACTCAACACACTGAAATAATCATTTTTCATGGTTTTATTATTTATTGTCTATATTCCTCCTCGTTCATTGGCTCTGCCAGAGCGGGAGCCTGTTTCTTTTGTCTCTGCAATGTCTGCAGCGCCTTTGACAGTGCTTGGCACAGAGTGGATGCTCAGTAAATTTTGTTGAATGGGTACATGAATATAACTTTGATAATGGTATTTTAATTCCTGGTTCCATATTATATTGGTTTAAAACAACCTGGTCTGAACACATATTCTCAGAGTCTGCACAGCTTTCAACTAAATACTATATAAAAATACTAAATAATTAAATAAAACAAAATAGCATGATCTCTTCCCTTATGACTCATCACCTAGCTTGGGAAACAAACATAAGAACATGAAAGGCTTATCAAATACCATAATCACATGTAAATCGACACATTAGAAATGCCTAGGATAGAGAAAAACCCTGATCAGAAACAGTTAGTGGTGGTGTCCATTGGAGGAAATACTGTGTGAGATTTTGGAGAAGGGTAGAGACTGTTAAAGAAGGAAGAGCCAAGGATGTAGTTGTCACATGCCTATTCTTATTTATATACTGTTGTTCTCTTTTAGAATAAAAATACCCACAAGGCAAAGACCTTGCTTGTTTGATTGTAAGAGCAGAAGAGCCCTGTATATGCCAGGCATGTTACATACATTATCCTGTTTGTTAATCTTCACCCAAGGATTGTCTTTCCATTGATTTTTTTAGAGACAGTGGAAGGGAGGGAGGGAGGGAAAGAGAGAGAGAAACATTGATGTGAGAGAGACACATCGATTGGTTGCCTTCTGCAGGTGTCCCAACTGGGCCAGGGATCGAACCTGCAATCCAGGTATGTGCCCTTGACTGAGAACTAAACCCAGGACCCTTCAGTGCACAGGCCAATGCTCTAACCAATGAGCCACACCGGCCAGGGCAACATTATCTTTTTTTTTTTTTTAATTTTTTTTCCTTTATAGATTTTAGAAAGAGAGGAAGTAAGAGGAAGAGAGATAGAAACATCGATGAGAGAGAATTTTGATTGGCTGCCTCCTGCATGCCCCCCACTGGGGATTGGGCCCACATCCTGGGCATGTGTCCTGACTGGGAATCAAACCGGAGACCTCTTGATACATGGGTCGACGCTCAACCACTGAGCCACAGACATCTTTTTTGTTTTTATCCTCACCCGAGGACATTTTTCCATATTTTGTTCAGATAGAGTAGGAGGGGAAGAGAGAGAGAAACATTGATTTGAAAGGGACACATCGAGTGGCTGCCACCCGCACGACCAACCAGGGCCGGGGACAAACTGCAACCGAGGTACGTGCCCTTAGCGGAAACCGAACTCGGGTCTCTCGGGACCGCAGGCCGACGCTCTAACCACTGAGCAAAACCAGCCTGGGCCACATTATCTTTTTTTAATTCTTAAACAATCGTGTTTGGTAGATGTTTTATCCTCATTTGATAGATGAGGACACTTAACTCCTGGGAGGTTAATATAATTCCTTGATCATAGAGTTAATAAGTAATAGAGCTGATTTTCAAATCAATTCTGTCTGAACTCAAAACCTGTATTCTTTCCATTCTACAAACTGCCTCCTGGCACATGGGTAGCACAGAGTAAATACTAGATACCTTTTTTTATGGAGTAAAAGTCCGAGGTTAACATGTAAAGAAACCCTTCATAAGCACTTTTTGTTGGTGGTGACCAGGGGGTTCTAGCTGTAGCCTCATCCCTGTTCGTTTCTTCTCTTTCAGGCCTTCCTGCAGAGATCTGGCCTCATTGCAGACATCCATGCTTTCTGCCAGGCTCATGGCTATGATGTCCTGGTTGCCATGAATATCTTCTTCAACACTCACAATGAGCCAGTGCGGCAGTTGGCAATTTTCTGTCCCCATGCAGCGCTCCGAATGACAGTGAGTCTCTGTCTCTTCTCCACCCTGAGGGCTCTGCAGAGCTCCTCCTGTGCCTGTGCCCTGTGCTGTAAAGACTTCACCTGGGCTCTTACGTTTGCACAGAGGCCCCTTGACCCATTTCCAGAATCTCCCCTCCTGCTTTTTTTTCACTCTGTCTATGTGAATATCCTTAATCATACTGTTGTTGGGAAAGGGAGATTCCAAAGAGAATTAGAGATGGACTTCCTATTTAGAAGGAACTTGAAATCAGGTTAAAGAGTAAATGTAATGAGCCCTGGCCGGTTTGGCTCAGCAGTTAGAGCGTCGGCCCATGAACCAAAGAGTCCTGGGTTCGGTTCCCGCTAAGGGCACGTACCTCGGTTGCAGTTTGTCCCCGGCCCCAGTTGGAGTCGTATGGGTGGCAACCACTCAATGTGTCTCTCTCCCATCAATGTTTCTCTCTCTCTCTCTCTTCCTGCATCTCTCCCTCCCACTCTATCTGAACATAAATGCAAAAATGTCCTTGGGTGAGGATTAAAAACAAAAAGTAAATGTAATGAATCTGGAGTTAAAACTCAGTTCTTAATCATTAACTCCTCCCCCCTGAAAATCAATTCCTTTCTCTTTACTCTGTTGCCTTGAAAAGGGGAAACAAGAGAAATCTTGTCTACTCACCCATGCAGGGAGTAATTACCCTGTGTAGTGCTGACAGTGTAAAGACGTGACCGAGAACAGGTTTGTTTTCTTGCCTGGTCTTCAATTCGGCTACCTTTACCACCTCCCCGTTCTTTTCCTGTGTTGGTTACTCATTAGCCCAGGGAAGAATTTGAAAGTGGACTTAAGGCAGTCCAGGGCCTCTTTGAGTTGCTTGGGCTGTGTGATGACTGCTGAAGACTGGCCTGAATACAGCCAGATAATTCTTTGAGCCCATAAAAGGTACGTCTGCAGCTTTGCCATCTCCTCTAGGAAGCAGATATAGCTTTGTTCAGTGGGAGGTAGTTCGGCCTTGTGGAAAGACTACAGTTTCTAAGGGCAGATAGATGTGCATTTCTGTCCCAGATTTGCTACATACTTTCTCTTTGAGCCAAAGCAAGTCAGTTGACTTCTGAGCCTATAAATAGCATAATATTACCTACTAATTAGTCTGATGTGATAATTAAACATAACATCACATATAAAGTACATTGCTGGGCCCTGGCCGGTTTGGCTCAGTGGTTGGAGCATCGGCCTGTGGACCAGAGAGTCCTGGGTTTGGGTCCCGCTAGTGGCATGTACCAAAAAATAAAATAAAATTTAAAAAAACTATGACTCTAGGATGTTACCTCATCTGTCTAAGCCTCAGTTTCCCTACCTGTGACTGGGGGTAATAGTAATACCAATCTTATAAGGTGGTTGTGAGGAGTAATTAGGTAATGTAGTATTTGTAAATAGCCAGACTTGGCACCACGCCTGGCATACCTCCCACCCCCACTTTGACTTACTCATTCTTTCTGCCTCTGTCCTTCCCCTGACCTCAATATAGATACATGTCCCATCCCAGCTAAGGATAGAGTTCAAGTTTTTGAGCATAGGAGAACACTTGGTGACAACACTAGGTTAGAAGCTGGGGGTCCTGGGTTCTGATTAAGACTCTACCATCTTCTACATGATTTTGCTGAAGATGCTCAATCTCTCAGAGATTTGGTTTACTTATTTATAAAATGAAATATATGATCTTTAACGTTTCTTCTGTTTCTAAAATACTGTGTATATTAGCTGATGTGCCTTTTGTTTGTAAGTAATGAAGCTGAACTCTGGGTGACTTAAAAGAAATGTATCCTTGTGAGAGAAGCCTTCAACCTAGAAGCCTCAGCAATGGGCCTCAGCAGTTGCTTCACCACCTGATTTGCCATTTCCCCATCTTGTCGCCCCTTTAGATCTGTGGAGTCCTGGAACGCTCCCACTCTCCGTCCCTGAAGTTGACCCCCATCCCAAGCACCCACCCTAACCTCCAAGCCTATCTTCAAGGCAACATCCAGGTTTCTCGAAAGAAACTTCTGCCTCTGCTCCAGGAAGCCCTGTCAACATATTTTGACTCCATGACAATCCCTTCAGGGCAGTCTGAGACAGGGGATGTGTCCAGGGAGCAGGTGGACAAGGACTTGGACAGGGCAGGTGCCTCCCTGATTCCTGGACTGAGTCAAGATGAGGAGGAGCCTCCACTGCCCCGCACGCCCATGAACAGCTTGGTGGATGAGTGCCCTCTGGATCAGGGGCTGCCTAACCTCTCAGCCGAGGCCATCTTTGAGAAGTGCAGTCAGATTTCACTGTCACAATCTACCACTGCCTTCCTCTCCCAGAAGTGACTTTGGGGAGGGGAGGGGAAAGTGAGAGAGGTTGCTTGCACCACCTCGAATGCATGTTTTGAGAGGCTTCAGCAATTCGGTCTTCATTGCTCCAGGATCTGGTATACTTGTACTGTTCTCATAAATCTGGGAGGAGAAAGAAGTACAAGAAAGCAGCTGCTTTAGGAATGGCTTTCTACCTTTTCTCCCAATCTCTACAATCAAATTCTGTTACTTAATTCTTTAGACCTTCGCTGACTCCTCAAGGGTACACTATAACTTCTCCACTGTTCCAGAAGAGTGGCACAGAAAGAATGTGTACCCCAAATGTGACTCAATAAGGCTCTTTAACAGAACCAGTATCTCTTTCTGACTCCTCTTTCTGCCCCCAGTTAGGTAATGGTGTCTGATTCCAGGATGGCTACATTTTTTTTCTGAGTTTGTTGTGACTCTTTTAGGATTATTTGGGAGCAGATTAGAGGCCATTATCTTCTGCCCTGACCAGGTGGCCTGGCTCTCAGTCTCTTTCTTATCCCAAAGCCACAGAGAGCCTGAGGAAACCCGAAAGCCCCCTGAGCATTCAGGAGACACTTAGAAAGGCCTTAAGTAAGACCTCATGGGCACTCTTCCCAAGAGACCGCAGAACTGCAATGAGAGCCTCAGTTCTGTCCCCTGTCGTAGCAGGTCTGTCAATTTCTTGTCCATATCATTCTCTTCTTGCTCATATTAAAAGAAAGCATGGAGCCCTGGCTGGTTTGGCTCAGCAGTAGAGCAGTCAGCCCGCGGACCAATGAGTCACAGGTTTGATTCCAGCCAAGGGCACATACCTCAATTGCAATTCATCCCCAGCCCTGGTCAGGGTCATGCGGGAGGCAACCAGTCGATATGTCCCTCTCACGTCAATGTTTCTCTCTCCCTCTCTCTCCCTTCCACTGTCTGAAGATAAATAGAAAAATATCCTCAGGTGAGGATTAAAATAAATAAATAAAAGGAAGCATGGATTTCTAATAAGGACTGCCATGAACTGTGTGTCTTTTGGCAAGACACTTTATCTCTAGGTCTCACTTTCCCCACCTGTAAAACTAAGGAAGTTCTGTCTTCCCTGGGAGTGCTCAGGGTCACTGTATTGTCTATTTATGTGTGATTGTACCAAGAGACTCAGCCTCATGTAATGTGTACAGCTGTGTGATTCATACCATAGTGACCCAGCAAAGAGCTCCCTCGTTCTGCATGTGTAGGCTCCCTTTTTTCTTCAGACCCACCTGTTTCCCCTTGTCCTACCCCACAGCTCTATTCTAAAGTTGCCAACAGTTTCACTGAATAGTGGTGTATGTGATGGTTTTGGCATGACGTCTTCTGTGTGAAGGGAACAGTGTGACTTCACTTTGAGGGAATGGTGTGTGTAGCCTTTGGAAGATAAAATTAGTGCTGTGATTACTGAACCAAAGGAATTTATGTTTTGTAACTTGGGTACTTTATTTTGCATTTTGTTAAAGTATTAAATAATTTTTTTTTCCTGGTTGAGATCTTACTGTCTCTTTTTATAACTATAATCAGGCCTTTCCATCAGATAATTGTTTCAGCCTCCTCAAAATTTTCTCCCTTCTTCCTGTTGTACTTAGTATCTTCCTTCTGTTGACTTTTTGGGAATAAGGAGCAACAGTTTTGTGTGTTCTTTTTTTAGTTTTTAAACCTTTTTTTCCCTCACCTAAGGATATTTTACTATTTATCATCTGATAGAGTAGGAGGGAGGGAGAGAAAGACACATCAACTGGTCACCTCCCGTATGACCCGACCAGGGCCAGGGACAAACAGCAACCAAGGTAAGTGCCCTTGACTAGAATTGAACCCACGACTCATTGGTCCGAGGGCCAATGCTCTAACCACTGAGCAAAACCAGCCAGGGCAGGAGCAAAAGTCTTTTAGTTCCCTTCATCCTCAGCCTTTCCTTTATTTTTTTTATTTTTTGTTAATCCTCACCTGAGGATATTTTTTCATTGATTTTTAGAGAGAGTGGAAGGAAGGGAGAGAAAGAGAAAAACATCAATGTAAGAGAGACACATCAACTCGTTGCCTCCTGCACGGACCCCAGCTGGGGCCAGGGATTGAACCTGCAACCAAGGTACCATGTCCTTGACAGGGAATCGAACCTGTGACCCTTTGGCCCGCGGCCAATGCTCTAACCACTGAGCAAAACTGACCAAGGCCTCAGCCTTTCCTTTTATTTGTTTCATCTTCCAGAATCATCCTGACAACATACTCTGTGTCACTGATTTTGCCTGTACAGTCATCCTTCACCACTTCACGCTTCGACTCTCGCGGCTTCACTCTGTTGCGGTTTTTCAAAGTCGAAGCAGGAAGTGGCATAGGACGACTGCATTATAAATAAAGAATCCTACTTCGCAGAAACTCATTTATCATGGTAGAGTCTGGAACTGATTAACTGCGATAAACGAGGGCCGACTGTACTCAAAAAGTATGGCCAAAATAATCCTAAAACCAAAATGGTTTTTACCCTTGCCTTTTTTTTTTTTTTTTAAGAGTAGTTTATTGATTTTTAGAGAGCGAGGAAGGGGAAGGGAGAGAGACAGAAACATCAATGTGAGAGTTCAAGATCAGCTGCCTCCCGCACACCCCCCACCAGAGATCAAGTGCAGGGAGGATGCTCAACCAACAGAGCCACACCAGCCAGGGCAAGCCTTTTTTTGAAGAGCAGCTTCCAGATTATAAGGAGAGCAAATTGCCTTCCTACAGCCCTCCAAGACTAGCCATTTTAGAAAGTGTACTTTCCATTCTGGCTGATGTGGTTCGGTTGGGATGTTGTCCTGTACACCAAAAGGTGGGTTTGATTCCCAGTCAGGGCACATACCTAGATTGTGAGTTTGATAACTGATCTGGGCGCATATGGGAGGCAATCAATGTTTCTCTCTTTCCCTCTTCTCTAAAAAAAATCAATTAAAAAAAAAAGATAATGGACTCTCCTCCCCAGAGCCCGCCCCCACATAGACATGGTTTTTCTTTTGGGCAAACCTGCTCTTTAAGAAGGGAGGTGGCAAAACCTGTTTGAGGGTGAGGTTTTCTCCCTTCCACACCTTCCTCCTCAGAGGCAAGACAACAACAGCTGAGGCAGAGAAAGGGTAGTGTTGGGAAGCTGGGGCAACCAACTCTGAAAATCCAGGTGTTTAAGGAAGGAGACAGATTTGTGAAGATGGGAACTATACAAGAGGCAGAAGAAAAGACATTGGCTGTTGGGTAAGTAAGATCTTAGCTAAATTGGTTGGAAACAAAGTGAATAGTTTTGGGACTTCCCACCATCCAGCTCTTATAAGGTCTAATCTTGGGTTCCTAGAGGCAATAAGACTATAAGAGAAATAATTTAGCCCTGGCCGGTTTGGCTCAGGCCTGTTGGCAGAAGGGTCACAGGTTCGATTCCCAGTCAAGGGCATGTACCTGGGTTGCAGCTTCAATCCCTGGCCCTGGTAGAGTGGGGCAAGAGGCAACCAATCGATGTGTCTCTCTCACATTGATGTTTCTCTCTCTCCCTCCCTCCCACTCTCTCCAAAATTCAATGGAAAAATATCCTCAGATGAGGATTAACAACAACAACAAAATATTAATTTACAGAGAAGGGATGGGGGTGGCTTTAGGTAAGAAAGATCAGGATAGTATGGGAACTGGGGAACAGGGAGTCCAGGGTAATTATCTTTTTTTTTTAAAGGAAGTTTTTATATTTTGTGTCTGTTAAATCTGCCATTATTCTCTGTTTTCTAATTCTCACCCTCCAGAATGGCTATCAGGAAAGCTGACCCAGAACTAAGTTTAGGTCCAGATCCTCCCCAGCAAATTTCTTCCTGCGTACCTTCTTCCCCCACCCCTCCACCTAGACTGTGGTTTTCCCTGACCACTCCCCAGCATGGAGGAGGAAAGACAGACCTGCCCAAGTGCCATCTTCCTGCACTTTGCCTAGTGACAGCTGGGCAGGTCTGATGGCTTCCAGCCAATTGTAATGTGGAATACGTCTCACCCCTACTGTGTAGGTGGAGCACCTGCCATAGAGGTAAATATGATTAGCTTTACATTCTATCCTTCCTCTGCTTCTAACTCAACAGTAGGGGTGATCTGTGTCCAGCAAATGGTGAAGATGGGTAGAAACATCTATCAGAGAAGTTCTTTTTCTTTTTATTTTTTAGTGTAATAAAGGTTTTTCTTTTTCTTTATTGGTTTTAGAGAGAGAGGGAGAGAGAGAGAGAAACATCCATGAGAGAGAACATCGATTGGCTGCCTCCTGCATGCCCCCCAGTGGGCCCACATTGGATCGAGCCCACAACCTGGGCATGTGCCCTGACTGGGAATCCAACTGGCGACCTCTTGGTGTAAGAGTCAACGCTCAACCACTGAGCCACACCAACTGGGTGAGACAAATTCTTTTTAAAGCCTGTTCTGTGCTTTGCACCTTAATTAATATTCTTCGGTCTAGTGTCTTCTACCTATAATCCAGTTCCCTCAAGACATTACCTAGTTTGTCTTATGATAATCTTTTCTTCTGGGGGCGGGGGACCATCTTAGGGCCAGGGAGAATGCGGAAGCAGCAGGACCAGGAGCATCCCTGAGACTCGGGGAACTGGAGCTGGAGGAGGAATGGCAGGATGAAGACTTCCATAGGTGAGGAGGTGAGAGGGAGTTTGGGAGAAGGAAGTGATGGTCTCAAATGGATGCCCTGGCCAGTTTGGCTCAGTGGTTAGAGCGGCGGCCTGCGGACCAAGGAGTCCTGGGTTTGATTCCAGCCAAGGGCACGTACCTCAGTTGCAGTTAATCCCCAGTCCCAGTTGGGGTAGTGCGGGTGACAGCCAATCAATGTGTGTGTGTGTGTCTCTCTCCCTCCCACTTTGTCTGAAGATAAGTGTAAAAATGTCCTCAGGTGAGGATTAAAAAAACAAACAAACAAACAAACAAACAAAAACAAATGGAGGGCAGGCATGGTAAATTAGAAACTGAAGAAGTGGGAAAAAGAAAGCAGAGGTGATCAAATCATATCAGGGAGAGAGAATTGATTATTGATACCTGACTTGGTGCCTTTAGTCTATATTTCTTCCCCCTTTTCATCTTTTTTCCTCCAGATTACTTTCTGAAGAGGCTAACTCTTCTGAAGATCCTGAGGACCCTAAAAGAGACTCACAGGCAGGTAGGTGAATTAGAACCTAGGCCTCAAGTTCTTGGTTCTGACCCAGTGGAGGGTTAAGCCGCCCTCAACCATTTGCAGTTCTATTTGCCTTTTCCCAAATGTCCCCTGTATCTGTCCTTTAGAATTCACCTCATATTATCACTTCCACATATAGGAATTCTAACCAACACACACACACACACATCTTTCTATTCTTTTGTTTTCCCCTCCCCCCACCCCAGGTACCCCCAGCACTCTGGCCCTGTGTGGCCAGCGCCCCATGCGTAAACGTCTCTCTGCCCCAGAGCTGCAACTGGATTTGACGAAGCCTGGAGATAAAGGCGCTTCTCCCACCTACTCTGTACCTTCCTCTCCTGCTGGCAGTTCTGACCTGGACATAGACGAATTGGAGACCCCTTCAGACTCTGAGAAGCTGGACAGTGGACATGAATTTGAATGGGAAGGTGGGAAAGAAACCTGAGGGATGAGCAGGTAGTAGAGGCCTTTGCTAAAGCTCAGGATGGATTTAATGGGACTGAAGTTAGAACTAATGAGGTGGGGACTGAGAGGTAAGGTCAGAAAAATTAATTCTTCAGAAAGGAAAGGTAGAACCTTTGTGAGAAATCCAATGTGAGAGTAGTCAGTGGAGGAAGGGCGGGGTCCTTTGTTTGGCAAGGGAAACTACTGAGTGGCTGGTGTATGCCATCACTGAGCTAGGACCAGAGTTATAAAGAAGAATAAAATAATCTTTATCCCCAGGGAATCTCTGTTTAGTAAGAAATATTAAATACCAGCTGGTGTGGCTCAGTGGATTAAGCATTGTCCCTTGGACTGAGAGGTCCCAGTTTGATTCCCACTCAGGGCATGTGCCCGGATTGCGGGTTTGATCCCAAGTCTGGAGCATGCAGAAAGCAGCTGATCGATGTTTCTCTCTCACATCGATGTTTCTCTCTCTCTCTCTCCCTTCCTCCCTCTCTAAAATATGAATAAAAACATATTTTTTAAAAAGAGAGAAAAAACGGTTGCGGTTTGTCCCCGGCCCTGGTCGGTTGTGTGGGTGGCAGCCACTCGATGTGTTCCTTTCACATCGATGTTTCTCTCTCTCTCTGTTCCTCTCTCTCCCTCCCACTCTACCTGAACGAAAAAAAAAAAAAAAAAGAGAGAGAAAAAAGAAACATACATACAAATAAGTGTGGTTAAAGGTTATGATGTATATGTGTACAGGGTACAGTGTAGGAAGGGAGAAGGAAAAAGTAAGTTCTGCCGAAGACTTCACGGAGGAGGTGATTCTGAGCAGTTGTTTATCAGGTAGTTGGAGAGGTGTTCTAGATGGAAGCAGCAATGTGGACTGTAGAATGGTGTGTTGGGGAACTCAAAGGATTAAGCATGACTATTTAGATATTAAGGAAAATCGTTTCTTCTCTACTCACAACACTTCTGACACCAAATGTGTGGGTTCTCCCCACATCAACCAGTTCTCCAACTCTCCAGACACCAATTAGGTATCCTAAGATATAGTTATGACACTAACTACCTGGAGTTAGCACAGACCCCAGAGGTTAAGGGCTCAGTCCCACAAGACTGTCGCCCCTCCCCCTACTTCAGACACCAGTCACATGTCCAGGTTGTCACCTGTGCTTCAAACTAACTGGCTATACATTACCCCCTTCTCAGGTTCAATAATTTGCTAGAATGGCTCACTAGAATTCAGGAAAACAATTTACTTACTAGATTACAAATTTATTATAAGAGGTTACAACTCAGGAACTGCCAGAAGGAAGAGATACATAGGACAAGGACAGTGGGAAGGGATGCGGAGTTACCACGCCCTCTCCTAGTACCTCCATGTGTTCACTAACCCGGAGGCTCTCCATACCCCTTCTGCTAGGGTTTTCATGGAGGCTTCATTGTGTGGGTATGGCTGATTAATTCACTGGCCATTAGTGATTAACACAACCTCTAGTCTCTCTCCCCTCCCCAGGGTTCCAACCCTCTAGTCACATGGATGGTTCCCCTGGCAACCAGCCACTCATCCTTACGGGCTTTCCAAAGTCACCTCATTAATATAAACTCCTGTGTTTGAAAGGGGCTTGTTATGAATAACAAAAGATAATTCTTTCACCTTTTTCATCAGGAACTGTCCCCAGAGACAGGGACAAAACAAAACAAAAAAATTATTGTATCATATCACTCAGATATGAAGGGCTGGGAGGCAAAGAGAGATTGGCAAAAAAAGAGTACTATATAAACAGGCGAGGTGGGAGCATGGGAGATCCTTGCTACCATGCTAAGGAGTTTAGGTTTTCTCTTATAGGCAATGGGAAGTCATTGAATGCTTTTAGTCAAGGAAATGACATGATCAAATTTCATCGCTCTGAAAAGATTGAAATAACGAAAGGTCCCTCAGGAGGGTATTAATGCTATTGTGGTGCATCCATACAATGAAATACTAAATAGTAGGCAGCTATTTTTTAAGATGAGGCAGCTCTTTCTATTGCCATGGAAAGATCTTGTAGAATTTGTGGGTATAGCATATTGCCATTTCAGAAAAAAGGCAGGGGAGCCCGGCTGGTGTGGCTCAGTGGATTGAGCACTGTCCCATGGACTGAGAGGTCCCGGTTCAATTTTTGGTCAGGGCACATGCCCAGTTTGCGGGCTTGATCCCCAGGAGGGGACGTGCAGGAGGCAGCCAATCGATGTTTCTCTCTCACATCGATGTTTCTATCTCTCCCTCTCTAAAAAAAAAAAAATCAATAAAAATATATTTTAAAAAATTTTAAAAGGCAGGGGAGAACAGAAAGCTTGCTGTAGTGGTGGTGTAGAGGGTGGAATAGAGGGAGACAGACTAAAGGCAGGGAGACCAGCTAGGAGGCTCATATTAAGGCCAGGTGAGAAATGCTAAGACCCTGAACCAGGACAGTAATAGTGGAAAGAACGCTAGAAGAATGTAATGGAGGTAGATGAAAGAGCATCTTGGGTCCAGTTGGCTTGAGGGATGACAGAGAAAAAGAATCTTGGATGACATACAGTTTTCTCAGGAAGCTAGATGGATGAGGTCATTCATCAAGAAAGGAAATGAGCATCGTCCCAGGCACCAAGAGGTTGCTGGTTCGATTCTCAGTCAGGGCACATGTCTGGGTTGTGGGCTCAATCCTCAGTAAGGGGTGTGCAGGAGGCAGCCAATCAATGATTCTCTCTCATCAATGTTTCTATCTCTCTCTTCCTTTGCCTTCCTCTCTCTATAATATCAATAGATTACTTTTAAAGGAAGGAAATATGGGAAAGAGGAAGAAGAGCATGATATTGAGTTACACTTTGTGTCTGGTGACTTGGAGATGACAGAGACATACAAAGTAGAGCTGTCCAGTCTAGGCATTTAGGAACATGGGTCTGGAGTTAGGAGAGAAGCCTGGGTTAAAGAGGAAAATTTTGGAATTATTGGTGGTAACTAAAAACAAGGGAATAGGTGAGCTCACCCAAGGAGAAGCATGGAAAGAGGAAAGAAGGAAAGAAGGAAAGAAAGAAAGAAAGAAAGAAAGAAAGAAAGAAAGAAAGAAAGAAAGAAAGAAAGAAAGAAAGAAGGAAGGAAAGAAAACAAACCTATACTAGCAAGGGGCATTGACTTACCATAGTGCAAGGTTACCTCAAGACCACTGTCTAGTGAAAAACTGAGGATAGCCCAGCTGGTGTGGCTCACTGGTTGAGCATTGACCCATGTATGAAGAGGTCGCTGGTTCAATTCCCAGTCAGGGCACATGCCCAGGTTGTGGCCCAGTCCCCAGTGCAGAGCATGCAAGAGGCAGCCAATCTATGTTCTCTCTCATCGATGTTTCTATCTCTCTCTTTCTTCCTCTCTCTCTAAAATCAATAAAGAAAAAATATTTAAAAAGAAAAAGCAAGGATAATGAGTTGCAGGCAATAGAAATCAGCAAGGGTTTGGGCGTGTTGAACAAACGAGGGCTAGAGTCATGGGGGAAAATTGGGGAATGAGAGGTTGGAGTAATAAACTCTAGGAATCTGGGGAAGTTACAAGATACTGAACATGTGTATTTTGCCCTGTTGATTCTTCCCCATCCCTCTCTTAGATGAGCTGCCCCAAGCAGAGGGTCTGGGGGCCAGTGAGGCAGCTGAAAGGCTGGGCCAGGGCTGTGTGTGGGATGTGGCTGGAGAAGATGGCCATCGCTGGAGGGTGTTCCGAACAGGGCAGCGGGAGCAGCAAGTGGACATGACTGTCATTGAGCCCTATAAGAAAGTCCTGTCTCATGGAGGTAATGGCTAGCATAAGTGCAGGAGTTAAAACTATGACGTCTGGAATAAAATGCCTAAGCTGGAAATTCAGTTATTGGGTTCGCACTGCTTCTATAAATTTCAGAGACCCTCAGAGTCCCTTGACCTGAACATGTCTGTCAATACACATTTATTGACAATGAATTGTTCCTCATCCAGGCTACCATGGTGATGGACTCAATGCTGTCATCCTCTTTGCTTCCTGTTATCTACCCAGAAGCAGCATCCCCAACTACACCTATGTCATGGAACACTTATTTAGGTGAGATGGAAGGCCTGACAGGCTCCAGGGGGGATGTTAGGGAGGAAAACGTAAGAAACAAACCCCTTCTTGATCAGTACCTGGTTGTGGAGTCTACAGTAATGTCCTTCTCACTCTCCACAACCCCAAAAACATATCTTTCCTGACAATTTTGTCCCCCCCAGGTATATGGTGGGAACTCTGGAGCTGCTGGTAGCTGAAAATTATCTGCTTGTTCATTTGAGTGGAGGCACAAGCAGGGCCCAAGTTCCACCTCTGAGCTGGATACGCCAGTGTTACCGGACTCTGGATCGGCGGTGAGCCTCAGAAATAGAGGGCTGAGCCTATCTTATCTGTTTCTTTTCTTTTTTTTTTTTTTTATCCTCACCCGAGGACATATTTTCTATTTTTTTTTTGTTGTTCAGATAGAGTGTGGGAGGGAGAGAGAGAGAGAGAGAGAGAAACATCAACGCGAAAGGGACACGTCGAGTGGCTGCCACCCACACGACCCAACCAGGGCCGGGGACAAACTGCAACCGAGGTACATGCCCTTAGCGGGAACCGAACCCGGGTCTCTCAGGACCGCAGGCCGACGCTCTAACCGCTGAGCCAAACCGGCCAGGGCCTTATCTGTTTCTTTTCCATCTTTTCATTCTTTCTTCTTCCATTTAGTTCTTCCTCTTTTTTTGTCCTTCTACACCCCTTTCCAGGCCTCTCATGTTTTCTGTCTCTCTTGTAGTCAGAGAAATAAAGTTTCAAATGTTGCCTTTGCCATTTACCAAGCTATGTGACTGATTTTTGTTTTTTGTGTGTGAGTTGTTTTTGTTTTTGTTTGTTATCAGCTGTGTAACTTTGGACAAGTCACTTAATATTTCTGGGATTCAGTTTCCTTATTTGTAAAATGGCAATGAGAATACTTTTGCTGCTGAGTATTTGTGAAAATCAAGTAAATCAGAGTGGCATATTGCCTGGCACCTAGAAGGCACCCCTTTCTTTTCCCACAGTCTTGCTATTTACTTCACTTTCCAATCCATTGTCTTCCTTCTCTGCCTTCCTCCCTCAGCCACAGATCGTTCTCCCTCTTGATGTTCCTTTCTTCCCTCCATCTTCCCTTTGCTCATTTTTCTCTTTCTTCTTCCTCTTTTATTTTCTCCTCACTGGTCTTCTCCCACCTGGAGTTTTACAAATAGGCCTGATCATGGACGAATGGAGAAGTGTACCAGAGGAACTTACACGAGGGTAGGGCATAGGAGGGAAATGAGGTAGTAAAGACAGGCTGCGGGATTCTGAGAGGAGAGCTTCCTAAGAATGAGGATAATGGAGGGCTGACCAAGATGAAGATGGATGGAGCTGAGATTGCAATGAAAAGAACAGGGATTAGACCCAGTTGCCAGAAAAATCTAGAAATTAAAGAAGTGAAGGAAATTAAAGTGAAGAATATAGCAACTCTGCCCTGGCTGGTGTGCTCAATGGTTAAAGCATCGGCCTGTGCACTGAAGGGTTACAGGTTCGATTCCTGGCCCAGGGCACCTATCTGGGTTGCAGGATCCCTGCCTGGTTGGGGAGCATGAGGTAGGAAACCAATCAATGTGTCTCTCTCTTTGATGCCCCCCCCCCAAAAACCAATGGGAAAATATTCTTGGGTGAGGATTAACAACAACAACAACAAATACACACACACACACACACACACACACACACCCCTGATCTTGAGGCATGAAGGTGGAAGAAGAAATAGAATAATCTCATATTCTTCTTCAGGTTAAGGAAAAACCTGCGCGCCCTGGTGGTTGTCCATGCTACGTGGTATGTGAAGGCTTTCCTGGCACTGCTTCGGCCCTTCATCAGGTACTAGCTCTGGGGACAGGACCCTCTTCCTTCCTCTTCTTCCCATTAAAAAAAAAGTTTTTACCAATTTTTTTAGATAGAGAGGAAGGGAGAGAGAGATAGAAACATTGATGTGAGAGAGAAACATCAATTGACTGCCTCCTGCACGCCCTCTACTAGGAATCGAGCCTGCAACCCGGGCCTGTGCCCTGCCGGGAATCGAACCGAGACCTCTCAGTCCATGGGACGACACTCAATCCACTGAGCCACACTGACCAGGCTTCTTCCCATTTTTTTTTTTTTTCTTTATTAATTTTTAGAGAGAGAGGAAGGGAGAGGGGGAGAGAGATAGAAACATTGATGAGAGAGAATGTCAATTGGCCGCCTCCTGCATGCCCCCCACTGGGGATCGGGCCCACAACCTGGGCATGTGCCCTGATTGGGAATCGAACCGGCAGCCTTTTGGTGCATGGGTCATCACTCAACACTGAGCCACACTGGCTGGGCTCTTCCTGTTTTTTAAAAATGAGTTTATTTGAGCCAAATTAATAACATAAGCCACAGAACAAGATCTCAAATGCTCCCCCTCTTCTTTCCATTTTCAGATTAAGATTAAGAAGACCTTGCCCTACCCTGACCCTTTCTAGCCTTTTTTTTTTTTTTTTTTGAGGAAAGCAAACTGTTATTTACTCATTTATTTATTTTATTAATTTATTTTTGTTACAGATGTTTCTCCTTTTTTCTCCATTGACACCTTTCTCCCCATCCCCCCATCCCCAGCTTTGTTGTCCATGTCCATCAGTTATGTGTACATGCATATAAGTTCTGTGGTTTATCTCTTCCCTCCCCCCCTACCCCTTCTTCTGAGGATTGTCAGTCTGTACCCTACTTCCACGTCTCTGGGTCAACTCTGTTCCTCAGACTGTTATGTTCATTATATTCCACAAATAAGTGAGATCATGTGATCTTTCTAGCCTTTTGACCATTCTCTACTTGTTCCATTTCCCTTTGTAAGGGTCTCCAGGAACCCTCTTTCCAGTGTGCAACACATGTGGTTTATCCTTTCTTTTCAGTTCCAAGTTCACACGAAAGATTCGTTTTCTGAACAGCCTGAGAGAACTGGCCCAACTCATCTCTTTGGATCAGGTCCACATCCCTGAAGCTGTCAGACGGTGGGTCCTGAGCTTAAGGATAAAGGTTTGGGGTGGGATGTGTAAAGCCAGTTTCCATTTCTTAATGCCTTAGGGGAGATGCAAAGGAACTAAAAGCCAGAGGCTCTGCTTTCAGATGTTTTGAGGTATCTGGGAAAACTGCACATATTCAGAGAAGAAATTAAGGACATTACTGTATCCAATAAAAACAAATGAAAAACTGTACATACAAGTGCCAAGGCAACAAGGAATAAAGGAATAATCACAGCACAGAATTCAGAGGACATTCAGACCAGCCCTAGAAATTAGAATGGGATATATTTGTTGGCAGTAAATGGGAGAGATTATCCAGTCTGGGAGGGGTGCTAGGGAGCAAAGGATCCTAAATGATGACCAACTCAAGCATCCAGTCTTCCAATTCACTTGGCTTCTCTCCCCAAACCAGTGAGTAAAACCCTGGTCCTGCCCTGCCTGGGTGGCTCAGTTGGCTGGAGCATCATCCTATGCACCAAAAGGTTGCATATTACATTCCCAGTCAGAGCACATACCTAGGTTGTGGGTTCAATCCCCAGTCGGGGCATATGTGGGAAGCAACCCATTGATATCTCTCTCACATCAATGTTTCTCTCTCTCTCAAAAATCAATTAAAAATATATTTACTTATATAAAACAAACAACAACAATAAATATCCAAGTTCTGCTCCTATACTACTTATTCTTCTCTCTCCTAGGCTGGACCAGGATCTCCATGGCTCAGGAAGGACCTAGAACAGGACTGGAATAAAGGGTCTTAGAACCAAACAAAGATACTGATCTGCTACACCTTAACCCCTGAAACATCTCAGCTGTTTTGTAAACCATCTCATCCTCAACCCCAGTGCCCCAGGATCTTTACATCTCAATGTGGTGTCATTCCTTCAGTGGCTTTGCCTTCAAATCAGGGCTTTGAGGTCTGGAACCTGATCTACTGGGTGACTTTCATTTCAGCCAAGTAGTAGCATTTTGTATTGGAAATGGCAAAGCTGTGGGTCTTAGTCCTGCTTTAGCTGTGGAATCTTGGGCAGAACTTCATTTCTGTGAGTCATTTTCATTCTCTTAAAGGGGCTGAGATTCTTTCCACCTGGGGTATTCTAGCAGTTGGGGAAAGTGCGGGGCTATGGGAAGGGCAGGGCTTAACTGAACATAGCCAGCCTGCCTGCTGGGAACCAGGAAGGAGTCCACTCCCGAAGTCTTGGAGAACCACCGATGCCCCCTTCCTTGTTAGTCATGTCTGCTGCCTGTGAGCCTGGGAAGGACTGCTTTCAAAACCGTTTTTTTAGCCTGTCTGGTGTGGCTAAGTGGTTGAGCATAGGCCCATGCACCAACACGTCAACGGTTTGATTCCCAGTCTTGCCCAGGTTGTGGACCAAATCCCCAGTGGGGGTCATGCAGGAGGTGGCCAATGGATGTTTCCATCTCTCTTTCTCTAAAATCAATAAAGGAAAAAAAAACAACAAAACAAAACCTTTTGTGGTTAATTCAGATGTGTAGTGGATAATACATTATGAAAGATTTAAGCTGTGCGTCCAGGAAGTGAACTGTTCTTTTCCCAGCCCCTTACATCACAATCGGTGTGTCAGTGGAGTTCTTGCTGCAGGGGTTCCCAAGGAGTTTAGCTCAGCCCCTGGGGCTGGGGCAGGGCGTGGCGCGCGCATCAGAGCCCGGCAGCGGCCTCGGTTCTAACGACCCGGTGGGTCCGTGGAGAGCGGAAGGGAGGGAGAGAAAGTAGGAGCCCCGGCCTCAGCCACTGGCCCCCCTCCCAGCCCCACACCGTCCAGCCCCATGGTCCCCGCCGCCGGCGCGCTGCTCTGGGCCCTGCTGCTTAGTCTGGGGACCCGGGCGGCGGCGGGGGCCCAAGGCCTGACTTCAACTGGGACGAAGCCGCCGGCCAGTTTCCGCTTCAGGGGCCCGATGACCCGCAACTACCGGTCCACCCCCGGGTCCGGTGTTCCCCCGAAGAGAAGGGTAATAATGGAGGACGAGGATGACGTCGTGGCCACTGCCGACCGCCTGGCAGGCCCCGCCGCTGCCGAGCTCTTGGCCTCTACAGTGTCCACGGACATCAGCAGGCTGCGTTCATGGGAGCAAGATGAGGACGGGTCTTTGGAGGAGGGGGTTGTGATTAATGCCCATAAGAATAACACCAGAGCAGGGACTGGCCGTGCGATGGTCTCCAGTACAACGAGGAGGTTCAGCTCAAGGTTTCTAGCGAATATCCAGGCGCCAGAATACAGGATGACCACAAGCCTGCCGCCCCCCAAATGGAGACCTACTGAGCTATCGGACACCAGCCTGACCCGGTGGTCAACAGCAGGGTCCACCCCCAGCCGCTGGCCACGATCCTCCTCCACAGCTATGCCACCTCCTGAGGACGTGCGGCTGGTGTTGATGCCCTGGGGCCCGTGGCACTGCCACTGCAAGTCAGGCACCATGAGCAGGACCCGGGCCGGGAGGCTGCAAGGCCTTTCTGGGCGCCTTCGAGTTGGGGCACTGAGCCAGCTCCGTACAGAGCACCGGCCTTGCACCTACCATCAGTGTCACTGTGATCGGCGTCGTGAGGAGTGCCCCCTGGACTCAGGCCTCTGTTCTGATTCCAGCTGCACCACTCAGACTACCACCACAACCACCACCACCACTAGCTCCATGCCCCACCTCAGCACCAGACTCAGACCCACCCCCTTCCCCTTTCTCAGCCCCAGCCCCAGCCCAGCTCTTGCTTTTTGGAGGCAGGTCAGGACTGGGCTGGAGGATATTTGGCATAGCCTCTCTTCAGTATTCACAAAGATGCAACCAGTAAGTGTTTGGTGATGAACCAGGATCCTTGTTGATAGATCTGAAAAGTCCTGAACCAGCCACTGTACTTACATGAACTGTTACTTATCTGTTTGGTTACTGATTCATAATATGTATTGGTTGATTCACGTTATTGTTGGCCATGGATTCCATTTGTTACATCTTGAACAACTGGCTGGTCATTAGGCAAGATGTATTATTGATCATTAGATGATAATTGATCAAACTGTTAAGATTGTAGATATGTAAATAATTCTTGATGCACAGACAATGGATATGGAAGATAATTGTTTTCAGCTTATTAATGCAGTTTAACAGTAACAACAGCCAATATTTGAGGTCTTGCTATATGCACTACACTTAGATCAGACCTCCAACAGCCCTGAGGTATTATCCCCACTTTAGAGCTGAAGAAATAGGGGTTTATTTTTGTTTTTATTTTTTTAGAGAGGAAGGGGGAGATAGAAACATTGATGTGAGAGCCTGAACGGTGTGGCTCAGTGGTTGAGTGTAGACCCATGCACCAAGAGGTTGCCAGTTCAATTCCTGGTCAGGGCACATGCCCAGGTTGTGGGCCCAATCCCCAGTGTGGAACACGCAGGAGGTGGCCAATTAATGTTCTCTCTAATCGATGTTTCTATCTCTCCCTCTCCCTTTCTCTAAAATCAATAAAAATAAAAATAAAAAAGAAACATTGATGTAAGAGAGAAACATTGATAGGCTGCCTCCTGCACTCCCCCTACTGGGGATCAAGCCGGCAAACCAGGCATGTGCCCTGACCAGGAATTGAACCTGGACCTCTCAGTCCATGGGACAGTGCTCAATCCACTGAGCCACATGGCCAGGCAGAAATAGGGGTTTATAAAGCTAGTAAGTGGCAGAGTCACAGCAGGATTTAAACCAGATTTGACAGTAGTACCAATGCTCTTAATCACCACTATCCATAAGAACTGTCCTAGGATTATTCTCAGCAACCTAAGGACTCTCGAGGAAGGACAGTCCTTTGCTTTATCAAAAGAGCTACCGAAGGCTCTGATTGACCTGATAAAATATTCTCAATTGATAGGATGACAGGAACTTTGGGGAGAGCAGGACAATAAAATGTATACATGGTTGCTTTAATGGTTTTTGTCTTTCTCCTTGTGTCCAATGCCATTATTCAATATAAAAAAGCATCATCAGTAGGGGGCAGTAGTGTTGAGGGAATGAGGATTTGTGGGGAAAGGGAGATAAAGCAAGGAAAAATGAAACAGATGCCAATATAATATTTCCCCTTTTCTCTATTTTGTTTCCTTACCCAGATAGACAGAAACCGGAGGTAATGGCCACTTGATCTGCAAGAAGAGGTGTCAGCATCTCAACCTCTCCTCCCCTTTCAATCCCAGCACCCACTGAGTATTTTTAGTACAGAAAAACAAAACTAGAAAAAACATTGTTTGGCCTTGTGTCTTTTTACAGAGGTATCTGAGGGAGGAGAGACCAAAAATCTTATAAAATTGAACTGGGTAGCCAGCAGCATCTGGCTTGGGCCCTTCCCATCCCCCAGGATAAAATGGTTGTTGTTCATCTACATTTCCAGTTGTTTTTAAACACAGTTCTTCTTTTGAAAAAACTGATATGAATGCCAAGCAGGAGTTGAACCCTTAGATGATGGTCTTGCCTTCACAACAGCCTTTTCTCCTTAGAAAGGACAATGGTACAAAATCCCACGTTAGCCACTTTCTAGGGGTTACCTTCATCAGCCATATTTATCATTTAACCCAACATACATCTGTAGTGATTACTCTGTGACTATTTTGCTTAAACTTTTTATTTGAAAAATGTATTTAGAAGTCCAACAAATGTTCAATATAAATTATGACTCTCAAAACCATTCCCATCACTCTAAATATTGTTAAAGTGATGGTAGCACACACATTAGAGAAGGTAGCTAAAGGAGACAGAGAACCAAAGAAAAGATTACGTCCAAAGAATCGGCGTTAAGAATAAGGCAAAAGATCAGGGGGACCAGAGAGTCCAGGAGCCCCCATCTTTCTACCCTATCCTGTCAACCCTTTAGATCTAGTAAAACCCTCATGCTATTGAGCTACTTTCAGAGCAACTAACTTGACTGTAACAGAGTAAATGGGAATGTTATAAATATGAGCAATCTTAGGCCCTGAAAAACTTCAGGAAATACACTGAAACTTGAAAAAATTAGAACCTCAGTAATTGTAGGTGGGGCAAACTGCATGGATGGTGGAATCAGCAGAGTGGGTCCTCATTCCCACATTCCTGACCCCCACTACCATCAAACAGGATGCTTCCTTTTACTGAACTACCGAGACCCCCGCCTTCTGCATACAGAGCAGGCAGGAGCTCATCTGTCCCGTTCTGTCTTCCTAATCTCCCTGCAAAGAAGGGGCCAGAACAAAAAACACCTGAGAAAACTGAGTGTCTAAAGAACCTACTACTCCATTTCTTTCCCACCTAAAGCAGACTCTTCAGCCCGGTGGAGAGTGGGACCTGTTCTTCAGACAAAACTCCCTGAGTCTTATTTACGTCTGGTTCCAGGACTAGGGCACAGAAATAGAGCTTAAAATTTGGGGAGGAGAGTGCTGGGGTGTCTATGACTCTACTGATTTTCTCTCCCACCCTTCCCTAATCCCACCACTACAGGAACCCCTCCCCACTGAACAAGAAAGGAGAAGCATTGTACATGTCCATCACAGAAACAACCCATGCAAGCACAAGCAACACGATGGCTAAAGAACTATTTGAAGATTATGTGCAACCCTATTAAGCCTACTTTACAGAGTCTAGTTCATCAAGGCTCAGGCTTAGGATGACTAATGGGATGGGGTTAGGATGGGGGATAGAAATCACTTAAGAGAAAAATATGTTGACTCTAGAGCACTGGCTCTCAACTGGGAGGCACTTGGCAATGTCTGGGGACATTTTTGGTTATCACTAGGGTGGGCCAGGGACACTGCTAAACATCCTGTAATGCACAGGTCAGTCCCCCACTACTAAGAATTATCCCACCCAAAATGTTAAGTGTCCACACTGAGAAACCTCGCTTTATGTGTCTCCCTGCTCCCAGGTTGTGAGGACTAAGATTTCTAAACTCACAGCTAATTATTTGCAACCAATTTATCTCCCCACTTTCCACCCTCATGGTCAGAAAGGAAGTCCACCCTGAGACATAACTCCTAGTTTTGCTGCATTCTGGGTTTCTCTCCAGATCCCTCTTCCTCCTCTCACCTGGGCCAGCAGGGAGGTTGGCAGTGGGCAGGCCAAGTCCCCGAGACCTAACTGGAATGTCATCAGGTTAAGATCCATCTCTTACTGTGAGTCTTATTCAATGGGAAACAAGGTTCTTATCAGGGATGGGGTTAAGGACAGAGGTAGTAGCAGGGTGGGGGTAATTAAGAGAACTCATCTTAAATTAAAATTTTAATTAATTTAAAAAAAGAGAAAATACTGGGGAGCTAGCAATACTACAGAAACAGGGTTAGAGGCCTAACTAGAGAAAGACGCTGGTATTGGCAGAGAGAGATTAAGGTCTGAGATTTAAAAAGAGTAGACTAGGCAGTGGTTACCCTCCCAGCCCCTGCTTGATGTCTGCTTCAGTTCATTCCAGGAGGAAGGAGAAGGGCAGGGAGGTAGGGAGCTTCTCAGCAAAGCCAGCTTTGGCTTGGTAACCTCACCCACCTGCCATTTAAGGAGTTCCAGGTTAATAGTTTAAAAACAGGGGCACCCAGACCATCATTCAGGAGAAGGGAACTCATTCCAGGTTTCCAGAAACTCCTATTTCAGATCTGAGAGTGTCCAGGGCTTCAGCTGAACTCCTCTGGCCAACCAGTAGTCACTTGGTCAGTCCTGCTGCCTTGACCCCATCTCCAGGAGGGGCTATTGCCAGAGGAAGTAGAGGGAGTCCAGCCCCCAAGCCTTTTGAGGCACTATCAGGCAGATAAGGAAAAGAGGGGCCCTGGGAACACTGGTTTTAGGAGGGATCTGGTGGGGATAGCATCTTTTCTGGGCTGGGCACAGAGTGGAGACTTCAGACAGCAGAACCTAATTTTAAAAAAAAAGAAAAGATTAGCCTCAAAGAAAACCAAGTCCTGGGAAAAAGGCACCACTTAGCGCAGACTATTTCCATAATGTGCTCTTTTCTCTATTTCTGTCTGCACATCCCTCTCTCTGCTTTTCTGGATCTTACATTACTGACCCTCCCTCCCAGTCTAATTCTTCCTTCCCTTGATTCCCATTCTTGCAGAGGATCAGGATTCTAAGGCAGAGCATCAGCAGGTGTTGGAGGTGTTGGGTGGCTTTCTCTAATCACTCACCATTCCTGTTGGAGTTACAAGCCCCTAGAATTGCTCCATAGCCTGTCTCGGTTTCCTTTGGATCTCATCTGCTCCTGAACCGCACCTGTCTATGAAAAAGCACATGTGAAACTCTCTCCTAAGTCTTCATGTCTCACAGTAAGAGATCTCCCATGTGCTCTCCATGGAAGAGGTTGACCCCATATCCTTCACAATAAAATCCTCTGGAAATGGGCTGGCTGGTGTAGCTCGGTTGACTGAGTGTCATCCCATGTACCAGGAAGTCGAGGTTTGATTCCCGGTCAGGGCACATGCCTGGGATTCTGGGCTTGATCCCTAGTAGGGGATGTGAAGGAGATAGCGAGTTGATGTCTCTCTCTCTCTGAAATTGCCCTGGTTGGTTTGGTTCAGTGGTTAGAGTGTCAACCCCCAGACTGAAGGGTTGTGGGTTTGAGTCCCAGTCAAGAGTATATACCTGGGTTGCAGGTTTTATCCCTGGCCCCAGCTAGGGTTGTGTGGGAGGCAACCAATCAATGTGTCTCTCTCACATCAATGTCTGTCTCTGTCGCTCTCTTTCCCTCACTCCTCTTCATCTAAAAACCAGTGGAAAACTATCCTCGGGTGAGGATTAACCACCCCCCCAAAATCAATAATAAATAAATAAAAGCATGGGTTAAAATAACAACAAAAAATTAGTCTTTTACTAATAAGATCCTCTCACAAAGGACCCTATCATAGTTATCTAAGTTTTGCAATTGGTGAAAAAACTCCTTCACTTTCTCCAGGCCCATTTCCCTGAGTTATTTTTTTGTTACTCCTCACCCAAGAGTTATTTTTTTCCATTGATTTTTATGTCTTATTTATTTTTTATTTATCTTCAGATAGAGTGGGAAAGAGGGGAAGAGAGAAACATCAATGTGAGAGAGACACATCAACTGGCCTTCTCCCACCGGACTCAGACCAGGGTGGGGGATGAACTGCAACCAAGGTACCTGTCCTTGAACCAGAACTGAACCCGAGACTCATTGGTCTGCGGGCCAAAGCTCTAACTGCTGAGCCAAACCGGCCAGGGCTTTTTCTTTTTCTTTATTGATTTCTAGAAAGAGGAAGAGAGAGATAGAAACATTGATGAGAGAGAACACTGATTGGTCACCTCCTACATGTCCCTCACTGGGGATCATGCCCACAACCTGGGCATGTGCTCTTACTGGGAATCCAACCGGTGACTTCCTGGTACATGGGTCGATGCTCAACCACTGAGCCACACCAGCTGAGCTTCCACTGATTTTTAGAGAGAGTAGATGAGAGGGAGGGAGGGTAGGTGTGCTTCCTGCACACACCCTGACCAGGGTGAGGGATCAAATTTGCAACCCAGGTACTTGCCCTTGACCAGGAATCGATCCCGTAACTCTCTGGTCTGTGGGCCAACACTCTAATCACTGAGCAACACTGGCCAGGGCCTATTTCCCTTACTTTGAGAGCAGAAATACATATTAGATGTTATTTAGGACAGAGATGCTCAGCTTTTTCCTGCCCTAACACTCCCAACAACAATATGCCTTACTGTGGCACTGAAACAGCAGTTCTTAACGAACAGAAGGAAGGGATAAGGTTTTTGGAAAATGCCATCCAAGTAACTCTTAAAGACTTATATACCTCACATACCAATTAATAACAATCTGTTAACTGTAAAAATGAGGGAGGGTAGGCCAGAGATCTGAAATGTCAGGTCCCAGGTTGGTGCAACTGGTGACCAGGATTATAATCCTAGCTTATTTCCCCATCAAATATTCTGTTATGACCCCTGCTTCAACTCTGAAAGATGAACAGTTCTAGGCCACAACCTCATATCAAACCGACCCCATTCCCTTATTACCATGGCAAGTCCATCTCTGTTCTCCATCTCCCCAGAGCCAATGTGAGTCAAGTGGACAAAATTCATTGGTTCTCCAATCATGGTCCGGTCGATCCGTCTCCTCTTCTTCTTCTGCTTGGAGAAAATAGGGGAGTTACGTTTGAAAGCCCCTCCTGCAGTCACACTGGAGGAAGGAAAAAAGGAGTCTTGAAGACCACTAAGGGAAGAGCTTTAGGGCCTTGTAGGAAAGGGGATATGGTATTATAATAGGAAAATAAATCACTAGGATATAAAAGGCAAGGCTGGAATAACAAACAGAGGACACAGGCAGTGTGCTGAGGGCAGTGGCCTGCAGAGTGAATACTGAACAAAGAAAGGACATGTCAAAGTCACCTCTAGCTAATGAGGAAACAATGGGGAAAACTGACAGGTATTAAGCTCCACCCACAACCCCCACCCAATTCAGAATGGACAGGAACAGGAAGTGATAGCTAGAACTATTTGCTTCTTCCATCACCCAGTCCCCTTTCTTCTAGTACATACCTGCCTGGCCATAGAGACTATCCTGACAGAGAGGGAAGCAAGAAGTGTGCTTTTTAGACAGCAGAACCTACATGGTGTTTACTTCACAGTATTCACAGTATACGGTAACTGATTTGTGTGTGTGTTGCGGTGGGGGTGGGGAGACTCACCGGCTGGGGTTTCTCTACCACACAGCAGCCCAGTTTGTGCCAAAATTCACTCATGTTCCCTGACGGTTCCAGTTTCACTCCTCTGCCTGAGGCCCCAGAGGGCTCTTGCTCAGGAGCCTTGACCGCCCACTCCTCTCTCCCTTCAGGTGTAACAACACCCTGGGTTCAATCAGCAAGACAGGTCTATAGAAAGTCGAGTTCTCGGAACCCTTGGCTGAGCAGTGAAGGTCAGTATGTCTCACACCCTGAGAGACCAGCAGGGCCAGAGAGTGAAGCAGGCAGGCAGGCACAAGGTTATGTCTTTCTCAGGCTTGGAACCCTGGATGAACAGAAAGTGAAGAGAAGAAAGGTTAATGAGAAATCCCTCCCTCCTTGAGAAGCCTCCTGATGAGCCCAGATTCTTGTTCTCCCTTAAAAGCCCTAGTCTTGTACCCAACACTAACCTCCTCCAAACAAAAGAACCTCACAGTTTGACCCTCGGAGAAAGGTCAAGAACCAAAGGACACCAAGGGGTTAAGGAGCAGTAGCTGCTGGTACCAAGAGAGAGAAAGGGGGCTGAAAGCATTTAGGATTAGAGGATAGGAGGGGACTAAAGGAAAGTAACAGAAATGAGCAAAATTTGGAGGGTACTACAAGCTCCACCTTTCTCCGTGGGTTTAGGGCAGAAGGGGAAGAGCATTTAAGTGACTTTGAAGAGGAAACGGTGGTTTTTTGTTCTCACAAACAAGGGCTCCACCCTGGTCCGTCCGTTTTTCCTTACCTTACCCTGAACACCTAGATTTTCATTAAGACCTGACTATCCAAGTCCTAGGTGACTAACTACAGAAGACTGATCCTCAAGAAAGACTTCCCACAGTGAAAAAAATTTCCCTCTCTATTCCCTGCCCTTCTTCCTGCTCATTTCCCTCAACTGAGTTCCAGCCCCTCCCAAAGACATTTAACAGGTCCTTTATTACTTGATCTTGAGATCTTTTCTCAAGGCTGTACACATTCTGTTTCTGTGTCCTGTATCACTGCACTCCCGCCTGTGCACCTCTGCTTGCACATATGTGGCATGGCCGTATCTCCATGTGTGTGTCTTGTTTTGTGTTAGTTTTTTTTTTTTTTTCTTTATTGATTTTAGAGAGAGAGGAAGGGAGAGGGAGAGAGAGATAGAAACACTGATGACACAGAACATGGACTGGCTGCCTCCTGCATGCCCCCCCACTGAGCATATGTCCTGACCCAGAATCAAACTAGCGACCTCTTGGTGTATGGGTCCACGCTCAACCACTGGGCCACACTGGCCAGACTCCATGTGTGTGTCTTGTATAGATCTGCGCACAGGCTGCAGGTCCATGTGCCAGGTATCTTCTGTCCCATAAGAAATCTTTTTCCAGCCTCTCCGCCCTCTTCACATGTCCTATTGTGCCACTCTGCTCTAGCCTGCCTCTATCCCTCCCTCCTCCCCTCATGCTGTGACCTCATGCTTCTCCCTCCACATCACTTCCATCCCCAAGCATCATCAGCCAACCAGACACAAGGAACTTTCCAAAGCATTAGTGTCCAAGGAAAAACTTTCATTACTGCCAGCCAGGGTAGGGTACACCTGAGTTTCCTCTATACTCACTGCGTTCTCCAGGCCTATAACACAGGCAATCTCAAAGTTTCCAAACAGGGCAGTTTTATAAATACTATACTTGAGCATGAATATGAATCTCCCATCCCTCTAGGCCAGGAACCCCGAGGTCCTGGCACCCTAGACTGATCCAAGAACTGAGTTGTTGTTTAAACAGCCCTGAGATGAGATCACACAAACACTGAGATACAGCTTCTAAGGGAGGGAAGGACCCAGGAGCCGGGGCTTTCTTTTACTTCCCTTCTCACCACTGGAGAGGAGGAGTAACAAGATAGGACGGAAGTCAGAACACAGTTGTCCAGAGAGGGGAGCTGTGGTCAATGGGGAAGTCAGTCACAGGGTTTGTAGTGATAGTGGTGGCAGCCTGTGGTAAGGGTTGGAGGCAGGGGTGGGGGATGGTGAAGAAAACAATGAAGAATCAGAGGAAACCCCCAACACCGCCAGACAGGCTGTACTGAGACTGAACTCTCCCCAACACCCCCCTGCTCAAAGCTGAGTGGACAGAAGTGGATGGTGGGAGGAGAGAAGAAAAGGGGGAGAGGAGAGAGAGGGAAAGGGGCAGTGTAGGGAACAAGGACATTTCTGTTCCTTTTCCAGCGATCTGGCCGGAGCTGGGTGGAGGGAAAGTGTGTGTGTGTGGAACTTGGCATGAAATGACCAATGATGATGAGAAGTGACCAGGAAATTCCATTCCCCAGGACATAGGACATAAGGGTTTCTAAAACTTGGGGGGTGGGGTCAGAGTGTGGAGAAATTGGGCAGGGTGAAACCGGGAATGGAGGTGTGGGGGGGAGAATAAGGCCAGAAAAGTAAGAGTGATTGGCTGCCACTCTCATTCTTTAAAATATCTAAAGATTAGGTTGAGGAAAAATGAAGTCCTGGTAAGTCCAGGAAGAAGTACGGAATCCAAGGCCCACTATTTCAGTCCCACAGTGATGGGAAGGGGCTGGGAAAATAGCAGGAGGAATCAGGATTAAACCACATAAATCCATATCCTGACAGCCAAGTAGCTCTGAGAACCGGGCCTAAGTCCCAAATAGGAAGAGTGAATTGGAGCTGGGAAAGCCACCAAGGTCACACCGGGGCTTAATAGCTTCGGAACTACTGGGGAGTGAGAAGGGATGGGAGAAAGGTTCGAGGGAGGAAGGACATACAGAGGTAGTTCCCCAGTCCTAGTCTAGCCCCAAACCGGTTTTCCCGGTCCCGCTGCCTGCAGCCCCAAGGCCTCCAACCCGCTGCCTGACAAGCCTTCACAAGAAGCAGCTGGAGTGAAAGAGAAAGAGAATTAAGAGAATGGAGTGAGCAATAAACCCAGGGCTGTAGCCGGTCCCCTGTGGAGACCTCCAGGCAAGAAGAGCTACCGAGGGGCTCCACATAGGTAGGGATAGACCCCACTTTTCAGGCAAGTGACAGGCATCTGCCCCAGCTCCAATCGTGCCCCTCCCCAGGAAAGGTCTTGTGGGGGCTAAAGATGAAACATAAATAGTCCCTAAGCGCCCCCTCAGTATACTGTCATTCCAGTCACAAACTCCATTTCTGCCGACCCCTCAACTCTACCCAGACATTCTCTGCTCCTCCCGTCGCTGAACGAGGAGTGGGACCCCTCGGTGCAGCTTTCGGACTTTGTCACCGTCTTCCGTGGCTACCTTAGTCTCAGATTTAGACCTTCCAGGACCCTGCTCGGCTCCACTTTGTCCGGCACACGCCACCACCGAGGTCGGTGAGTCTCGGAGACCTTCCTGCCACCTCCCCCACAACCCCGGTCCCCTCTTTCCCTTCTCCTCTCCAGCGGCCTCACTGTGGGCGCCGCATGAGCGTGGACGGGGCGGTTACTCAGGGGGCGCACCCCTTTCCCCACCGACCCAGCCGGTCCACAGCCTCCTCCCCCACCCCCAGCATCCGGTGCGGCGCCGTCGGGCAGGGCAGGCGGGGCGCCCCGGCGGGGGGCCAACTCCACGGTCTCACCTGCTCTGCTCCGGCATCGAGGCGCCCGGCTGCAGCTTGTGGGGGGCTCCCGCTCGGTGCCCGCCAGTGTGGGGTTCCGGGACTCGCTCCCCGGAGCGGTGGGGAGCCGAGGGCGGGTCGGCAGAGGTGGGGCTGGCCGAGGGCGGAAACGGCGGCGACGCGATTACGAAACCCGTCCGGCTGGGAGGCGGGCGCACAGCTCCCCCCCGGACTGCGGCGGCGCTGCACCGGCGGGCGGGAGGCCCGGAGCCCCCGAGGCCGCCGCCCTGCTCGGCGCACTGCGGAACCGCGACCTTTCGCTGAGGCCCGGCGCCCCGGAATCGCGCGTTCCCTTTGCTCCAGGCATTGCGGGGCAAAAGGAAGCGGAGCCCTTAAATCCCCTGGATCCGACCAAGTTCCGAGTTTCTCAGACGAACCCCCCAGTCTTCTGTGTTCTACCCCAAATGGAACAGGGCTCGGGGGGCCCTGTGAGGGTTGGGGGGCGAGTCGGGAGGAGTGGAGGTTAGGGGGAGGGATGGAGCATTTTCCTAATTCTCAAAAACACTTCATAGCCGGATCCTTAAATTGGGGGATAAAGGGGCACTCCTCCATTGTTGTCTAGAGTTAAGATTTTTAATCCATAAACCTAAAATCAGAGGACAACTACTTGCTTTTTCAGTGCACCCCCAGTCAGTAGGGGGGTGCTGAAAGAGCTGGGCAATAACTGTGCAGACCAATAAACCTACAGAGAGATGCCTTAATCGTGTCTTCCTCCGGAAAGTGTTCTGGAACCTATCGTTTGAATTAGCCGAGTCAGGCAGGGAGGGGCGGGGAGTCCTTCCGCCCTTCTTAGGAGGGGCTGCATTGCAGGGGGAGACTGAGCGGACAGACTCAGTCACAGAAGAGAGAGGGAGCTTGAAGACAAAGCCGGCGAAGCCCCCTCTGCTGCCTTTCTCTCCAGCCCAGAGCAGGGACCGAGCCTGGGGTCCTCTCTCCATCTTTGGAACACACACTAGTAATTCATTGATAACAGGTAAACTAAACTGGGGGGCGGCGGGGGGGGGGGGCTGCAAAGATAGAAGAGCAGCTGCTTCTGGTTAGGTTGAGGACCCCAAATAGGGATGAAGTTGGGGGACAGTTCAAGAGAATAGAAGGCGCCGCTATGAACAACGGTAGATAATTTGTTCATTTGTTCACCGTTTTACATCTCTTGCATACATCTCCATCCATGCCTTATAATCCTGAACACAGACATTAATTTTTAACAATTTACATGTAGTTATTTCTAAACAGTTATCTCATTTCAGGTACCTATTTGCCTATAATTTATTGTCCTGTGTATTTTATCTTTGGTCTAGTTATCTCTATCTTCCTTTCAAGCTATAATTTTAAAAAAATGAATCTCTAGTCCTACTGTATTGCTCTAGCCTCTATTTCCCTATATTTCCAATCTTTTTTCTATAGTATTCTATTGATGTGTCTACCCTCACCCCAAACTTGTCTCCATAGGAGGGAGTTTGGGGGAAGGGACATGAGATAATATTGAGATTAATCCTCACATTTCTTTTTCTTTTTTTGTTAATCCTCACCCGAGGATATTCGTCCATTGTTTTTTTGTTTTGTTTTTTAGGTAGAGTGGAAGGGAGGGAGGGAGGGAGGGAGGGAGAGAGAGAGAGAGAGAGAGAGAGAGAGAGAGAGAGAGAGAGAGAGAGAAACATCAATGAGAGAGACACATCGATTGGTTGCCTCCCGCAAGATGCCAACCAGGACCAGGGATCAAATCTGTAACCCAGGTATGTGCCCTTGGTGCTCTCCATTGGGAATCAAACCAGAGACCCTTCAGTCTGCAGGCCATCGCTCCAGCCACTGAGCCAAACTCTCCAGGGCCCTCACCTTTCCTTTAACAGTCTCCTCCCCATCTCAGACCTTTGCTCCAAAGAAGTAGCTTGAGGCAGGAAGGTGGGGACCCCTGTGTTGGAGAACTACCTGATCCCATATTGAAGTAGTATAGCCCACAAGAGCTAAGTACAGGGACAGATCCTGGAAAAGGAATGTTTATTTGCAGCTCAGTGTAATAGGTGGGGAAGGACAAGGCTAATAGAAAAATCCAAGCCCAGAATAAACCACATATAATGAGTTGCCAGAACACTTCCATTCCCCACCATCACCATCCCTTGCCCTTCCATCCCACTGTGGCAGCATGACACAGCAAGGCCTGGTTGGGTAGACTCTTGGATTCCCACTGAGAGTCTGGACAAAGGTATTTGGGTGTGTCTGTGTGGCTCAGCGAGAGTGTATCTTTTTATATATATTTGCTAATTAAGCAAATGGAGAGGGGAAGAGAAAGCTAGCTGAAAAGAGACCTCTTGCAAAATTTGGGTACTTGGAAATTAAATTCATACTGCATTAAATTTTAAAATTTCATTATCAATGTAAAGGATATTTTAGTTTCAATTTTCTGTGTAGTCAATGTTCTTGACTTGATTTTAAAAGCCGTTAATGATTGTATGAGTATTTTTCTAGAATGCATTTGGTACTCTCTGTTCATGTCTGTGAATCATACCTAGAGATTTTAGGCTTTTTGAGTTAATAGTTCGTGAAATTTCCCTTAGCTTTTTTAATTGTCAAGAGAAGCTCTGCCAGACACTCAGGGATTGGACGCCTTTGATACATATGATGGCTATAAGAAAAGAAGTCAGTTTGTCACAGCTTTTTCCCTTTCTCAGATTCTAGCTTGCTCTCCACTGCATTTTTGCATGTTCACCGTTCAGATCAGAACCACGGGAACAATCAACACATAACCCATTGAATATCTGCTCTTCAGGAACTAAGAATTCTTGCAAGTTTTGAGAATATTGGTATAGGATTATATAAAGCTGTAGGCAACTCTCTATGTATAACACATCAAAAAAGACCAGATTGGGAGTTATGAGACCTGGGTTCTATCCAAACTGGCTGGGAGGCTTCACAAGTCACTAAATAATTTCTAAGGTGTTTTCTAGTTTTAAAAATCTATGATTTTGCCCTGGCTGGTTTGGCTCAGTGATTAGAGTATAGGCCCACAGACCAAAGGGTCGAGGGTTCGATTCCCCGTCAAGGGCACGTACCTGGTTGCAGGTTCAATCCCAAGCCCTGGTCAGGGTTGTGCGGGGGTACAACTAGTCCCTGTGTCTCTCTCACATCTGTGTTTCTCTCCCTCCCTCCCTCCCTTCCATTCAATCTAAAAAAAATCAATAGAAAAATATCCTTGAGTGAGGATTAACCAACAATATAAAAATAAATAAAAATCTGTGATTTTTCCCCCCCTTAAGATTCTGTTTTTATTTGTTGTTGTTAATCCTCACCCAAGGAGATATATATATATATATATATATATATATATATCCATATATATATATATATATATATATTTTTTTTTTTTTTAGAGAGAGAGTGGAAGGGGTGGGAGAGGGGGAAAGAGAGAGAGAAAGAAAGACATCAATGTGAGAAAGACACATTGACCGGTTACCTCTGCCTCTGGTATGAGCCCTGACTGAGGCTGGGTATCAAACCTGCAGCCCAGGTATGTGCCCTTGACTGGGAATAGAACCTGAGACCCTCCGGTTCTCCGGCTGATGCTCTAACTACTGCGCCACACCAGCCAGGGCTGATTCTATTTTTTTTTGTTACAGATGTTTCTCCTTTTTCACCCCACTGACACCCTCCCCCCATCCCCCCCCCCCCCCGCCCCATCCGTGGCTTTGTTGTCCATGTCCATTGGTTTTGCATACATGCATACATATAAGTTCTGTGGTTTATCTCTTCCCTCTCCCCACCACCCCCTCTTCTGAGGGTTGTCCGTCTGTACCCTACTTCCATGTTTCTGGGTCTACGCTATTCCTCAGACTCTTATGTTCATTATATTCCATAAATAAGTGAGATCATGTGGTTATTTGTCTTGTTCTGCTTGGCTTGTTTCACTTAGGATAATACTTTCCAGGTCCCTCCATGTCGTCTCAAAGGATATCTTTCTTTCTTACAGCTGCATAGTACTCCATTGTGTATATGTACCACAGCTATTTTATCCATTCATCTACTGATGGACATTTGGGCTGTTTCTAGATCTTAGCTATTGTAAATAGTGCTGCTATGAACATGGGGGTACATATGATTCTGTTTTTTAAAGAGCCTATTATATTTGCCCAACGTTATACTAAGCTCTCACCAGAGAAGGCTGGTAAGGGAGAGGATAGAAAAGAAGCCAGCTAGTCCGGCCATTGTGGCTCAGTGGTTGAGCATTGACCCATGCACCAAGAGGTTACTGGTTTGATTCCCAGTTAGAGCATATGCCCAGGTTGTGGGCCAAATCCCCAGTCGGGGGCATGCAGGAGGCGGCCAACTGATGTTCTCTCTTATCGATGTCTCTATGTCTCTTCCTCTCTTTTCCTCTCTAAAATCAGTAAAGAAAAGAAAAATAAATAAAATAAAAGAAGCCAGCTATATAGGTAAATAACTAGTAATACTTAAAAAAAAAATCCCTGTGGTAGAAGGAACATTACTGTCTCCTAAGGTTTGCTTCTTAGGATCTCTATAGCCCCAGACCTAAGCCCTGGTTGATCGGTTGGCAGGTACAACCATGTTTTGTAACTCTTTTTTGTGCACGTCTCTGCAAATTATTGTGGAGATGATCAGAGCTGAATATTATAGGATGATGACCTCACCTTCCTGACATGTTCCCACCCTATTCCAGTCCCTGGATCACACTCCTAAGCAGCTCTTCTGCTTGGGGTTTATTTTAGATCTTGAACCTAATAAGAAAAAGAGCAACTCAGAATTTACTTTTAACTTTAAAAACATTGAGTCTACCTATTCATTCCTCCTAAAGCCACCACACTCACACATAAACATGTTCTAGGTTAATGCATTCTTTTTCTGCCTTAGTAGAGACATTTCACATTATGTGGGCTGAGAGGGTTTCTGTAGGGTGCTGGTTATCATGTTGCTGAACACATTTTGGCAACTATTTTAGGCCACTATTTAGGTGTCTGAAGGTCTGATGAGAGCCAATGGAGTGTGTTGGAGGAAGTCCTTTTGAAACAGGGTTCTATTTTTGGAGGCAGTGGAATGTTCTTTCTGCTCCTTTGGGAACATTTCAGCTAATGCTTCTTGCCCCTTCCCTTGGCTAGAAAGCAGCAGGGTAGAGGCTACAGGGAGGTTTAATAGTCATATAACATTAGGGTGTGGGTGGAATGAGCAAAAAAGGTATTAGAAGTACTCATTAAAGCATGGAAAAGTGTCTGAATTCTGTTAAAGGACCTCCTCGTTCCAATCTAACGTTTACTTTACTTACCTAGAATTTCCAGTCAATTTGCTTTCACTATCATCAGATATATTCTAGCATTGTGACCAGAGAAAACAGACCCGTTATAGCATAGGAAAATTCTTTTAGCACCCGGGTTTTGTTTTGAAGCAGAGGTAGGCTAGAGAGAAATAGATAGACTGTTACGGCTTATCTGTGGACTAATAGGTGGGAGTGGCACGGTATTCATTGTATTAAATAAAGATGGAAAATTAATCAGCAGCCTTGAATATCTTTTGTGTGCAAAGCCCAGCACTTGTGAAGAACGTATAAAGTAGACTGGTTTTTACCCTTGGGTATATTCTCAGTCTCTTGAAGGAGATAAGACTATCCCTATGCATGTAACAGTGATCTGTATCCCCAAACTGATACAGTCAGAAACAACTCTACTAAGTGGTGGGGTAGATGCTAGAAGAATGGGTAGTTGGAGCTGAGTAAGTTTAAGGAAGTCCTCCTGAAAGAGGTTGAGTTTATAATGTTTCTTTTTTTCAAGTTCTTTTTTAAAAATTTTAGAGAGAGAAGGGAGAAAGGAAGATCAATTTGTTTTTCCACTTATGCATTCATTGGTTGATTTTTTTTTTTTTTTTAGAGAGAGAGTGGAAGGGAGGGAAGGGAGAGAGACAAAGAGAAAGAGAGACATTGATGTGAGAGAGACACATCTATTGATTGCCTCCTGCATGCACCCCAACCAGGGCCAGGGATCAAACCTGCAACCCAGCCCAGCTGGTGTGGCTCAGTGGTTGAGCATTAACCCATGCACCAAGAGGTCACCGGTTTGATTCCTGGTCAAGGTACATGCCTGGGTTGCAGGCTCAATTCCCAGCAGGGGGCATGCAGGAGGCAGCCGATCAAAGGTTCTCTCACATTGATGTTTCTGTCTCTTTCTTCTCCCTTCCTCTCTAAATATCAATAAAAATATATTTAAAAACAAAACAAAACAAAAACACCTGCAACTCAGGTATGTACATACCCTTGATCAGGAATCGAACCTGAGACATTTCAGGGCACAGGCCGAGGTTCTAGCCACTGAGTCACACTGGCCAGGGCCATTGGTTGATTCTTGTAGGTGCCCTGACTGGGGATCAAATCCACAAATTTGGAGTATTGGGACAATGCTCTAACCAACTGAGCTACCTAGCCAGGGCTATAACAGGGTTTAGAAGGCAAGGAGGAAAACAGAAAGCCAAAATGTCATGGAAGCCCTTTACAGAGTTACCATAACCTGTTAAACCAAAGGCAGGAAGAAGTTCTGTAATTGCAAACATAATAGAAGTTCAGGGGAAAGATTGCTCTAAGAACTTGAGAGTATTGAAACTTGGGTAGTATTTTGGGGGGGGAGGGGTTCAAGTTAAGAGAGCTTTATTAGCCCTGCGGCAACTGTCCCATCCTACACAGAGGAGAGCAGCCTTGGGTAGTATTTTTTAAATTCATTTTGCATTTTTAAAATGTTTTTACTGATTTTTTTAGAGAGGGGAAGTAGGGAGAGAGACAGAAACATCAATGAGAGAGAAGCATCAACATTTATCAGCTGCTTCCTGCACACCCCTTACTGGGGATCAGGCACGAAACCCAGGCATGTGCCCTGGCCAGAAATCAAACCAGTGACCTTAGTGCATAGTCTGATGCTCAAACACTGAGCCACACCAGCAGGGCACAAACTTGGGTAGTATTTTAAGATGGAGAGTGGAGAGAGTTAAGCGAGACAGTAATGAGTTTAACTGTAGCAGAGAATATACTAGTACTAAGAAGAATAGGCCCATATTCCGAAAGGCCTTGAAAACCAGACTCAAGAATGACTAGAATCAGTAGGTAGTAAATAACTCATTCCAAGTTGGGGAGAAGTTAGGAATTAGTAGAAAATGGTAATGGAGGAAGAGTTCCTGTAGCTTATCCCAGGGCACTTGGGTTATGTACAGAGGCAAATGGAGATGTAAAGATTCTAATTAAGGAAAGGCCATAGATCACAAAGAATTTGCTATATCATGAAGACTGACAAGTGGTTTCTTTCTAGGAAGTTATGAGGGACCCTGTGAGTAGCCAGTACAGCTCCTTTCTTTTCTGGAGGATGCCCATTCCCGAACTGGATCTGTCGGAGCTGGAAAGCCTGGGTCTGTCAGATACATCCACCTACAAGGTCAAGGACAGCAGCGCTGGCAAAATGACCGGGCAAGCAACGGAAACAGAGCAGGAGAAAAACCCTGAAGGTGATGCCCTCCTTCAGTACAGCACCTTCAACTTCTGGAGAGCTCCCATTGCCAGCATCCACTCCTTCGAATTGGACTTGCTCTAAGCCCAAGTCTTCTCTCTCCCACCATCTTGCCCTCATTGTCTTCCCTTTCAAGCCCCTTCCTTTCCGTCCTTTTCGCCTATTAATCTTGCTCTCTCCCCTCCATTGTGTTGAGGTGGTGCTGATGAATCTGGCAGAGTTGTGATTTATATATTTATTTATTAATTTATTATTTATTTATTTATTTATTTATTGTATCAATTTCTCTTAAAAGCCCTCAAGCCACAAAGTAAAGGGTTCAGGCAATGGAGTGCACTTACTGGGTCACAAGGATTACTCCTCCCACTCCATATTAACTCCAGAAAACAGGCCTGATGGGGGCACCACAGAGTAGTATAGGAGCATAAAATGAAAGGACTGATTTTTTTTTTTTTTTTTTAACCTCATTTGAATCAGCTTTAGAGATTGCTCAAACTTTCCTAATTTCCTTCTTTAGACCAGTAAACACAAATATTTCTTTAATGGTTGATGAGTACTTTGTAAATTTTAATTTGAGATTATCTGCTACACGACAGTAGGATTTCTAAAAGGCTAAAATGATATAAACCACTTGCTTTTTTATTCTGCTCCTCATAATACACACTTTCTCAGAGAAATTGGGGTGAAAGGTATTAAACAAGGGAATAATATGTCTTAGAAAATTAAAAATAAGGGAAAGCCCTGAGTCATTTCAGAAATAGCTATCCTCTCTCAAAAGGGTGTTTCTTCAAGCCTACTCACTTTACAATTTTGCTTCTAACTGTGGGTTGAAAACTCTGAGGAAAAAATCACTCAATTTCAAATCTGAAAATGCAATCTTGCTGACTACTATGATAATTGGTAAGGTTTTGATTCTGTTTCTAAAAGACATAGGGTTTGGTCCTTAGTATTTTAGACTTGCCCTCCTCCATTTGCCATGTTTATTCATCAATGGGCCTCAGGCACAGTTCTTCAGCTACCTTGAGACTATGAAATGTACAATCACATTCTGACCCTACAGCCTGCTCCCACTCCCAAAATTTTTGTTGCTGATTTGTGGTGCCATTTACTCATTTCTTTAATAAAGACATTCAATCCCAGGATTGCATTCTAGTTTTCTCTCTCTCCACAGGAAAGCAGTATAGATCTCAAGTTAGCCTTGCTTTCACATTCAGCTTATATATATATATTTTCTTCCTAATATTCAGCCTTGAGGAAGAATGATTTGAGTAGCCTTTATACGGTAAAATGATGAACTTCACATTGAATGGGTAGGTAACAAAAAAAAGGGTGAAATCAATTTAAAATTACTTAGCAAGAAAGCTGCAACCAACCATTCTGCTTGCCCACCGACTACCAACATATTTGAGGTAGTAATTCCAGGTGCCTCAGAAGGCACCTGTGGCACTAAATCTGCTCATTTCAGCTTAGGTGCCTGAGAAAATAAACAAATTCACCCAAATATATTATCTACTCACTTAAAACTCATTAAAAAAAAAATTTGTACTACTTTACAAGTAGTTTTTGGGTGCCTACTCTATGAAAGGCACTGAGTCAGACAATATAATATAAACAGGAATGAAACAAGATTTTTGATTCTCAAACTTAAAAAAAGGTAAAGCTTGTAAGTACCGATATAGACAGTACTTGGGCAATATGCTGTAAATACTTTAAAGATGACATGAACAAAATGCAAGTAAGTTCGGAAATGGGGGAGACACGTAAATCTTCCTCGGGGGAGACACGTAAATCTTCCTCGTAGGCTTTGAAAGGCCAACCATCAACGTCAAAAATGAAAATATAATAAAGAATGGATCCGTGAAATGTCCTTTCCTGTTTTTACTTATTTTTGAAGGACTTCTTTCCTGACGTCTTGCTGTCCGTTAGTCATGGAGTTTGGTGGGTGGAGATGGAACACAAGTGTTTGGTAAATCCGTCTGAATGGATTTGCAAACTCATGCTCCATCCTCTTCCAGGCCCCCCCAAAGCAAGCCTCCGTTATTTGTTTCACTGCTGGTGTTGACAGCTCGGCTCTAGGGTCCTATGTTCCGGCTGGAACTGGAAGTATGTCCCTCAGGCACCAGAGCTCATTTCTCGCGCAAAGCCAGGAACGTCCCAATCGGCTTCACCCTATATTGAGACAAAGAACCAAGATTTTCTCCTGAACCTATGGCTGGCTTCCCAAGAAGCAACCAAACGGGAGCAGGACCGACACAGAATGCGGTTTCCCTTCAGCTGTTCACCTGGTTCTTGGCGCCAAAACAAACCACCGTCCGTCCCCTGCCGGGTCTATAGACACGTCAGACACGTCATCGACAACCCTCCGCCTCGCTAAATAGTCCCGTCTAGGATTCCCCGGATACACACGCTTTCCACCGCAAAGGCCTGCGGGGGATACCAAATGGGCCTCGGCGGTGCATCATCCTTCTGTTCCAATGGAAAAGTAGGTTTTCTAACCATCTTCTCTTCACAGATCCGTCCGCCACAAAGTACTTTCGCAGTCTCCACTTCCGGGTCCGCCATTTTGTTGCCTCCATTTCTCCACGAGGGGGGTTAAAGGCCCCCTAAATATGCATATATGAAAAGGGTAAAAAGTAGCCGTCACTGACAGGGAGTCTAAACTAGAGAAGGAAACGGCACCAAACTGGCGGGTTCGGCGAAAGCGCAGCCGGCAGCGTCCCGGACGAGGAGGTGAGGGGGAAGAAGAGATGGGTGGCCTCTGGGGGGCGTCAGGGCCGGCAGGGAGTGTCCCCTGAAAAGCTGCACCACTTCCCAGCCCAGCCCCGAACTTCTGGGTGCAGACAGAGCGGCGCCCCTTCGTGGGAGCGGGGGCACCTGGGGGAGGGGGGCGAAGAGGAAGGGGATGCTGTCGGGAGGAAGGGGAGGGGACTGGCAGGAGGTGAAGGAGGGGTGGGTGTAAGACCTGGGGCCCGGGAGCTGGACTGAGGGAAGCCAAGGCCGCAGAGGTGACCACTAGGGGGCAGCGCGGGGCCGGGGCGGGGCCGGCTGCTTTCTAGGCTGAGACCTTGGCTCTGACTTGAACCGAAAGACGGAACATCTGGGAAACAAGATTTGTGACAGAAAAACGGGGCTCCAGGAATAGCCTAAAGATTATTAGTGAGCACGCTAACCTGAACAAGAGCCTAAGGGCCCCATCTCCAGTTCCCCCTTTTTTTTTAAAGAGAGAGAACGAGATTTATTGTTTGTCGTAGGCATTCATTGGTTGACACTTGTGTGTGCCCTGACTGGGGATCTCCCCGCAGCCCTGGCGTCGCACCAGCTGAGCTACCCCGCAGGGCCTGGGCCTGGACCTCCAGTTCTTGCACAGTTGTTTGTACAGCTGGCGGCTCAGTGAGGACGCGTGTGACAGAAAAAGGGGAGGGGGGTCAGACCATGGTTTCTTCAGTTCTAATGCTCCTTCCCGTTAGCTTTCTCTCTGCTCACAGATTTACTTGAGCCAGCAGAGATCATTTCATTACCCTCTCCCTTCCCAGAAGGTCACCCTGGCTGTGTGCGTGTGTGTCCCCCACCCCCCTTCCTCTCTCCTTCTCTCCCTCTCCATCTGTGGAAAAGGACATTCTCTGGCTTGCCTTCAACAATTTAAAAATATTTTTGGCTACCTAGGACCGTATTTTCTTTTCTTGTTAATCCTGACCCGAGAATATTTTTTTCATTAATTTTCAGATAGAGTGGAAGGGGGGAGGGGAGAAACGTCCATGTGAGAGAGACAAATTGATTGGGTGCCTCTTGCATGACCCAGGCTGGGGCTGGGGATCAAACCTGCAACCCACGTACATGCTCTTGACCAGGAATGGAACCCTCAACCCTTCAGTGTTCTGGTGGTCACTGTAACCGGTAAGCCAAACCGGCCAGGGCTAGAACTATATTTTCTTTTTTTTATCCTCACTTGAGGACATTTTTTCCATTTTTTGTTCAGGTAGAGTAGGAGGGAGAGAGAGGAACAGAGAGAGAGAAACATAGACGTGAAAGGGACACATTGAGTGGCTGCCACCCACACGACCCAACCAGGGCTGGGGACAAACTGCAACCGAGGTACGCACCCCTATTGGGAACCAAACCCAGGTCTCTTGGGATGCAGGCCGGTGTTCTAACCGCTGAACCAAACCGGCCAGGGCTGGGACTATATTTTCAACATACAATTTGATCCACGTAGTCCAGTAGAGATGTTCTTAAGCATCTGTTTTCATATCTATTTTCACATACCCTTGGTAGCAGTGAAAGGACTGTCTCACCCAAATTCTTGTATCAGCCAATGTAATTACTCTCTAATAATAGAGTACTTTGTTGTCAAGTGCTCAACCACTTCATCAGTTATTAAAATTCAATTATTGAAAGTTCTTGTGTGTTTGTTTGGGAGGGGATGTGGGTGTTTTATTCATCTTCAAAGTCCTAAGAGTCAAGTTAGATCAAATTTTTGTTTCTTCATTTTATATGTAGGGAAAGTGGAGGTACATACAGTAAGGGAGAATCTCCCCCCCCCGTTTTGTTTTGTTTTTTTTTATCCTCACCCGAGGACATTCTTCCATTTTTTGTTCAGGTAGAGTGGGAGGGAGAGAGAGGAACAGAGAGAGAGAGAGAAACATCGATGTGAAAGGAACACATCGAGTGGCTGCCACCCACACAACCGACCAGGGCCGGGGACAAACTGCAACCGAGGTACGTGCCCTTAGCGGGAACCGAACCCGTGTCTCTCAGGACCGCAGGCCGACGCTCCAACCGCTGAGCCAAACCGGCCAGGGCTCCCCCCCTTTTTTTTAGTGATCAAGGAGAGGGAGCTCAGAAGTGCCTAGACTGTCCTCTTGTCTCCTAAGCTACATTCTTTTTTTTTTTTTTTTTTAATTAATTATTGATTTGGAAAGGGAGAGGGGAAAAAGAGAAACATCAATGTCAGAGTATTGATGTGAGAGCGAAACATCAGTCACCTGTCTCCTGCATGTCCCCCCATGGGAGATCTAGCCCACAACCCGGGCTTTTGTCCTTGATTGGAATCAAACCAGCAACATCCCAGTACACTGGACAATGCCCAACCAACTGAGCCATACTGTCCAGGGCTCTTGGCTACATCTTTTATCTGGTAGGTACTGCCAGTGTTGACATGGGATACTGGGAGAATGGAACATAGTCCCTGCAAAATGCTGTTATTTTTAAAATACATTTTATTTTTACTCAAGATAGATGCTTCAGGTTAACTCAAAAGAAAAGAGTAACTGGAGTGTAGGAGGAGAAAAAAGCCTTGAAGAACACATTTCTAGGCGGCTTTTTTTTTTTTTATATCAGGTAATGAATATAACACCTTATTTATAGTCTAGTCCCAAAGTAACTATATCTTCATATAGTAAGAAATATGGCTCTTCATGGCCTAAAGAATGCGATGACAAGTTTGGATCAGTTGCCATTTAGTGGAGGGAGAGGAAGGGAGAGACAGAAACATTGATGTAAGGCATCGACTGGCTGCCTCTTGCACGACCCGCACCAGGGACCAGGGCCAGGGATGAACCACAACCGAGGCACAACCTTGGTCGGAATTGAACCCGGGACTCATTGGTCCACAAGCTGACCCTTTACCACTGAGCCAAACCAGCCAGGGCTAAAGTATCTGATTTTCCAGTAGAATCAGCTTCCCAGGAATGTGAAGCATACCAGATTTCTCCTTAAACAGATACCTCAACCTTTAACTGAATTTTGTGAGTGTTGTGGTAGAGAATAGAGCTAGAATTTCATTATAGAGCTAGAATTTCATTATGAGGATAGTTTAATACTGTTTTGTGCCAACATTTCTGAATATCCCTGTGTAGGGCATTCTTTCCCTTTGTGATCAGTTATTACTGTAGAGGTAATAAGGCTTGCCGATAAACCTTTTTAAATGTAGGGGTGGGCAGAAGTAGGTTTACAATTGTTTGTATGGAAAATAATACAATATTTAATAAATAATGCCCTGGCCTGTGTGGCTCAGTGATTAGAGGGTCGGCCTGCCTACCTAAGGGTCTTGGGTTCAATACTTGGACAAGAGTACATGCCTGAGTTGCAGGTTCGATCCCTGGCCCTGATTGGGGTACATACGGGAGGCAACCAACCCATGTTTCTCTCTCACATCCATGTCCCCCCCTCGACCATTCCTTCCCTCACTCCCTTCCACTCTCCCTAAAAAGCAATGGAAAAAATACCCTCGGATGATGATTGACAAAACAAACAGCCCTGGCCAGTTTTGCTCAATGGTTAGAGCATGGGCCCATGAGGCAAAGAGTCGCAGGTTTGATTTGGATCAAGGGCATGTTCATGGGTTGCAATTCAATCCCCAGCCCTGGTTGGGGTTGTGCGGGAGGCAACCAATTGATGTGACTCACATTGACATTTCTCTTTCTCACTCTCTTCCCCTCCCTCCCTCTCACTCTCTTCGAAGATCAATGGGAAAATGTCCTCGGGTCAGGATTTAAAAAGTTTTAATAAATAATACTAGAATAAACTCTGTTTCCTGTACTCAAAATTGTAAACCTACTTTTGCCCTCTCCTGTATAGTGTAATTTGAGAAAATGTGAAGGAATTATTTCTGATTAACGAATGAACCACCTAGAAATTTGTTCTTATTAGTAATAAGATAAATAAGTTGAAAGGCAGTTTTGATATTTTAATATATTTTTATTGATTTTTTTAGAGAGAGAGGAAGGGAGAGAGAGAGAGAAACATCAATGTGAGAGAGAAACATCAATCGGCTGCCTCTTGCATGCCCCTACTGGAGGTCGAGCCCGCAACTGGGGCATGTGCCTACTTGGGAATTAAACCTGGACCTCTCAGTCCGTGGGACAATGTTCAGTCCAATGTGCCATGCTGGCCAGGCAGTTTTGATATTTTAAAAGGAAGATAACCTGGAGAAATGCAGAGTATCCGTTTTCTCTAAGAAGGTTTTGCTATCATTTTTTTCGCTAGTGTTTTCTTGAATTGTAAAAACTTACACTTGGATAGGATTATAGAAATTCACACTATTTAGCCCGGCCAGTGTGGCTCAGTGGTTGAGCGTCAACCCATGCACCAAGAGGTCGCCAGTTTGATTCCCAGTTAAGGCACATGCCCAGGCTGTGGGCCCAATCCCTAGTGGAGGGCATGCCAGAGGTGGCCAATTGTTCTCTCTCATCGATGGTTCCATCTCCCTCTACCTCTCCCTTCCTCTATCTTTAAAATCAATAACGGAAAAAAAATTTACACTATTTTTATTTATTTATATTTGTTAATTCTCACCCAAGGATTTTTAAAAATTTTTAGATACGGTGAAAGGAAGGGAGGGAGGGAGGGAGGGAGGGAGGGAGGGAGAGATAGAAACATTGATGAGAGAGAACATCAATTGGCTGCCTCCTGCATGCCCCTAACTAGAGATTTGGCCCACAACCTGGGTATGTGCCCTGACTGGGATCTAATCAGCGAACTCTTGGTGCATGGGTTGATGCTCAACCACTGAGCCACACCAGCTGGGCTAAGTGAAATTTTTATACTCTATTACCTTAAAATTTATTGATCTATTTTTCACTTTGAATGAATCTTTTACCCATGTGTGATTTTTTTTTTTTTTTTAATGAAATAAGGGTTTGCCTTTACTCATAAAAAGTCCATTGTAGGTGCCACACTCCTTATTTTTTTAATCCTCACCTGAGGACATTTCTCCATTTTTTGTTCAGATAGAGTAGGAGGGAGAGAGAGAAGAGAGAGAAACATCAACGTGAAAGGGACACATGGAGTGGCTGCCACCCACACAACCCAACCGGGGCCAGGGACAAACTGCAACCGTGGTACATGCCCTTAGTGGGAACCGAACCCGGGTCTCTGTGGACCACAGGCTGATGCTCTAACTGCTAAGCCAAACTGGCCAGTGTGGTGCCACACTTCTGAGTAGCTCTCTTTCAGACAGTCAACTCAGAGATCTGGGCTTCTTCCATTATGTGGCTCTTCTGTCACATAGTCCAGTCTTGATGTGGCTTCTTTAACTTTTGGTTATAAGACTTCTTGTTCAGCTAGTATTCAGTTGATTATTCTGGCTGATTGTGCTGTAATTTTGTTGTAATTCCAATTCGGGACTGGGGAGAAGTGAGTGTAACTTCCACTTACTATGCAGCCATCTTCCACCTCTTCCTCTCTTGCATGATTTTGTAACAATGCATTGGTCATTTGAAAAATATTGGTTCACAGAATTATGCAGATTATCCAAGTGTTAATGTATTTTATTAAACAATATTGAAAAATTCACATTCATTAATATCACCATGAATTTCATCAAAAAGTTTGTAGTAAACTATCAACTCATGGTGGATGTATATTTCCCAAAATCCTAGTTTTTGCTTGAAAGCTGAAGTTATAATTGAAAATTGGCAATAAATATTGTTGATTGTATTCTTTGAAGTGGGAGTTTCACTCTGTTCTTTGTTTTTTCCAATTTTTATTAATTTATTTTTGTTACAGATGTTTCTCCCTTTTTCCCCCTAGACACCGTCCTCCCCATTTTTTTTTTAATCCTCACCCAAGGACATTTTTCCACTCTCTATTCAGACAGAGTGGGAGGGAGAGAGAGGAAGAAAGAGAGAGAGAAACATCGACGTGAAAGGAACACATTGAGTGGCTGCCACCCACACGACTCAACCAGGGCCGGGGGCAAACCACAACCGAAGTACATGCCCTTAGTGGGAACCGAACCCGGGTCTCTCTTGACCACAGGCCGACACTCTAACCGCTGAGCCAAACCGGCCAGGGCATTTTTTTTTAAGTGTCTGGCATATACCTTGGTTTGTCTATTTGTCATTCTTTTCTGTAACATAATATTTCTACCCATGGTCATTTCAAAATGATGAAATTCTGTTTTATTGATCCCTTAAGCTAGTAAGGTGGTGATGTGATATGTTGACATATTTCCAAAGTATTATTCTGGAGATTGAAGGTGAGGGAACTGTTGCCCTGGCCAGTTTGGCTCAGCAGTTAGAGCACTGGCCCGTACCTCAGTTGTGGGTTTGATCCCCAGCCCCAGTCGGGGTCCTGTGGGAGGCAACCAATTGATGTGTCTATCTTACATCGATGTTTCTCTCACTCTCTTCCTCCCTCCATCCCTCCCACTCTATCTAAAAAAAATATCAATGGAAAAGTATCCTCGGGTGAAGATTTAAAAAAAGAAAGTGAGAGAATTATTGTTTAGGGCCTAAAATGTTTCCAAATATCTGATTGCTTTTGTTAGATGATGAGTAGAAAGGAAATGCCCTACCAGGTAGTCACCTTGAAAAGTATACTAAAGTACAAGAAATCTTCTAAAAACATTTTACAGGCAACTGTCCTTGTGTTTGAGTTACAGCTTCCCGAAAACTTTTGTTCCTATGCATAAAGATGTCTTTGGTGGACTTGGGGAAGAGGTTGCTAGAAGCAGCAAGAAAAGGCCAAGATGATGAAGTGAGAACATTGATGGCAAATGGTGCCCCATTCACCACAGACTGGGTAAGCTCTCTTGATTATTCCCAATCTTTTTCTTTCTAATTTTTATTTATTAATTTGAGAGAGAGAGGCAGGCTGGGGGAGAAACATCAGTTTTGTTGCTCCACTTATTTATGCATTTATTAATTAATTCTTACATGTGCCCTTACCAGGGATCAAACTGGGAATCTTGGTATATCAGGATGACTCTAACCAACTGAGCCACACCGGCCGGGCACCAATCTTTTTCTTTTCTTTTTCTTTTTTTTTTATCCTCACCCGAGGACATTTTTTAAATATTTTGTTCAGATAGAGTGGGAGGGAGACAGAGAGAGAGAGAGAGAAACATCGATGTGAAAGGGACACATTGAGTGGTTGCCACCCACACGACCCAACTGGTGCCGGGGACAAACTGCAACCAAGGTACGTGCCCTTAGTGGGAACCGAACCCGGGTCTCTCCAGACCGCAGGCTGACGCTCCAACCGCTGAGCCAAACCGACCAGGGCATCCAATCTTTTTCTTAAAGTCTAAACAGACTTTACTGATTTTTCTTCATTCCCTTTCTGCCTCATTCTCCTGACAAGAGTTTTATTTTTTTTGTCCCATCTGAATATGTGGTTTTCTTTATTTCTTTTTTTAAAATTTTATTCCTTTATTGATTTTAGAGAGAGAAGTGAGAGAGAGAGAGAGAGAGAGAGACATCCATGAGAGAGAACATTGACTGGCAGCCTCCTGCATGCCCCCCACCGGGGATCAGGTCCACAACCTGGGCATGTGTCCTGACCGGAAATCGAATTGGTAACCTCCTGGTGCATGGGTTTATGCTCAACCACTGAGCCACACCAGCTGGAGTGAATATATGGGTTTCTTTTTCTTTTAGTTTTCTAAATTGAAGGTGTCTCCTGTGGATATATAGGTGGTAATTGTAAAGGTATTATATACTTGTAATTTTCTATAAAGCTTTTCAGAGTATTTCTAAAAATTTAATTCTCCCTGGAATGTAGTTAGTGAGAAATTAAACAAAATCAGTGTAATAAAAGTACATATCTAAACTAATAAACTCTATGTTTTCTTTTCTCTAAAATATCCTGGTTAATAAGAAATAGTCTGTGCTGTGGTTGGTGTTGGTCAGTGTATAGAGCATTGGCCTGTGCACCGAAGGGTCTCAGGTTTGATTCTGGTCAGGGGCACGTACCTGGGTTGCAGGTTTGTTCCTCTGCTCCAGTTGGGGCATATATAGGAGGCAACTAATCAATGTGTCTCTCTCACATTGACCTTTCTCTCTCTCTCTCTTTTTCCCGCCTTTCTTCCCTCCCTTTCACCCTCTGTAAAAAAAAAATCAATGGAAAAAATATCCTTGGGTGAGGATTAACCAAAAAAAAAAAAAAGGAAAGAAATAGTCTAGTCCTGGCCTGTGTTCCTCAGTTGGTTGGAGTGTCATCCTGTGTACCAGAAGGTCTCGGGTTCGATTCCTGGTCAGGGCTCATACCTAGGTTGCAGATTTGATCCCCAGTTGGGCCTGGTACGGGAAGCAACTGATCAAGATATCTTTCTTACTTGCTGTTTCTTTCTCTCTCTTCCTCTTCCTCCTTCAAAAAAAAAGAAAGAAATGAGAAAAGAAATAGTGTAGCCATTTTGTTTCCTTTACCACTATTGAAAAACATTCCAGAGCCCAGCTGGTGTAGCTCAGTGGTTGATTGTCAACCCATGCACCAAGAGGTTGCTGGTTCGATTTCCGGTAAGGGCACATGCTTCGGTTGTAGGCCTGATCCCCAGTGGGGAGCATGCAGGAGGCGGCCAATCGATGTTCTCTCTCATCGATGTTTCTCTCTCTCTCTCTCCCTCTCCCTTCCTCTCTCTAAAATCAATAAAGGAAAGAAAAAAAAAAGCCATTTAAGAGGCCCTGGCCGTCCTGGCCGGTTTGGCTCAGCGGTTAGAGCGTCGGCCTGTGGTCCAGAGAGACCCGGATTTGGTTCCTGCTAAGGGCGTGTACCTCGGTTGCAATTTGTGCCCGGCCCTGGTTGGTCGTGTGGGTGGCAGCCACTCAATGTGTCCCTTTCACATGGATGTTTCTCTCTCTCTCCCTCCCACTCTACCTGAACAAAAAAAAAAAATGGAAAAATGTCCTCGGGTGAAGATAAAAAAAAAAAAAAAAAAAAAGAGGCCCTGGCCAGTGTGGCTCAGGTGGTTGAGTGTCTTCCCATCCACCAAAAGGTTGCTAGTTCTCCTAATCAAGGCACATGCCTGGGTTTCGGGCTTGATCCCCGGTAGAGAGGCATGTAGGAGGCAATCAATGTATTGCTCTCACATTGATGTTTCTCTTTCTCTCTGACTCCCTTCCACTCTCTCTAAAAGTCAATTAAAATATTTTTTTAAAAAAACATTAAAGAAGAAGGTGTAATTTCATGATCCTAGACAGCCAGCTTGGAGAGCAGAGTTTTAGAAGATCTAGGCCCAGGTTATAATGTGGGTTTCCTTAGCATTCATAGGTTTTGTAAGCATTGCCTAATTTTAACAATTCAATGAGTGAGTGGTGAGTGTCCTCTTTTCTGGAGTGGTTAATTCATAACCTTAGAGGCCAGCAGGTTCTTCTTTTTTTAATCCTTACCAGAGGATATGTGTCTTCATGGATTTTAGGGAGAGGGAGAGGGGGAGAGAGAGAGAGAGAGAGAGAGAGAGAGAGAGAGAGAGAGAAACATTGATGTGAGAGAGTAATATTGATTGGTTGCCTTCTTTTTTTTTTTGGTATGTGCCCCTAGTGGGAACCGAACCTGGGACCGATGCTCCAGCCGCTGAGCCAAACTGGCCAGAGCGATTGGTTGCCTTCTGTAGGCACCCTGATCGGGGATCAAACCCAAGACCCTTCCATACACAAGAAGATGCTTCAACTAACTGAGCCACACTGGCCAGGACTGAGGCCAGCAGGTTCTTAGCACTTCACAAAAAGGAAGAAAGGAAACCCATGAGATTATCTTTTCTATAAATAGACCTGAGAAGAACAATGTGAATTAAATCTAGTCAGGCAGAGAGGCTGAATATATGAAAAGCAAAGAATAAACAAAATAGACTTAAAATAAAGAGTATAACAAAAAGAAAGGAATAAATTTCTGGCCAAAGTGGATGCTGATAACTCTTACAAGATTTACTTTGAGATGATATAGACTTGCTTATTGCTGTTGATACTTGATTGCTAACTATTTTTAAAAAATATTTCCAGTGATTTTTAGAAGATAGGAGAGGGAGAGGAAGAGAGAAACATCTATGTGAGAGTGAAACATTGATTGTCTGCCTCTTGCACGCCCCCTACTGGGAATAGAGCCTGAAACCCATGTGTCCAGACCAGAAATCAAACTGTCAACCTTTCGGTGCACAGGATCACACCCAACCAACTGAGCCACACTGGCCAGGGCTTGATTGCTAAATTTTTATTGCCTCTTCCTCTTATTAGTCATTTTGCTTTGCTTTACTATAGTAACAAACTTCTATTCCAACCAATTAAATTGGCACTCCAAGTTGCACATGCAACTTTCTGGTCTGCCCTTGTCCTAAAAATTGTTTTGAATCTGCATCTATCCCTTCCCTTTACCCCTGACTCAGAATGCTCTTGTCTGTCCCATTTTTTTTACCTTCTAAGCCCTGTTTAAAATCATGTCCATTAGGGAATCTTACCTGATAAATCCACCTGACTTAAATCCACTATATTTAGTTCTTATTTATTTACTTTTATTATTACTTATTTATTTATTTTTTGGCATATGCCCCTAGCAGGAACTGAACCCAGGACTCTCTGCTCTGCAGGCCAACGCTCCAACTGCTGAGCCAAACCGGCCAGGGCTAGTGCTTATTTAATTGGTGGTATATTAAGTTTTTAATTAAGTCATTTCTTCAGTCCCCTATTAGTAAATTAATTTTTTGTTGTTGTTAATTCTCACCTGATGATATTTTTCCATTGCTTTTTTTTTAGAGAGCGTGGAAGGGAGGGAGGGAGACAGACAGAAAGAGAGAGAGAGAAAGATATGTAAGAAAGACACATCAGTCCAGCCAGTGTGGCGTAGTGGACTGAGTGTTTTCCCATGGACTGAGAGGTCCCGTTAGAATCCCAGTCAAGGCACATGCCCAGTTTGTGGGTTCGATTCCCAGTAGGTGGTGTGCAGTAGGCAGCTGATTAATGTATCTCTCTCATATTGATGTTTCTGTCTCTCTCCCTTCTTTTCTCTAAAAAATTAGTAAAAATGTATTTTTTTAAAGAGAGAGAGAGAGACATCATTTGGTTGCCTTGTGCATGACCCCAATCTGGGCTGGGGATTTAACCTGCAACCTTGCCTTTGACCAGAATTGAACCTGCAACCCTTAGTCCATGAGCCAGTGCTCTAACCACTGAGCAAAACCAGCCAGGACTATATATTAATTTCTTAATTAAGTTATTTCTTCAGTCCTGTGTACCCAACCAGATTCTCTCTCCAAGGGCAGGAACCATAATACTTACCTCTTGTTCGCTTCAGTAATGATTTAGAAATCTGCACGCAGTTGATATTCAATGAGTATTATTTTCCCACAGCTTGGAACATCACCCCTCCATCTTGCAGCCCAGTATGGTCATTATTCCACAGCAGAAGTGCTCCTTCGAGCAGGCGTTAGCAGGGATGCCCGAACCAAAGTGGACAGGACCCCATTGCACATGGCTGCAGCTGATGGACATGCACACATCGTGGAACTGCTTGTTAGGGTAAAACAAGAATAGTGGTGGGACTGTATTGTAAAAAGGACACTCACCTTCCTTTCTTAAATGACTGGCAGGAAACTAGGTTTGGAAAGATCAAGTTGAGGACAGTTTATAGGATTGAGTTGCCTCTCTTTCAAGAGTAATTGTGACTGAGAATTTTGTTTTCTAATCCTTTGAAAGGTAAAGACTTTATTGATTTTTCTTCATTCCCTTTCTGCAGGTGTTCTCTGCACTTACACCTATTTTTTCAGATCCTCAGCTCTGTTAATAAATGCAACAGAAGTCTGTTTTTTTCCCCTTCCTTTCTCATCTGTTATAATTTCCCCGTGATGTCCTTAGAAGACCCACTCGTTGAAGGCATTATGTCTTTCAGCATCAGGGTAATTTGAGAAATATTTTCCCTTTGTTATTTCTTATGTAATCTAAATTTGAATATGTGTAATCTATGGAAATTCTCTGTGTTGGTGATGGGATCTTGCACCTGTGCTGCTGTAACCAGTGTCTATATGAAAACATTACTTTTCTATGACAGAATGGAGCAGATGTGAATGCCAAGGATATGCTGAAGATGACAGCTTTGCATTGGGCCACAGAGTACCACCATCGAGATGTTGTAGAGCTACTTATCAAATATGGAGCTGATGTCCATGCTTTTAGCAAATTTGATAAATCTGCCTTTGACATAGCCTTAGAGAAGAACAATGCTGAGATTCTGGTCATCCTTCAGGTCTGTTTCTTGTTTGTTTTTTTTAATCCCCAGAGTATGCTTCAATTGAAATTAAGGACTTGTTTTGGAAGCTGTATCAATACTGAATTTTCCCTATCTTATCAAAGAAGTACTTCTAATATGCTTTAAATCTTGTGACTCAGTGTCATTAGTATATTTAAATATGTATTTTATTTATTTATTTAGTTAAACCTCACCCGAGGATATATGTATTTTTTTCTTTATTGATTTTAGAGAGAGAGGAAAGAAGAGGGAGAGAGAGAGAGAAACACTGATGAGTGAGAACATTGATTGGCTGCCTCCTGCATGCCCTCCACTGGGGATTTGGCCCACAACCTGGGCGTATGCCCTGACCAGAAATCAAACTGACAACCTCTTGGTGCATGGGTCAATGCTCAACCACTGAGCCACATCGGCTGGGCTCACCTGAGGATATTTTTCCATTGATTTTTCAGATAGAGTGGGAGTGAGGAAGAGAGAGAGAGAGAAACATCGATGTGAGAGAGACACATCGGTTGCCTCCTGCATGACCCTGACCAAGGTTGGGGATCAAACCTGCAACCAAGGTACTTGCCTCTTGACTAGGAATTGAACCGGAGACCCTTTGGTCCATGGGCCAACACTTAACCGCTGAGCCAAACGAGCCAGGGCTAAATATATATATGTTTTATAAAGCTCTGGATTATTCATGGTGATTGAATAACAGTATTGGTGGCCAATACAAAAACAAGATTTATTTGGCTTTAGAATGATTTTTTATCCATGAAGATTTTTTTTTCTAATTAATTTGACTATACTAAAAACCTCTTTATGTTTGTTTGTTTGTTTATTTATTTTTATCCTCACCCGAGGACATTTTTCCATTTTTGTTCAGATAGAGTGAGAGGGAGAGAGAGAGAGAAACGTCGACATGAAAGGGACACATCGAGTGGCTGCCTCCTGCATGACCCTAATCGGGACCGGGGACAAATTGCAACTGAGGTACCATGCCCTTGGCTGGAATCGAACTCGCGACTCATTGGTCTGCGGGCCGATGCTCTAACAGCTGAGTCAAACCAGCCAGGGCTCTTTATGTTTTTTGAATGTATATCAACTTATATGAGAGAGTACATAGCTCTAAGGCTTATCCTTTAATCTTGGAATTAAAGGAAGCCATCTCAGAATTAAGTTAGCTGCCTGGCTCTTTTTGGCTCTCTGAGCAGCACCATGGTGGTGGGCAAGAACAAGTGACTTACGAAAGGTGGCAAAAAGGGATCCAAGAAGAAAGTGGTTGATCTATTTTCTAAGAAAGATGGTATGATATGAAAGCACTAGTTGTGTTCAATATAAGAAATATTGGAAAAACACTAGTCATGAGACCTCAAGGAACCAAAATCACATCTGATGGTCTCAAGGGTTGTATTTTTGAAGTGAGCCTAGCTCATCTGCAGAATGATGAAGTTGCATTTAGAAAATTCAAGCTAATTGCTGAGTGTGTTCATGGCAAAAACTGTCTGACTAATTCCATGGCATGGTTCTTACCCATGACAAGATGTGCTTCATGGTTAAAAAGTGGCACAGCATGACTGAAGCTCATGTTGATATCAAGACTGCCAATGGTTATTTTTTTTTTTATTTTTTTTTTTTATCCTCACCTGAGGATATTTTTCCATATTTTGTACAGATAGAGTGGGAGGGAGAGAGAGGAAGGAAGAGAGAGAGAGAAACATCGACGTGAAGGGACACATCGAGTGGCTGCCACCCGCACGACCAACCAGGGCCGGGGACAAACTGCAACCGAAGTACGTGCCCTTAGCGGGAACCGAACCCGGGTCTCTCCGGACCGCAGGCCGACGCTCTAACCGCTGAGCCAAACTGGCCAGGGCGCCAATGGTTATTTACTTCATCTATTCTGTGTTGGTTTTACTAAAAAACACAACAATCAGATGCAGAAAACCTCATGCTCAGCATCAACAGGTCCACCAAATTGGAAGAAGACGATGGAAATCATGACCAGAGAGGTGCAGACAAATGACTTGAAAGAAATGGTCAATAAATTGACTACAAATAGCATTGGAAGAGACATAGAAAAGGCTTGCCAATCTATTTATCTGCTCTAGGATGTCTTTGTTAGAAAAGTAAAATGTAAAAGAAGCCAAGTTTGAATTGGGAAAACTCGTAGCTTCATGCTGAAGATAGCAGATCTGGAAAAGCTACTAAGGATGAGACAGTTGCTAAAGTTGAACAAGCTGCCGAAGTGGCTTAATTGGTTGAGAGTTGTCCTGTGCACCAAAAGGTTGCTAGTTTAGTTCCTGGTCAGGGCATATATCGGGGTTGTGGGTTCAATCCCCAGTTGAAGCAAATATAGAAGGCAACCAATTGATGTTTCTCTTGCTCTCTCACTCACTGTCCTCCCTTTTTTCTGTAAGCATGTCCTCAGGTGAGGATTTAAAAAAGCTGGGAGCGTAACCAGTAGACATAGACAAAAATGCTGGGGACGGGGCAGGGTGGGGGGATTGGGAGGCGAGTGTCAATGGGGGAAAATGGAGGAATATCTGTAACAAAAATAAATTAATAAAAAAAAGCTGGGATGATTCCTTCCATCAGTTTTTTTCTTTTTACTTTTTTTGTTAATCCTCACATGAAGCTATTTTTCCATTGATTTTTAGATAGAGTGGAAGGGAGGGAGGGAGAAAGAGAGGGAGAGAAAAACATTGATGTGGCTCACATCGATTGGCTGCCTCCTGCATGACCCCGACCAAGGCTGGGGATCAAACCTGCAACCCAGGTACATGTACTTGACCGGGAATTGAACTCTAGATCATTTTGTGCTCGAGCTGATGCTCTAACCACTGGCCAGGGCACCACCCATTATTTATTTTTAAATATATATATTTTTTATTTATTGTTTTTGAAGAGGAAGAGAGAGATAGAAACATCAATGAGAGAAAACATAGATTTGCCACCTCCTGCATGCCCCCCACTGGGGATTTGGCCAGGAATCGAACCAGTGACCTCTTGGTGCATGGGTCGATGCTCAACCACTGAGGCACACTAACCTGGCTTTCCACTGATTTTTAGATAGAGTGGAAAGAAGAGAGAGAAGAGAGAGAGACAGATGTGAGAGAGTCACATAGATTGGTTGTCTCCCGTACAAACCCCACTGGGGCCAGGGATCAAAACTGCAACCCAGGTATGTGCCCTTGACCAGGAATTGAACCCGTGACCCTTTAGTCCTCGGGCCAACACTGTAACGCTCAGCCAAATCAGCCAGAGCAGGAGGAGTTGGACCATTTTGTGGGTAATGGAGATCCAATAGAATTTTTAAAATATAGAATTGATATTAGACTTTTTATCTTTTTTTAGAGAGAGGAAGGAAGGGAGAAAGAGAAAGAAACATCAGTTTGAGAGAGAAACGTTGATCAGTTGCCTTTCATATCCACCCTGACCTGGGATTAAACGACAACCTAGGTATGTGCCCTGCCCTGACTGGGAATCAAACCCATGACCTGGTACACGAGACAACATTCCAACCAACTGAGCCAAACCAGCCAGAGCAATATGATTAGATGTTTTTTTAAAAGATGATTATTTGGCTCTGGCCGGTTTGGCCCAGTGGTTAGAGTGTCGGCGCATGGACCAAAAAGTTGTGGGTTCAATTCCAGTCAAGGGCATGTACCTCGGATGCAGTTTGGTCCCTGGCCTTGGTCTGAGTCATACAGGAGGCAACCAGGCGATGTGTCTCTCTCACTTCGATGTTTCTCTCTGTCTCTCTCTCTCCCTCCCACTCTATCTGAAGATAAATGGAAAAATATCCTCAGATGAGGATTAAAAGAAAAAAAAAAAAGACTGGCCCTGGCCGGTTTCGCTCAGCGGTTAGAGCATTGGCCTGCAGTCCGGAGAGACCCAGGTTCGGTTCCTGCTAAGGGCACGTACCTCGGTTGCAGTTTGTCCCCGGCCCTGGTTGGGTTGTGCGGGTGGCAGCCACTCGATGTGTCCCTTTCACATCGATGTTTCTCTCTCTCTCTCTCTCCCTTCCACTCTATCTGAGCAAAAAAATGTCCTCGGATGAGGATAAAAAATAAAAAAAATAAAAAAGACTGGAGTGTGATATGAAGACTGGAGAGAGAAGTCTTAATGCTAAAGAACTATATAGTGACTTTCATGAGGCCAGGCAAAAGCCAATACGGGCTTGAATTAAGGAAGTGATAGTGGAGGATAGAAGAAGGGGCATATTCAAGAAGGAATTTAACAGTAACTAGAGAGTGAATAATCTGTTTCAAGCTGAAACTATTAGTCAAAGGGATAATTATATATGAAAAATAGATATTTCTACTGCATTTTCAATACTTGGTTATTTGTCTGTTATTTCTTACAGATGGTTCTCTATAGAGTGGTTACTCTTTTCAACTTTCAGTTCCTTGTTTAGAGCTCTTTCATAATTGGGACCTTTTTAGTAGTGATCATGTTTGTAGAAAACTGCTTCTGAAAGTGAAAAAATGATGAAATAAAGATAAGTATCTTTACACCAAAGTTGTATAAACATTCCTGGAAGCAAAAGTGCAGCATATGGAACTAGACTTTAAAATCTGGCACTCATGCCCTGGCTGGTTTTGCTCAGCGGTTAGAGCATCGACCTGCAGACCAGAGAAACCCGGGTTCGGTTCCTACTAAGGGCATGTACCTCGGTTGCAGTTTGTCCCTGGCCCTGTTTGGTCGTGCAGGTGGCAGCCACTCAATGTGTCCCTTTCATGTCGATGTTTCTCTCTCTCTCTCTTCCTCTCCCTCCCACTCTATCTGAACAAAAAATGGAGAAATGTTCTTGGGTGAGGATAAAAAAAAAAAATCTGGCACTCATTTATCTGCTTGTTATATATTCTCTGAGGAATTCTTCAGTGGAAGAATGGAACAAGTTATTTGACAGAACTCTGGAGAATATTCTTCTCTGTAGATTCTCTATAGGTATCTCCTGCTAGCACATTGACTTCTAGATCATTGATCATAGGATATTTGGAAATTACTATTTAGGCCATCGTCCTTATTTTCCAAATAAAAAAAGAAGATCCAGATTAAGTGAATTGTGTAGAAGTTTTTGCATATAATATACCTTTTTTTCTAAAGTAGAAATAAGCTTGAGAAAACAACCTAACATCTCTGTTTTCTTGGTCAGAAAACAAAAAATAAACAGTGGTCTTTTTTAAAAATATGTTTTTGTTGATTTTTTAGAGAGAGAAGAAGGGAGAGAGAGATAGAAACATCAATGTGAAAAGAGAAACATTGATCATCCGCCTCCTGCATGCCCTCCCCTGGGGATCGAGCCTGAAACCCGGGCATGTGCCTTCAATGGAAATAAAACTGGGACCTCTCAGTCCATGGGACGATGCTCAGTCTACTGAGCCACACCAGCCAGGCTAAACAGGGTCTTAATGAGAACTCTGAGCTCCCTGGGACATTGTGTACTAGAACTAGTTCTGTTTGATAGAGCATTAGGGGTGTGGGATGGCTCTTTAGTTACTGTATAACTAAGGCTAATAAGTATTCTGACTTTAAAATATCTACCTTGTTTTATAGGAAGCAATGCAGAATCAGGTGAATGCTAATCCTGAAAGAGCCAACCCTGTAACTGTGGCTACCCCATTTATCTTCACATCAGGAGAAGTTGTCAACCTTGCTAGCCTTGTTTCTTCAACCAACAACAAAACAACCTCAGGTAATATTCTGATAATGTAGCATTTATTTTAGACTTAAGGTGAACAGAATCCCAGGTTTTCCTATGAGATGAATAGATACCTTCTCTGATACCCACTCTTTATTAAAATCTTCCCCAAACTGAGAATTTATAATAGCTTTAAAAGCTAATACACTTATTCTTTCTGGGAAAAGGGAATATCATACATAGGGGTTATACCTGAGTGCTTACTGTGTTAAAAGTAAAATATTCTACAGGCTAATCTGTTGACATGCTATGCCTGACCCATAAAATGAAAATATAGCAGTACTTCAATATAGTACTGCTATGGAAGATAGTTTAATATTCATAATCCAAAACATAATAAATAAAGCAGAAAAAACATAAGTGGTTGTTAGAATGCTGATATAAAAGAGGTACATGTGGCCCCGGCCGGTTTGGCTCAGCAGTTAGAGCGTCGGCCTGCGGTCCAGAGAGACCTGGGTTTGGTTCCCGCTAAGGGTACGTACCTCGGTTGCAGTTTGTCCCCAGCCCTGGTTGGTCGTGCAGGTGGCAACCACTGGATGTATCCCTTTCACGTCGATGTTTCTCTCTCTCTCTCTCCCCCCACCCCCCACTCTATCTGAAAAAAAATGTTCTCGGTGAGGATAAAAAAAAAAAAAAGGGGGCCCTGGCCAGTTTGGCTCAGCGGTTAGAGCGTTGGCCTGCGGTCTGGAGAGACCCGGGTTCGGTTCCCGCTAAGGGCATGTACTTCGGTTGCAGTTTGTCCCCGGCCCTGGTTGGTCGTGCGGGTGGCAGCCACTCGATGTGTCCCTTCACGTTGATGTTTCTCTCTCTCTCTCCCTTCCTCTCTCTCCCTCCCACTCTATCTGTCCAAAAAATGGAAAAATATCCTCGGGTGAGGATAAAAAAAAAAAAGGTACATGTGATTATTCAGTAAACAAGATTGATAAACACTCAGCCAGACTCATCAAGAAACAACCTTCCAAAATTCAATTAGGAAGAATCAGAAAACCTAAATAGGCCAATAACAATGAATGAAATTGAAGCAGTAATAAAAAATTCCCAGCAAACAAAAGTCCTGAACTGGATAGATTTACAGGAGCATTTTACCAAGCATTCAAAGAAGAATTAACACCTATCCTCCTCAAACTGTTCTAAAAAATTCAAGAGAAAGGAACACTTCCAAACTCTTTTTACAAAGCCAGCATTATTCTAATTCCAAAACCAGATAAAGACACTATAAAGAAAGAAAATTATAGGCCAATATCCCTGATGAACATAGATGCTAAAATCCTCAACAAAATATTAGCAAATCGGATCCAGCAATACATTAAGAAGATCACACACCATGACCAAGTGGGATTTTCCTGGGGGTGCAAGGCTGTATAATACTCACAAATCAATAGATGTGATATATCATATAAAAAAAATGAAGGATAAAAATCACATGATCATATATAGACACACAAAAAACATTCAACAAAATCCACCACCCATTTTTTTTTTTTTTTTTATCCTCACCCGAGGACATTTTTCCATTTTTTGTACAGACAGAGTGGGAGGGAGAGAGAGGAAGAGAGAGAGAAGGAAACATCGATGTGAAAGGGACACATCGAGTGGCTGCCACCCGCACGACCAACCAGGGCCAGGGACAAACTGCAACCAAGGTACATGCCCTTAGCGGGAACCGAACCCAGGTCTCTACAGACCGCAGGCAGATGCTCTAACTGCTGAGCCAAACCGGCCAGGGCCACCACCCATTTTTTTTTAAATCCTCACCTGAGTGTGTGTGTGTGTGTGTGTGTGTGTGTGTGTGTATTTTTTATCTTCACTGGAGGATATTTTTTCATTTATCTTCAGATAGAGTTGAAGAGAGGGAGAGAGAGAGAGAAAGAAACACCAACCGGGACCCCCCACATGACTCTGACCAGGGCCAGGGATGAACTGCAACCCGAGGCATGTGCCCTTGATCAGAATGGAACCTGCGACTAATTGGTCCATAGGCCAACGCTCTAACCACCGAACCAAACTGGCCAGGGCTCACCCAAGTATATTTTTTTCAACCATTTGTAGAGAGAGGGAGGAACATTGATCATCGATTTGAGAGAGACCAGAGTCAGGGATCGAACCTGTAACCTAGGCTCATGCCCTTGACTGGGAATCGAACCTATGACCCTTTGGCTGACACTCTATTGAGCCACACCAGCCAGGGCCAGCACCCATTTTTTACAAAAACTCGTAGTAATGTGGGAATAGAGGGCTCAAACTTCAACATAATACAGGCCATATATATATGACAAACCTACAGCCAACATCATACTCATTGGGCAACAACTAAGAACGTTTTCCTTAAGAACAGGAACAAGACAAGGATGTCTCCTTTCACCACTCTTATTCAACATAGTATGAGAAGTCCTAGGCACAGCAATCAGACAAGAAGAAAAGATAAAAGGCATCCAAATTGGAAAGGAAGAAGTGAAATTATCGTCATTTGCAGATGACATGATATTGTACATAGACAACCCTAAAGATTCCACCAAGATACTGCTAGATTTAATAAATGAATTCAGCAAAGTAGCAGGGTACAAAATCAACACCCAGAAATCAATGGAATTTTTATACACCAATAATGAACTCTCAGAAAGAGAAACTAAAAAAAATTCGACAAAAGGAAGACAAACAATCCAATTAAAAATGTGCAAAGGGCCCTGGCAGGTTTGGCTCAGCAGTTTGTGTCGACCCACAGACCAAAGAGTTTTGGGTTTGATTTCTGTCAAGGTCACGTGCCTCGGTTGTGGTTCGTCCCTAGCCCTGGTCAGGGTCGTGCAGGAAGTAACCAGTCAATGTGTCCCGCTCAAGTCGATATTTCTCTCTTCCTCCCTCCTACTCTATCTGAAGATGAATAGAAATATATCCTCAGGTGAGGATTAAAAAAAAAGAAAGAAAGAAAAGGACCGGAATAGACACTTCTCCAAAGAATATATACAGATGACCAATAAACATATGAAAAAAGGCTCAAAGTCACTAATCATCAGAGAAATGCAAATTAAAACCACAATGAGATACCACCTCACACCTGTCAGAACGACTTTTATCAACAAATCAACAAGTGCTGATGAGGATTTGGAGAAAAGGGAACCCTTAATGAACTGTTGGTGGGAATGCAGACTGGTGCAGTCACTGTGTAAAACAGTATGGAATTTCCTCAAAAAATTAAAAATGGGACTGCCCTTTGACCCAGTGATCCCACTTCTGGGAATATATTCTGAAAACCCTGGAACACCAATCAGAAAAGTTTGCCCGGCTGGTGTGGCCCAGTGATTGAGCATGGAATCATGTACCAAGAGGTCACCAAAGGATTCCCAGTCTTGACACATGCTCGGATTGTGAGCTTGATCCCTGGTAAGGGAAGTGCAGGAAGCCACTAATCGATGTTCCTCTCTCATTGATGTTTCTATATTTCCCTCTCCCTTCCTCTCTCTAAAAATCAATAAAAACATTTTTTTAAAAAAAGAAAAGAAAGGCCTAGCTGGTTTGGCTCAGTAGTTGAGCGTTGACACATGCACCGAGAGGTTGCTGGTTCGATTCCTGGTCTGGACACAAGCCCAGGTTGTGGGCTTGATCCCTGGTAGGGGGTCATGCAGGAGGCAGCCAATCAATGTTTCTTTCTCATTGATGTTTCCATCTCTCTCTCCCTCTCCCTTCCTCTCTCTCAAAATCATTTTACATTTTTTTAAAAAGAAAGGTTCGCCCTGGCCGGTTTGGCTCAGCGGTTAGAGTGTCGGCCTGCGGTCCCGAGAGACCCGGGTTCGGTTCCCGCTAAGGGCACGTACCTCGGTTGCAGTTTGTCCCCGGCCCTGGTTGGTTGTGCGGGTGGCAGCCACTCGATGTGTCCCTTCACATCGATGTTTCTTTCTCTCTCTCTGTTCCTCTCTCTCCCTCCCGCTCCATCTGAACAAAAAATGGAAAAATGTCCTCGGGTGAGGAAAAAATAAATAAATAAATAAATAAAAAGAAAGGTTCAAAACAGTGTTATTTATAATATCTAAGATTTGGAAATAGCCCAAGTGGCCATCAGTAAATGAATAGATCAAAAAAGCTGTAGTACATTTACACAAGGAATACTATACAGCTGTAAAAAAGAAAGATATCTTACTCTTTGAGACAGCATGGATGGACCTGGAGATTATTAATGCTAAGTGAAATAAGCCAATCAGAGAAAGACAAATATCACATGATCTCACTTATGTGTGGAATCTCATGAACAAAATAAATTGACCAACAAAATAAGTCCTGAGGCATGGAGGCCTAGAACAGACTGACATATCTCAGAGGGGCAGGGGGAGGAGAAGAGATCAACCAAATAACTTACATACATAACCCATGGATAATAGTGTGGCGAAGGCTTGGGGCAGGGGGCACTCGGTAGAAGGGGGTAAAGAAGGAGGGAATGCCCTGGCCAGTTTGGCTCAGCGGTTAGAGCTTCGGCCTGCGGACCAGAGAGTCCCGGGTTCGGTTCCCGCTAAGGGCATGTACCTCGGCTGCAGTTTGTCCCTGGCCCTGGTTGGGTCCTGCGGGTGGCAACCACTCGATGTGTGTCTCTCACATCGATGTTTCTCTCTTTCCCTTCCTCCCTCTCTCTCTCCCGCTCTCTCTGAAGATAAATGCAAAAATGTCCTCGGGTGGGGATTTAAAAAAAAAAAAAGGAGGGAATGGGGGACATCTGTAATACTGTCAGTAAATGTGTGTGTGTGTGTTTTAAAAAGAGGTACATGTGATTATTTGAATAAAGTACAAGAGTCTACATTTGTTCTTGAGAACATATGTAACAAAATAACAAAAAAGGCACTCGGTGTTGATCTTTTGAAACTTGTATGTTTTTGACAAAAACATCTATCTAAAAAAGAAAACTGAACTTGTTTTCAACATCTTTTTACAAATATTTGTTTTACAACAAAGGCACTTGTGTCCTCATTTAAATGAATTTTCCAGCTGACTTTTTTTTTTATTTCTGACTT